GATTGCTGATTTGACCTTGCGCAGGAATAGCACTGCTTCTCTACCGTCCACTAGTCGATGATCGTATGTTAAAGCAATATACATCATTGGACGTATTTCAACCTATGGAAGATATTTAATAATGCATTATACATCAAGTAATTATTGATTAGGTGCTAGTCTTATTGCATGCTACTAAACTTTTAGACTAAATGTGCAAATTGTAGTTAGAATACAGGACAACTGTTGTTATTCTTATTGAAATTCATTACAGCTTAATTCATGAAAGGTCTGCTAGAGCAGCAATTAAATGTTCTCAGAAAGGAATATCCACATTAACGATATCATTATACTGCAATTTTGTCTAGATAACTGAGATTACTATCAAGAAAAATATTACCTTTCCTTTAACTGCAATTGGTCTATCAAATACTCCATGCATGCCTAATATTGCAGACTGTGGAGGATTTATAATAGGTGTACCAAATAAAGATCCAAAAACACCACCATTCGAAATAGTAAAGGTTCCCCCTTCCATATCTTCAACAGTGATGTTGTTATGTCTTGCCTGAAACAATCGATTAAAGTTAACGATCTGATGCATAATAATAGCATAGCGTGCATGCATTTACATATATGATTAGCGCTAAACCTTTTCTGCCAGAGTGGCTACATTTTTTTCAATGTCACCATAGTTCATAGTCTCGACATTTCTAAGAACAGGAACAACCAACCCTTTAGGCGTGGCTACGGCAATACTAATATCAACATAGTCCCGATATATGATCTCTTTTCCGTCAATAACAGCATTGATTACAGGCTGATCACGTAAAGCAAACGCGGACGCCTTAATGAATGGTGACATAAAACTAAGTTTGGCTCCATGCTTTTTGAGAAAGCTTTCCTTATAAGCATTTCTCATCTCTATTACATTACTGTATATTTAAAACATTGAAGAAAAAGTAACATTAATATCCATGCATAAAATCTATCAATTTCTTTAAAAATCGAAATATCTTATTATAACAATCTTGTAACACCTCATATCAACTTCATTAAATGTTGTGAGCATAGCACAGGTATTTTGTGCCGCCTTCAGGCGTTCGGCAATCCTTAATCGCATGCGTGACATTTTAACCTACAAGTATTTCGATATATCAGCTTTTCCTCAAAATAGATAATTTTACAGAAAGGCATTTACTCGTCTCTCTGATCGCACACCGCTCGGCATTGGCTCTATAGGCTGTGGCACTGCAGCAGCTATGGGCCTCTTCTGGCTTACGGGTGGAATTGGCGTCGCAGATATTGGACTTTCAGGAATGTTAGGAACTTCATTGAAGGAACATTAAATTAGTTCGCTAGGTTTGACATACTAGGCATTCAATACAGTTTGCAAACAAACCTGGTGGTGGTGCACTAGGAATTTCAGCAGCTATAACATGTAAATAGTGCGAGAGAAGTTATTGTCATCGCTAGCAGTAATAATACGTATACAATGAAAGAACTGTGAAAGTCATGGTGGTGTAAAAATTGCTATAGTTTTACCTTGAGCTGGCGGGGATTCTGCGTTCGGTGGCACTTCCTTCGTTTCTGCTGTTGCTGGGGATGGCGAAGGGGCTTTTGTTTCCGTAGATTGTGAACCTGACTCGCTGCCTGCTATCAAATTTAGAGGAAGTAATAATTAATTCTATCAGAATAGGTATACAGAAGCCATTCGGTATCACAATAGGAAGCAGCCTACTAACCAGCAACTTTAAATTTCGCAATATTTTGACTTTGAGTTACTTTTTCACCATCCGGAATAAGGAATTCCTCGATTACTCCAGATTCAGGTGCAAGCACTGCCATAGTTGTCTGAAGATTATCAAGTATGAAATGTAATTATTTTATAACGAATTTCTTATTAAATATCATATAATCGCACAGCCAAGATGATTCTGTTCTTGTTACAAGCATGTTCACGTTAGCTAAAATAAATAGAAAGTACATTGCCTCACCTTATCAGTTTCTATTTCACCTATAGTGTCATTCTCTTCAACAGTATCACCCACCTCTATTGAAATCAATGATAAGAATATATCAATGCTGTATATGTAGTACATATGAATGCAGCGACATAAGCGTATCTATAATACACCATAGTATGTAACCTTATGGTATGTATTTCGTATATACCATAAATATGCCTTATAAACTAATTCTAGTGTTATTATAGAAGATTTCACAAAACCTAAAACCCTTTGAGCATGCCCGATAGTTGCCAAATATAAATAATGTTATAACATACCTTTGAGCCAACGAATATCTCCTTCGCTAATAGATTCTGGAAACGTAGGGGCTTGAATGGTAATTACATTATCAACTTCAAGACGCAAGTAAAATGTGTTAGTAATGACAGCAATGCAAAATACGAATTATATAGCAAGCTTAAATAAATCATCACAAACTGATCATTTTACCATCATAAACATGATAACATCAGCATCAAATTTCAGTTAATCATAAATTAACGCTATCGTAAAGAAATACTTACGATAAAATGTGGATATATGTAGTTGCTTCTCATGCCAATGAGATAAAGTCGGCGCGTACTTTCGACTACGTATCCAAAAGGATGAGATTAAATCGAATACACAATATTTACCAGAATTTTGAGCTATCATAAGTATATCAATAACTTACATAATCGCATTCGATTGGGTACCAATGCTGCGCTTATTTACTATAGTGATAAATTAAAAAGGAACTAATATGATCTTCCGTCACAGTCACAAGAGATGTATATTAAATTAGTAGCAGTGGCTACTCATGACAAAGTAAACAATCATACGAACAAGGAAGGATCTGTAATTACGCCTGTTGTGTAATAATTTTGTACCTTTTAAGTACGGTAACTTAAAATTAATTCATGTGTTGTACATTTATGAGCTATGATGAGACTGCGGCTATAGTGGTGTGCCATACTTTACGCTAGCAGAACGAAAGTTCATGGTATTTCAGCAACTTATAATTCATTTTTTTTAAAGAATATTTAGGGTTAAAATATTGTGACGCAAAATATTAGTAATAAGAAAGAAAAAAATCACTAATATATCAACTTATGGACATCCATTACATGAATTAATGACGTTTATCATGTTATACAGTATAGTAGAATAATTGTAAATCTCAAGAGAGTGCAGCACTACCTAGCATGAAGAAGCTCCTTCACTAGTTCGGTAATTACAAAACAAACGTTAATTACGCTATTGTAGTACCGTACATAAACTAAAGTTATATCATACAAAGAGTTATGCATGTTACAGCTCTTGATCGGATCTATAGACTACAGCTATTAGGTGCCTTACAACATAAATTGTTGCAGCTGAGCATGCACTATCATCGACGGCATAGTATAACATGATTGAGTCCGCTAACTCAAATATCTTGCATTATAATACCTGCTGCAAAGGTATTCACCGATTAGCAAATTTATTTAGCAAGCAAGATGTACTGTACCGTAGACGTTGTGTCACAGCACGGTTTAAATCATTTTTTCTCTTGTGCTGTATACAGTACACGTACCGGAACACATAAATAACATTATTACAACAGAATATACAATAGGTAAGACAGGATTTCATCCAAAAAAAAAGAACGGTCTATCGGAAACGTGAGCGAAATGAAAACACGACAATAATTAATATGTGGTAGTTATCCAGAAATAAGATGACACAGAGTACTGTGCAAGGTCGCTTTATAATCTCTCTTTGCATGTGTTAATGGGGATATGGCAGAATTTATCATGGTGGAGGAAATGATTTGGCATTCCACTTGACCGTAGAATAATATCATTTTTTGCCCTTATTATCAGCCTTCAATAGAGAAGTTTATGCAAGGTCCACGCTATTGGCAGGCAGATAGTAAGATTATGGTTAACACTACGGCCATGGATGGACACTACCATAAAATGAAGAGTAGACTTGACGCAATAAATGAATGCGGACACTGTATCAGATACACTACAGGATCATTCTAGAGACGCGCACAGTATTGATGTCATTATAACCTCAACAAGCAAGACCACATCGTGAAGATATCTGACTTCATTTCTATCAGTATAGTATTGCAATATCATTGAGAATTGGCAATTATCACTATAGACAGTAATGACAATCCCAATTTTATCATTGTAGAAAGTTAAATATGGTTAAAGTACCACAGATGCCTTACCTAAAGTAGTGGACTTGGTAATCCATTTACTTCCAGCCTGCAATAAATAAATAGCAATAAGCCATTAGCCAAACAGCATTGAACAAATTCAATTGATTGAATATCAACATGATCAAGTTTGACTACTTGTTCTGTTTGGATGTGCAGCCTATCCAGGCAATGACAATTTATTGCACAATCCAATCATGATAAATCGACTGCAGACATTCACTAGGATGATAACGATGACTGAATAATGAGGTCATCAAAGAAGACTGTCATTCAGAGTGTAAGCACTTTAACATTTTTTTTTTTTTTGACTTTCAAGGTAATCATTGATTTTATAACGACTTGCTACTGGATAGAATATCATTGCTAAAACAGAAATACTCTGGTAAAGTGATTCAAATCAAGGAAATGCCAGTCGCAATGTCAAGACAAAGCAACATGGCAACATTGACTTGTTATCAATGCATGACCTTTTGACATGTGTATCGTATGGAATAGAGTACTTAGTCGATGTACGGGCAGAGCATACGATATCCGATTTTTGTATTGTGAGGCATACTATGATCATTTGTGGTATAGCCTATGACTATTATAAGCTAACAAAAAATGGTTGACAAGAAGCTATATCCTCTAACATATTAAAAGAGAGTTTACCCAACTTACAATTGACGCTATTGGAGTAAACGACGATGGTTTGCTTAACTTATTACACAGTTGATGTCGAAGGGAGAGCATCTTGGCTACGACAGCTTTGCACGAAATTCTATCGGCGCAATGTGATCTTGCTATTCATTGAGACGGCGCATAATACAGACGTTTTCACCCTATTCAATCTGATGTGGCGCAGAAGGCAGAATGCGCGGCTTAGCCATGACTGTAGTCTGTCGATGAGGTGTTTTTGACCTCGATCGATTTACCGTACTGTACCGTACCGTACCGCCCGGACCATGCGTTACTGCGCATGCCTGGGACCAGAGTACAGGAACTGTACTGAACTGAAAGGGAATGCTTCGATCTACTGGATACTGGATAGTAGACTTGTACGGTAAACTGGTGGTGTTGAAGGTCTCGATTACACGCTAAAAAAGTGCCAGTACACCGGCTCCAAGTGGGTGTATTACTAGTACTACACAAAATTGATAGTGATATGACCACAAAGCACAAGGAAAACAAAAGATTGTGCAAATAGCGCTGGCGGTTTCAAAGTAAACCCGAGCTGGCGTACGGTATCTCACGTGGAGCAACTACTGCTGTGCGCTACAGTGTGCACTGTGCAGTAAATCATAAAAAGGCAACAAGTCTGTTTCGAACATTGTTAGTCTTACTCACTGGACTACAGTAAGTCTGCCAGTGTACTGTACTTAGGAGAGGCAAGAAGAAACTGAAAATTTTCACTTACAGTACAATTGATAGATACTGTCATATAAAGCAAAGTAAAATCATAGGAAGACATTTTATTGGTACAGTACATCGTATCACGTTCTACAGTATACGGTCTACTCTACTGCATACTGTAGGTTCGACTTTGACTTCCGTACGGTACAGTATGGCATTCACTGATACTAGCAGTCTAGCACTAATTCCACTCACACTCAGTCACCAAGGGATTACTCACCCAGTCAGTCGGTACTGACATGGGACTACTAGACTACAGTACAGTGTACAGTGTGGACAGTGGAGCACATTCTTTACAGATGTCTAGCACTACTTGTACGCACGCTCAGCCACCAGGGACTGCTCACCCAGTCAGTCAGTACTGACGTGGGACTACTAGACTACAGTACATACAGTGTACTGTACTGTACAGTGTGGACAGTTGTCTAGCACTACTTCTACGCACGCTCAGGCACCAGGGAATGCTCACCCAGTCAGTCAGTACTGACGTGAGACTACTAGACTACAGTACATACAGTGTACAGTGTGGACAGTGGAGCACATTATTGACAGATGTCTAGCACTACTTGTACGCACGCTCAGCCACCAGGGACTGCTTACTCACTATTGACAGATGTCTAGCACTACTTGTACGCACGCTCAGCCACCAGGGACTACTTACTGTGTACAGTACTGTACAGTGTACAGTGTGGACAGTGGAGCACATTATTGACAGATGTCTAGCACTACTTCTACACACGCTCAGCCACCAGGGACTACTTACTGTGTACACTGTACAGTACAGTGTACAGTTTGGACAGTGGAGCACATTATTGACAGATGCCTAGCACTACTTCTACGCACGCTCAGCCACCAGGGACTACTCACCCAGTCAGTCAGTACTGACGTGGGACTACAGTACTGTACAGTACTGTACTGTACAGTCAGTGTACAGTACAGTACAGTGTGGACAGTGGAGCAAATTCTTTACAGATGTCTAGCACTACTTGTACGCACGCTCAGCCACCAGGGACTACTCACCCAGTCAGTCAGTACTGATGTGAGACTACAGTACAGTGTGGACAGTGGAGCACATTCTTTACAGATGTCTAGCACTACTTGTACGCACGCTCAGCCACCAGGGACTACTCACCCAGTCACGACTGACGTGTGAGAGGACACACGACACACACAGTGGAGCATATTATTCACTGATGTCTAGCTGTGACTAGCACTCATCCTACATTCCTACGCACGCTCAGTCACCAAGGACTACTCCACAATTTTTACCCAGTTCAGTACTGAGTACACACTACCCAGTAACACTAGAGACCCTCTACAGTACGATAGAGGGTCTCTAAAGTCTGTTGAAGTAACACCCTTACTAACACGTGCACACTGCACAGTACTGCACTCAGTATAGTCACTAGTACAGTGTACAGTACAATGTTCTGCACTGAACTGAACTGATTTCTGCACCCTATTGTGCAGTACTACGGTAGGAACAAAAGCCCTACAGTAAAGCCTATTGCAGTGCAGTACACTGTATACACTGTACTGTACAGTGTACAGTAGGGCTTTCCCTATGACTCACTCTACTGTACACTGTACAGTGTACAGTACGTTAAATGTTACAGCACTGGACTGTTTTATGGACAGCTAAAATGCTGTGTATTGTGTAAGAAACGTGTCCACTTGGGTGTGGTTCGTAATAGTGTGAGCCAAACGACTTTTCACTACGTAGTGGACAGCTATTTTCCACATTGCACACTGCCTGTACAGTGTATTGTACAGTACCGTGCACTCCAAATTACAGTACTAGGAGTACTGTACACTGTACTGTCCTAGTCAATGGCAGTGTGTACAATAAGGTGATAACTTGGCACTGTAGAACTTACACTCACTCCGCACTTGGTGTGAGTCTCGCCAATATTGCAAAGCAAAACCACTACTGACAGTTCACTGTGGCAACTGGCAACTTTCTTGCAAGTGTGCGAGCGCGCCAAATCACTTTATTTTGAAAAGTAGCACAATTTGGAGCCATTCGTTGATATTCATCGATAACTTCAGCGTAATTGAAGACTAGTTGACTTTGCCTGATCAAATCCAAACGATTTGTGCTTGAGGTGTTGTACCCATTAGGAGAAAAGTGACCGCTTGCGCCAAGAGTGGACGAAGATGCCGTTGTTAAGACGTACTCAGTTTATACCAAATCAACCACCCGACGATCTACGACGGACTGAAGAAGTTTTTCGATGCCGCTATACCAATGAATTATTTCGCAGTTATGAGTAAGTAGCTCCATGATCATGGCTGCCAATAGTATCATCAAGATACTGTTGGCTAATGGCCAATGCTGTTATTCCATGTTGCTTTCATGATAACTTGTATATTCATTCATTACTCCAAGCTTCATTAAAATTAAAATATAGAAAATAGCGGGCAAAAATTTCACCATGACACTAGTCATACTTGCTCACCATATCCTATACTGTCATACTCTTTCAAGAGTGCAGTTTGGCACCAGTAGCCCAGACTGTATCATGGCATTGTCTATCATCTCCTTTCTTTGTTTATTACAAGACAAAATGCCGTGAGTAATATTTTATGAATGCAGAGAAATCGTCATTATACTCAATGCAAGGCTAATTTCACCATGTGATACGGTTAGAATGCCAACATGCTCTACTGTAGAGTAGGAAGAAAACTTGGAAGCTTTTTCAATCGCAATCATGTTGATAGAAACATTGCCGGTTCAGTGGGGGCCCCTGTCACAAGGCCGGCCATAACTCGTTGACTGCAAGGATGGATGACGAGTAGGCCAAATGCTTTGAAACTAAATACATCATATTTTCTTCTTCTCTTGTTGCTCGTTCTACGGCTACTACCAAAGTACTATGACTTGATCATAGATTAGGAGTTGTGTACCGTGCCACTGTATTGTCTTCCATCCTTATTGACAATCTTGTGAATCTAGTATTGTACTGAGAATGGACAACTTTGAAAAGAATGTTGAATACGAACAAGCCCGTACAGTCGACGTCATGTTAACTCTCTAGTTTTCTGCCATGATTCACAAGATACTTTTATTACTCAATGGAAAGCTAGCTATGTTAGGGCTACAGATAATGCCGATCTAGTTAGGAATGATGATGGATGTTGATCGTCGATAGGATTACAACACTTGACTGACGTGATGATTCTTACTCGTATTTGTAATCGATTACCTGTCATTCAACTACTCTACTATACACTGTAGTATCCAATTTCAAGAAGGAGAAGACGATAAAATTTCAATACATATAAATCCCCTTTCTGATGCACAGACAATATTGATTCCAAGGCGTAGGAGAATCCACCGGATTGAAACTGAAACTTTGTCAATTTTTTACAATGTTAATCAACTGTGAGACTATGTAATACGGGTTTGCTTCACAATTTATTATGAATGATAACCGCACCGTTGGATAAACTCGGCACTAAAGTTGAATCAAGCTAGAAATAGATCGATTCTTGTTGAATATTTGATTAACATATCCCTTAATTAAACTAAATACTACTAAAATTGGATCTTAAAATCCGATATGATCATGAAAAATAAATGCTGACATGATCAAAATCCCAATTGCCGTCATTCCATTACAAGACTGTGTATTAATCACACACAATAGTACTATTACTGTACATACATTATTAACTAACTAAGGAATACTGAAGTGTGCTTCTATATTTGACGTATCACGTAATGCAGTACTATACTGTATATTGTTGTGTATATTACAGTATATATGCGTATATGCTCTTTTTTATTATACTTCATACAGTACAATAATAATCAAAAAAGAGGATCGGTTAATCAGCTTCAATGAACGAGAATGACTTATCACGGATAAAATAGGTACTAAATTCATTAGTTAAACTGATGGAAGTAATTTATCCTACAACACGTAGTGACAAATGCAGCGCTGTATGAGTGTACTCTCCTGCTTGATTGATATAATATAATATATAATTACTGTTGAATAAATGTATAAGGTAATCACTTAATATTATACCATTCGACCATCAATTCTGAACCGGAGTCAAATCATGAATTATCTGCATACCGGTTAGCTAGCCATTCGATGAAATTAGCACATCTGTGAATTAAATTATAATGAGTATGCTATGCATTGATAGTTTGGTAATCCTGGTAGACCTATAGTAGACCTTGCGATATCATAACACTGCACAGTCCACAATATTCCGTCTGCTGTCGACAATACACCTACAGTACCATAAGAGAGGAAATCTTATCACATCTCCAAACACTACAACGATATACGTACGTAACCCTCCCTAATAGTTGTGTACTGCATTATGTTACGGCATACATAGTTCAGCCAGGAGTGCCACAACAATAATTACAGTGCGTCTGCATGGAGCTTATTGAATTGCTAGATAGGCTTCATTTTTGATCCTATTTTTGGATTGGGAATGGCAATATCTTACAATATTATTGCTACGCTTGAGCTATTATCATTATCTTTAATGTCGCTGATTTATTATTATTTATTAATTATAATGATGATTATGATAAAATCATACGGTTTATACAAGATGCTTTTAGATACTGTACTAACAGAAATGGATCGGCATTCTTTGCATTATAGAGCCTATTTCAATCGAACCATTTTATGCAATAGTATGGTATGGACATGTGAATACACAGGTCGCTCTAATTTAACTTACAAAGAAGCTCTCAAATCGGAGGAAGCTGCTCGTGCGAATTTAGACTCGTTTCCAGAGGTATTACAACGCCAGATACTGCTCTTGATCGGTAATATCAAGCGAAGCCGTACAACAGAATTGATCGATGAAATTTTAATACGTATTCGAGATTGCTATTTCCCTGGAGAAGTTGTAGAAATTACTCGTAATGACGACAAGTAAGTTCAAGATCCTAATATCGTATTTAACCTAGTAAAAGTGGTATTTTCTAGAGTGCAATTTCATCAATATTTCGCTATGACCGCACAAAGTTTTAACTAAATCATCCATCCTTCACGTTATCGAAAGTCCCATTATTGTTCCCAAGGTTTACCTATTTCTTGCGTTCCTTTCAATATCATATTTACTGATTATCATGGTGACTATTCATCAGCGGTTGTCACCAACTCTGCGTCTGTTATGCGAATGTTTGTGTAATTGTAGTATTATCATGAACGGTGTTTGGTAACCCAACATTACAGTAATTCCCAACCTGGTTTAATTTCTGTTCTTTCGAGATATTAACTAATGTTGTTGTTAGCAGTAATTTCACAAAGTGATAAGCGATAATTTTGCATATTTTTGAAAATGTTTCAGCTACACAATCGACACTACGTCATATAGCACTTTAATTACTTCCCTAAGATCTTTACTATGAAAATTGTATGGTTTAGTTGTCACTTGATTTAGAATAGAATCTTGTGATAAAAACAATCTGAAAATATTAATAACACTTATATTGTTACCCTTCGTGTCTTTGTTAGAGTTTTAGGTGAAATTGTTAACGCTATCCCTCCGGACGATTTATCGATAGCCAAGAAGGGCCTGTCATTTGTTGAAAGCCAAGGCCCTTCCGATAACAACAGCGTAGAACGTACACCAAATGGGAAAAGTAGGCGAGATTCTGTCACAGTCATTAATTTAGTTACTGATGACGTACCAAAAAGCTCTTCCAATAATAATCATGACGACAATGAAAAGAATAAGGCAAAAACAGCGATTACTGAACGAAATGCTCGCTATATATATGAAATTCGATTAACTGCTGATGATATTGTCATGACCAGTAATGCCTCTGCTATTAGGTAAGTTTCGAAATTTTACCTCAATGTCTTTACGAAAGCAAGCAAATCTTTACATTACCATGTACTATTTATGAACTGTAAACAGTTCAAGTATTTATTTTATGAAAAATGATTGATGATTACTGTTTGATATGTATTTAGCCGCAAGAAAGGCGTCTTAACAAAGGATAAACTGAGGCACTTTGTAAAATTTGCATGTCGAAGAACATCAGAAAAGCATCCGTATTACGTGAAAGTCAGTGCAATATTGAAAAAATTAACCATCTCGTCTCATTGAACATATACTTGTGTTATACATAGTATACACTAATATCCATTTCATTCGTTTATTTACCCAGAATGAATTTATCAAAAAATTCAATTTACCGGAAAGTTTCAAAGAAAAACGCAAGCTAGTCTCTTCTGTGGGGAAGAGACAGTCACTCACGCCAACAATATCGAAAAATTCTCCGTTTTCATCTACTTCTAATCTGGGAGATAAGGCCTCGAAGAAAAAGGTTAGCATTTACATTCTTACCTCATTACTACTGAGCTCGTATTTCTTTTGTAATATTCCTGTAGGAACTAACGTATGAGATCTTATCTGATTATGCCGTTAAAAGAATGTTTGTTGTCTTTCATTCTCTAGAGAGATGGTAAGGAACCGAAGAGTAAAAAGAAACTAAATTTAAATAAGCAATCTCCGGCTATGAGTAAGAGTGAACTAAAAGCCTTAAAAAAACAACGTAAAGAAGAAGAAAAAAAACGATTGGCAGAAGATAAGGCAAGAAGAAAGTTAGAAATGGAAGAGGAAAGGAAAAAACGAAAACAGATGGCAGAAGAAGCGAAACTAGAACGAAAACTGGAAAAAAAACGAGTTCGTTTCAATTTGTTGTATTGGACACTAGGGATAACTACATTAAAACGTGGCATGCCCTTTTAGTTATAGTAACGCTTTAAAAACTAATGCATGGAGGTGGCAATAGTCTGTAATGTGCAATGGAATGTTTTTATGTTATCCATAGGAAAGGGACCGTCTTCGTAAAGAAAAGCAGTTGCAAGCTCAAAGAATGGAAGAATGGAGTAGACCACGCGACGATCTGGAACTCGATGATTTACAGGTTTTAAGAAACTTATGATAGAGGATGAAAATTTACAACAACGCTAAACTTGAATTATATTCTGTTTGTAGATCTTGCCTACACCATGTAGTGCTACAAAAGTAATTGATAATTTCTTATTCGGAAAAGCTGTAATGGTGTTAGAGTTCTTAAATAGCTTCGATGAAGTCTTTTCAGCAAGTGAATCTTTACCGATGCCGATAACTTTTGGTATGTTTATTTTATATCTTAAACGTTGAAATATTGATTCTGTAACAAAACGATTGATTTTTGTTGGTATGCAGAGAATCTAGAAAAGGCCCTTTGTAGTTCTGAGGTAGATGGATTATTTAGTGATTTAGTTCAGTTTTTATTGGGTGATTTGGTCAAAGAATATCAAGAAGAGGAAGAAGAAAAAGAAGAAGAAATTAAGCTAGATGGCATACAAAAAGTTGTTTCACCCCCTGGAGAAAAAGAAGACATTGATGGTGTTGACGCCGCAGGTAAGGCTGGTATATTGGTATATGTGTAACTGCTAATTCCATATTCTGTATTATTTAAGAGAAAGATAACCATTAATGAGGCTGTCATTGTTCAGGTACTTCAAATCAAGCGCCAATCGATGGAAGTATTGGATATGCTTGGTCCCGTCTGACACAAGGAATACCCTTCCGAGAGATTAAATTCGATTGTTATACTTGTCCTGAATTGCTTCGGCTACACTTGTTATCAAGTTGTAGAATCGCTATGGGTGATGCTCGTTACCGATGGCAACGAAGAGGAGGATATATGACGACTGATGATCCCGGTATACTTTATAGTCATTGTCGTAATTTCAATTTTAATCATATGCTTTATGTAGCATGTTACATCATTCTTACAGTGTTATATGTTATCATTTGACCTTAAAATATTACAGCTGCTGAACTAGTTCGAAAGAATCCTGAGTTACTAAGCAAGTTGACAGTAGGAAATTTATATGATCTCGAACCTCGACATAAATTAGAAATCCTAGAAGTCCTATGCGGTCAACTATTGACGTTAGTCTCTACCAGAGATTATCTTGACGAGTGTACGTTAAAATATCGCGAATTAAAGCACAAATTAAAGGAAGACCAATGGGCCGAACAGCGGCAAGCTAGAAAAGAAGCTGCCAAGCAGAGGAAAAGGGCAGAATCTAAATTGAAAACTAATTTAGAAAAGACGGATGGTAACCAAAGTGAAAAAGAAGAAACTCAGTATGATAATTTTACCTTTTGTTACAGTGTTACTTTTATTAAAAGATATTTAACATTTTATGGTCGATGTACTGAGTTGACTATAGGCGACATTTATATCCATATTCTAGCTCTGATGATGCTGACGTTCCATGCAAGAAGAGTAACGATGAAGATGAAGAAAATGGGATGTCTGACGAAGAAAGTAATACTTCTGAAGATGAAGAAGACCAGGAAGAAAGAAAGGAAAGAATAAAAGAAACAATGCAAGAAATTGCTGATATAACTTCCATCATCAATCTTAGACCTTTAGGTCGAGATAGAAGCTTTAGACGTTATTGGGTCTTCAAAACCTTTCCAGGACTAGTAGTAGAAGACGATGAAAGAGAAAATGGTATCTTGAAAATATACGTAATTTTATTTATGTTTCTAAATTGTATTATATGTATTAGCGTTTCATTAAAGTGAATGCGTACAAGATTCCTTTACATTCACTACTATTGACATCTGCTATAGAACTGTACTGTATAATAAATATAATTTGTAAAATTTTTTATAGATACTGTAAGAGTTGACGAGGTTATTCGAAAGGCAGAAAATATTCAAGCTGCAGAAATAACTGAAACGATTGAAACTGATAGTAAAATGGAAGCTGTAAAGAGAGAACCCGGAATTCTCGATAATGACAGCAGCGAATTAAAAGTGGGCAGTGATAATAACCCTCCTATTGTTGGAGATCATGAAATGGTAGTAAAGAATGACAATTCACAGTCAGAAACTGCATCATCTATGATAAATATATCTATAGATCCTTACTATGAAAACGGTAAAAGACTTTATTGGTCATACTACAAGACCGTGAAAGATCTTGATAATTTGATTAACGCACTGAATTCACGAGGTCACCGCGAGCGAGCATTAAAGAAAGTTTTACAGCGTGAATATGTATCCTTACAAAATTCTTTACAGTTATCCAGTGAAAGTAAGACTTGTACAGAAAATAAAAAATCCCGTTTATCACACGTTCAAGAAGAGAATGTTGATGCTGAAAGTTTTATGTTGGATGCATTACGAGAAGAAGTGTTAGATTTAGAGTGTCGTTTATGGGAAGGTGGTTTAGGTGGAATTGACGGTGAATGGCGTGATGATTGGCGAGAAAAGATAGAAGAGTTGGAGATTTCAGATATGATGAAACAAAGTGCTAATGGCGATGACAGTATAGCAAATGGATGCAGTGATAGCGGAATTCAACCCGATAAACCTCTTAATACTTCAGGAAATAGAGTGAATCATGGAGCAGCCAACAGTATTTCATCTAATACTGGCTTAGGCTCATCAGAAAATATCAACATGAATCCAATTGTTAAACAATTCGCTGAAAGTTTATTGCAAATAGAAGCCAGTATACAACGAAAATACCTTAAGTCACCGCTTGGAATGGATCCGAAAAAAGTTAAAAAAGAAGATACTCGAAATGATGATAACAGCGATCGTGATAGCTCTGAGGAAGATCGAAACGTGCCTCGTAAAACTAATTTAGAAAGATGGCAAGAATCCTTGTCTTTGACTACTAACTTGTCGCAAATTTTTATATATTTGGCGACTTTAGACAAGTCTGTTGTTTGGAGTAAATCGATTTTGAACGCCAGATGCCGAATATGTAGGCGTAAGGGTGATGCAGAATTAATGCTGTTATGTGACGAATGCGATCGAGGACACCATACGTACTGTTTACGTCCACCATTGAACTCCATCCCTGCCGGAAATTGGTATTGTCCTGATTGCAAACCTCGCAAGCAGGTGCGAAAGCAAAGATCTACTAAAGCAAAGAATGTTTCTTATCACGAAAGTGAAAGCGAAGATGAAGTAGAGAGTGAAGACAATGAAGAAGATGACGAAGAGGATGAAAGTGAAGAAGAAGAGGAAGAAGAAGAAGAAGAGGAAGAAGAAGAAGAAGTGGAAGAAGAAGAAGAAGAAGAAGAAGAAGAAGAAGTAGTAGAAGAATTAGATGAAGAAGATGAAAGTGAAGAATCAAGTGACGAATATCAGGAATCACAGGATGATGATAAAGACCTGTCAATCAGAGTTAATAAGAGTAATAAAAGAAATCTACGTAGTCGCAGTAAGATTGAATCTCAAAGAAAACGAACGAGACGCTCGGGCAGTGTTTCATCGTCAAATTCTTCGAATCAGCGATACAATTTCCGAAGAAAAAAAGAAAAGGAAAACCAGAATCCGGTGCTCCGTGCTGGAGCCAAAAGATCAGCATCATTTTCTGAAGGTAGTAGACTTAGTACTGAATTAAAAAAGTGCCATGAATTAATTAAAGATTTAGAAGAGCATCGAGACAGTTGGCCATTTTTGCAACCTGTAGATAAGAATAAGGTTAGTATCATTGTAAACAACGATTATTGCTGTAGCAATATGAAGTATATTATAGTATGATATATTGATACAGCATTGATTTAATATATCAGGTGCCAGACTATTACGAAATTGTTAAGAATCCGATGGACTTTCAAACTATCAAGAAAAAGCTTAGTAGCATACGCTACAAAGACCCTCGAGAGTTTGCTACTGACGTTCGTTTAGTATTTATAAATTGTGCTGAATATAATAATCCACGATCTAGAGAGGCACGAGCTGGAAATAGATTATCTATGTTTTATGAGACTAAGTTAAGTAAACTTGGATTAGATAAAGCTTACACGCCTGACGAATACTATAAATCTACAAGTAAACGTAAGCGAAAGTACTAGATAGGTGTCCCTTATTGATATTACATTGGACGTTTATTTGATTTGACGGAAGTGATCATCGATTAGTTCTAGCTATTCACGAACACAGTCAGTAATATTTCATCCGGTGCCTGTATAATGTAATTTAAGACGGCGTTCTGTCAATTTTAATATACGGTATTACCGCTATTACAGAATTCACTTGCCGTTTTCTTTCATAATATTATGTTAGTAAGGCCCTAAATCAAAATTTGATAAATTTTGTGCAAACTTACAAGGAGCGGTTCGTAAAAAAGCTTGTATGCTATGTAAACCATTTCAAAGGAAAGTATAATCTGTAAATAACATTTCTTATCTACCGTAATTTGTTTAACATCAGGCTTGTTGTGACAATGTAATTTTTGGTCAACATCTACTTTTATTGCTGATGATTACTTTGATGAGTAAGAGCTATTCTAGTATTACAAATCGTACATATCGGGATGTATACCGTTACCAATAGCCTGATGTTTTGTAGTCCATATTGTCTCTGTTATTTTAATTAAGCTGTTACGATGGAAGAAAATTTGTATCAATTTAAAGTATTCAATAGTATCTTTACTATTCAACGTATCAAAAATAAGTTTGATATAAAGATAATGGAGATGATACGATGCTCTTATGGAAATCACTCAATTAGATGGATTTTAACATGCTGCGAGTCTATGCAGTTAATGAAATTTATAATACGATCTTCTGAGTATTTGTATATTGTAATTATATATTGTTTATGTTAAATTTCTTCCATATGTATTATTTCCGAAGTTGATTTTAATCATTGAAAGTATCTTAAATTATAATTCTCATTTGTTTGGCGCAACTTGTGAGCGATTTTTTTCGGGTCAAGTCCAGGAAGTATCATATATTACCGTTTATCATCAATGTTGTACTACGACAATGCATTCATGTACACTTGCGTTATGGTTACGGTAATAGATCTCTTTCATTAATCTTTGTATAATATATGCAATGAAAGCTTCATTAAAAGACAGCGTTGATATTATCTCTTTGAGAGGCAGCGACTAGTGTTCTTGAGAATGATTACTCCATTGACGGATAAAAATTCCTATATCTATAAATTAAGGTACTTGTATCGACTTCAATACTTTGACCTTATGTCCTGCCTAGAAATGCCGGATTAGATGTTACATGTTACGTAAGATCATAGAAACCTGATAGCCTTTCATAATGATGTATCAAATGTACTTGGAAAGGAGCAATGTTGTTTACATGCAGGGTTTGACTTGATATAAATGACTACCACGTATAAGAGCACAGACAACTTGTCTGATAGTAGCTTTGGTTGATAAAAATTACCGTGGCATTTATGGGCGAGCATGTACTGTAATCTTATGAGACAACAAGGTACAGTGATTCGACAATGTCGATATTCTCGAATTACAGTTCTGGTTACAATTGAAAAACTTTCGATGTTTTATTAACCAAAATCGAATTATTATTATATCTTAGTCATAATTAGCAACAGGTATAGAGCCTGTAAGATTTGTTGCATACCGATATATAATAGTCTGTCATGATTCTATAGCGATCAAAAGAACTGTTGTTATAACATACAGTAATAGGAAGAATGAGAGCTAACTCATAAAATTCTTATTTAAAAATTTGTTCGAAAGAATTCTGTAGTTAATATAACTTTAGCGAAGAAAATTCATTTAAATGGGAGATTTTTAGTGAAGAAACCTATAGATCAGCTCATTGTAAATAACAACGAACTACAAATGCACGGTATTGGTTGCAAAGTCCACTTAAACCGACCATAAATCTTTAATTTACTATACAGACGTGATCAATTCGTTACAGTACTTGCTGTGTAATATATAATAAATTTAAATATGTTTGTAAGTATCAGTCAATTAACATTTTCTAATCGGATAATTCTTATATTTAAATCATAGCACAATGATCATCCTTTATTCATTCGATTACCCCATCCACGTTTATGATTATCTTTCCAGTCGTCCCACTTTCTTGCCTTTTGAAGCGCCTCTTCATCATCACTATCTTCATTGTCTTCCTCTTCTTCATCGTTACCGCTCTTATTTGATTTCTTAGTTTGTAATGCTATAGTCCAAAATAAATTTACATGGCAAGTTAATATAAAAATATCTTTTTGACATAAAAATGTAAATCAAGGACAAAAAGCGTCATTTTGTGCAATAACGTGTAGGCAACAAAGCCATGACAGCGGCGACAAACTGAAAGTATAGCACTACAAGATGCAAATATACACGCACTGTCAAGTCGCATATCATGAGTTTATTATATAGCTTTGATAAGACTTGTATAAATATCTACTTAAATAATTTAGCATCATCATGTTGCATGTTACTACCCCTTACATTTGTCATATTCTAAGACGACTTTCCCTTCACGTATTTCTTTTTCCAGATATTCTTCTGGACTCATGGTAGGGAGGCTAGGATAGCCAGCTCCAAATACTTTATTCTTGATCATTTCACGTGTAATTACAATAGGTTTATTTGGTATTGGCCTTTTCTTATCCAAGTTTTCTATGTATTAAACAAAAATTTGAATACAATTTTTTGGTATACTCGCTAGAATTAGCAAATGTAAGTTGAAAGTCTGTTATACGAGTATTTACCGAAATAGTAATCTAGGCTATTTTACTGTATAACCGACTATTGAAGAAAAATTTATCCTACTCTGTATTCAACATTGAAAATATTTAGCTGTTGTATATAATTTAAAGCTACTGATATTAGAAATATCTCTAAAAGTAAGTTAAAAAAAGTACGGCTGGAGGGATGACATTTGATCAACCACTGCAACATCATTCGAGCATACGAGTGTATACTCGTATGCTCGTATGACTGAGAAGACGGTTTATTCTACCTGTGATTGGATCTTTTCCGTCTTTCTTCATCTTAATCATGTGTTGTAATATTTTCATTTCTGATTGTATTGAGTCGAGTTGATCTAAGCTCTTATTAATCCAGCTTTGAATTTGAAGAATTCTATGTTGACGTATAGTCTCTTCGTCTAACGGATATTTGTCTTGTTGCATTAATTTCTCGATTATTTTCATTTTCTTCTCCTGTTCTTGAAGTTGTTGGTAACGCTCAATCTTTGCTTGTCGTGTCTTTGTATCTTTATTATATTGTGCCATGGCCAATTGCTTGCTATTGAGTTGGTCATCTGATGGTAATGGATCGTCTTTGTTGCTGTCTTGCATGTCATTTCCTTCATAAAGATTGTAATCTCGGCATAACTGTAAGTAACCATCAATGTGGGTTTTGGCATTGTGAATGGCTTGCAATCGATGATGGGGAAGGTTCGAATTTTGCAATTTAAGATTTAAATCGGCTAGTAAAGCATTGACTATAAAATAACCTAATTGAACTGTTGTTACATCATCAATCACTTCATTCCTACTAAATAGTCCAAGCTGATTGATCACACCAGCCACCTTGTGTAAATCATTTATGCAATCGGCTACCATTTGTTGATACTCTGAGCTGCTACTGGATAAGCCCGTTGTTTCTATCTCCTGATGTAGCCGTGTTGCATTGGTATAAATTTCCACTAAATGTTGGCTATCGTCATTGCAATGAGCTGCCATGGCTGTCGCAATACTACTGCTGTCACCACCGTTTCAAAGATTTCACAAGAGTAGCCTAGCGTTTGTGCAAGATGTTGCAAATTAAAAGCAAAAAAAAGTCTTCTCAGCAACTTTTGCTTTCCAAGGCAACGAATAGTAATCGAAGCATAGTACGGTACGGACGGTACAGACGTTGTATAGCTGTCTTTTTATTTTCGTGGACCTCTGCTGTACACTGTACAGTGTACAGTACAAGTACACTTGTACACAATGTACAGTACTGTAGACTCATGACTCTCGGACAGGCGGACTTCCCTTACCATATGAAGCCGTTACTATGGAAAAATGACTACTGCACTTAGTATGGATCTTCCATGCTCTGTTTCTAAATCACTGGTACTAATTGAATTCGCGTTTAGGATCTTATGGAACTATTTTCAAGCAGAGCTTTGTAACAGATAATAAGATTTAAGATTTAATGGGATATCACTTCGTTTAGAAAACATCAGCCAATTCAAAATCGACCGTGTGCATACTAAAGTAGTGTCATAACGAAGTGTTTGGCACAATATTTGGAGGAGATGAGGCCTTCAAGGTCTGTCGTCTGTCCGCCCGAAAGTGACCAGTCTTGGTCTTCTTCTACAGTACAGTACTACCACTAGACCTGCAACTCCTTTATGGACTGATTTTTTTCTACATTAAGTAATATGACATTGCATTCCATTGCCTGTCACTAAGCTCTGCTTAGAAGCAGTCAATTTAGATCATCAATATTATTCAAATTAATACCAGTGATTTCAAAAACAGACACGGAAAGATGTGTACTGACTGTGAGTAACTATTTTTCGGCATTTTCAGCTCTACCTGGTAGGAAAAGTCCGTCCATCCTGTAGTCACGACTCCAGTACAGTACATCGTTTCAAAGCCCAACTGCAGTAGTATGGTACTGTAATGAACAATGGCAACAGCGTTGATACAGTACTAGTACACATTCACCGTCATAGTAATGGAGGATTTTTCCCTTCATGGCGAGCTTGGTCTGTACGTCTGTACCGTACGTACCGTACGTTCTTGGAAACAGAAAAGCCTGCATACAGTACAGTCGATGGCCTTCTATACTATAGGACTAGTGCTGGCAAGCAAGTTGGAAAGCGCTGCTCTTCTTTTGTCGACTCATCTTGCTGTGGCAAAAAAGAAAGTCCTTTTCTCTTTTCTAGGGATCGAAGTTATTCAAAGTAGATAGCAAGGATGAGCTCTATTGGTACAGGAGTAAGTTATGTTCTTCTTGTATTGGAAAATATTGGAATGATTCAATTGATGGATACATTTTCTCAATTGCGCCATCTTATCAGTTGGTTTTATGAATCGTCGTCATAGTTTTAGCAGAAGTATGGAAGGCACAGTAAAGGGAGAGAGGGGCTCAGTAACGACGATGTTGAATATGGATACTGAAGAGGCGACGTCTATTTGAGTGTAGTATCATTCAATGGGTACATGCTATACAGTATAATCTAGCCTAGTTATATGTGTTAACCTTCGGATCGATCGATGTTTTACGTAACTTGCACAGCAATATTCAACTTGTATTCGATATTGTGCAGTAGTTGAATTTCTACATCAAGAATGGTCACCCTGACATCATTTTTGTCATCAACGACCGCAGGAGTGATGGAGAAATTTTATAGTTTATGGAGAGTTTGGTCCTACTTTAGCGGACATTGTAATTATTTCTAGCAATTAGTATACTTTATTCAATGGAGAGTAAACTAGTTTTATTCCAGAATTCATGACATGTACAACATACGGGTAGTCGGTTAGTATTCACCATAAACTCAATCATATCGATTCATACAGCGTTTTATTAAATTGAAAATTTCTCTTCTATTACTTTCTTTGTAGCGCTGCTACTATAGACAAACTCATACTTATTGATACGCTTAAATCTTAAGCTATACTATATTCAAGTAGTCATATTCTTTCAAAATTCTGCAATACACATGTACTTGTCAAAAAGAGAAAGTCTTGAATGTAGTTTGGTAGTGCAGAATAATGATGTAAGCTTGGAGTACAACCTACAATTTTATTCATTATGAGAACTTATTCATGAATTCTCAGTGGCAAGGTCTGCTGTAACTTGGCTGTATTATATATATACTGTCTCATCTTGACAACTAGATTGTGGTCAAGCATAGTTGATGACAAAGTGTATACTGTACGGTACATACACATAGATCGCTGAATAGTGCTAGAATGCTATGATTTATCTTGATCATGAAGTTACTTAAGTATATTACGTCGTTATTCCACAAATTGCAGCTTTGAATTATTTGAAACCCTAAAGACCTATCTAAACCATGGATTGTAATTTTGCCACCGTTGTCTTTGTTACATCTTGTTACGTATTCAACATTGATAGTAGCCGTAATGATCATACTTGTTATTTTCAGTACGATCTTTCCGCTTCTCAATTCTCACCAGATGGCAGGGTATTTCAAGTTGAATACGCAGCTAAAGCAGTGGAAAGTAGCGGGTAATACTTTATATACTGTTTAAGGATACCGTAAAAATTATCGGTCGTATTATCTATGCTTACAATAATTTGGATTCCTATGCTAGGTCAATTATAGCGATTCGATGCAAAGACGGTGTCGTCATCGGTGTAGAAAAGATATTATCTTCCAGATTACACGAAAAATCCAGCAATCAAAAGATTTACAACGTTGATCGACATGTTGGGATGGTAAGTTATTTTCGTCGTGGATAAATGTTTATGAATTAATTTTAACTCTTTCTGTACTCTATGGCGTTTACATGCCATAGTAGTATTGAACTCTTTTTTAAGTAATACACGCTTTACAGTGAAGTAAGTTCGGTTGTCATTTCTTATTTAGGGATTTGCAGGTATTCAAGCGGATGGTAGAAAGGTAAGGATTTAATTATCTTCTTAACTTGACTCTTTTTCTAAATGGTTTTTCACTGTAATCATATTGATGCATTTATTGAAAAGGTTGTAAGTATCGCTCGTGATGAAGCTTCTGAGTATAGGCAAAATTATGGTTCAGATGTTCCCTTAAAGGTAGGTAACTTATGATGGTAGTATTATCCTGCTTTATAGCTGTAATGAACTATTTTTTAATTTTGCTATTAGCAATTGGTTAACCGAGTTGCAAGCTACATCCACGCATACACGTTATATAGTTCTGTTCGTCCTTTTGGCGTTAGGTTAGTTAATTATCAACTGATAAGAGCGTTGTAACCATTGTGCTGACATTTCAACAAATACGATATAATATTTTACATTTAGTGCCGTACTGGCATCGTATAGTGAAGCGTATGGCCCAGAACTGTATATGATCGAACCATCCGGATTATATTGGGTAAATTCCAAATTGGCGATCCTTACAGTAGCATTTTACGTTGATCCTATTGCCTTATTTACTATATACTTAATGCCTAAGTATGTAATCGCTATTTTATCTTAGGGCTATCGTGCCTGTGCTGCAGGAAAAGCCAAGCAAGCAGTGAAAACGGAGCTAGAGAAAATTAAGGTACAACAATACTTGCATACATATTGTAGTACACTGATAAATTATATATCGCTTTCACGCCCTCGATTGATTGATTTTCTTATTGCCGTCAGCTATAATATTGACATTCTTTATTGAAGTCGATTCACTGCACTAGTAATGATTCTATTTTATATCACCATCTATTTCATAGGCTAACGATATGACATGTGAAGAAATAGTTAAAGAAATAGCTAGAATGTATCCTGCAGTAAAATCAGAATTATGGTATTAAATTACATAATATATTGTTCTATAATATTGAACTTAACTTCATGTAGTATTTATGTTGTCCACGATGAAATTAAAGACAAACTCTTTGAATTAGAGTTAAGTTGGGTATGCAAAGGTTTGTTAATTGCTAACTGCTTCATTTTTGACTGTTTGAAAGTGAGCATCAGCTAATTTTTTTATTCAAATTTGCTAGCTACTAACGGTGAACATCAGCTAGTACCTGCAGATATCGCTAGTGAGGCTATCAGGCTAGCTAAGGTAAGAAATATTGTGTTAATATAATGCAATACTAAGTTTGCCAACGTTATTGGATAAACTATCTTTTGTTCTCTGTGATCAATAACTTTTAATTTTAAAAATATTTCCAGCATGCCATGGAAGAGGATCTTGACGATGACGATTAATAACTAACTGATGACTATTAAATGCAATCAAACCGAGTTCGATAGTTCTATATTATATTGCATCTTTCATATTAATAAGTGTAAAGATTTGTAATACCTAGCACATTGACATGTCTTAACCTTTGATTTCTGTACTATCATTTAAATGTATATGTGGCCTTTGAGTTCCATAAACGTTGGTATAAACTTGGAACGTCATATTGTATCTAACTGTTCATCTCGATCACTTTTGCGTATTTCCTCAGTTTCGAATAAATTATGTTTTTATGATACCTGGTTCGTGTTTATTGTGGCCAACTCGCCATACATTGTCACCACTGCTGTCTCACTACTCCAAGCCTATGTACTGCCGACACAAGTGAATCATTTCAGTTTGTAGCCGGGCTTTATTTGCCTATCAAACATATTATGTGTGTATACGGGTATGCTATACAGCTACAGTACGATATTGCACGTCATCTGAAAGTGGAAAATAAAATTAGATCTATAATATAATGCATAGTTATCAGCTACACGGTATGCTCTACCGTACTGTCATGATCGCCTATTTTTGGAATGCATTGGTGTAAAAGCAGTAATTTACAGTAAGCTCAAATACTATCAAAAGTAGCCTTTAGCGTATTAGATTACCCTTGCCTTACAAACTCATCTATATATATTACAGTATAACTAAATTAGTTGAAACCTAGACCATCGATTTACGGGACTTTTCTCTTCATAAACGAGACCAGTGTGGTCACGAATGAGCTACCACGGGGTAAAAAATAAACTAAAATTTTTCCACCATTTGCAATCTCTAGCTGTTACGTTGATTTTGTACAGTATGGCACACTCTTAATGCACGATTTCAATATTACCATGGACTACTACTAGAATGACCAGAAAATTGATCAGGCTGCTGCCCATTTTGGCTTGGTCACCTCAGTGTACATGGACACACTACAGTATATTGTACTGTGTCCTGGACTTCCGTACTGTACAGTACTGTATTTACCGCAGTACAGTACGTAGTACAGTAGCTACAGTACTTGGTAGGCTAGTGCAGGAACAGACGCGTCAGAAGGTCATCTTTGTCATCTCCCATTTTCAAGACCGCCATTAGCCTGCAGTTTTTTTCTTCTATTCACTCTGCTCAAGGTTCCATTGAAAGCCAGCAAGATGATGGAAAGAATAACTCATTCGTTAAAGAGCAAATGCTATAGACTGATATAAAATTTGTCCAAAAAAAAAAAAAAATTTAATCTATCTGTTTGCACCAAAATCATAGAAATTAGCCCGTCCACATTGTACAGTAACTACAGTACTTGGTAGCCTAGTACAAGCCTAACCACGTCACCTGACTCGGGTCACGTGACTCTTGTCAGAAGGCCATCTTTGTCATCTTCTATTTTCAAGACCGCCATTAGCCTGCAGTTTTTTTTTCTTCTTTTCACTCTGCTCAAGGCTCCATTGAAAGTCAGCAAGATGATGGAAAGAATGATTCATTCGTTAAAGAGCAATGCTCTAGCGACTGCACAATTCTTAACACCAGTACTCAAAGAGTCAAAATTTCGTGAGACGGGGGTGATCACTCCGGAAGAATTTGTTGCTGCTGGTGATTACCTTGTCCATCAATGTCCAACATGGCAATGGACATCGGGCGAAGAGAGTAAAATGAAGTCTTATTTACCGCGAGAAAAACAATTTCTAATTACACGTAATGTTCCATGTTACCGACGTTGTAAACACATGGAATATGTTGAAGAGAATGAAACTATAGTAGAAGAGGATAGTGAAATTGGTGGTTGGATCGATACACATCATAATGTCCAATTGGGCGATACGTTGGGAGCCACTGCAGCCAATGATGCTCCCCTTTCTGCCTTACAAGATCAAATAGTCAATATATCGTTAGAGAATCGTAAAGGTATGTCAAAGGAATCTTATCCTTATACTCATTCACTCTTTACACGATCTTGAGCTGAACGGACTTTCGCCACCACTGTATTGCGTTGAATATGTTTGAATACAATTTTACCAAATGGATTCAGACGTGAATAAACGATGGATAGACGCGTATACAGTACAGTATTCGAGTTTTGTGCTATGCTGTTCTCCTTTCCATACGATAGTGTAGTAATAGTCCTATGGTTGAATTCTTTTACAATCAAAATAGGGTTGTCAGATGTACAGTTTACTGACGTAGACTCTACTAGATCTACTGGAGATAGATGTACGCGTATTTTGAATAGCGTGTGTTTCATTAATTTACACTATACTAACCAGTATAAGTCGACTAGGCTGATTGATCTACTGTACGGTAAGATAATAATAAAGCGATCGTAATTAGATCCTAATATGAATAAACAGACAAATTAAGATTGAATAATTGATTTAGGCAAATTAGGTGAAGGACTTTAAGCGATATCTTACTATCACTATACACAAGAAAACTGCATTTTCACATTATTTAGGTATTTTCATTCATTAATAGCAATCCTTTAGTAGCAATGGATGATTGAGGACATTACAGCAAGCAGTTTAAAATACAAGGTTCGCTGTAAGACATACAAAAGAATATGCAACTAATCAGTAAACCTGTATGATTAATTATCGATCAGTACTTTAGATAGTAATTCAATTTAGCCCTGTTACTAGCGTCGATTAGTTAAAGCCGTACAATTTTTTCATTTGTAGTTCGCTAGTTAGTTGATACGCTAACTTACCGATATTTGTAAAGCCTGCATCTTATGTAGATCCAAACTGGAGAATACGATCAAGTATCTAAAATGTAGCGAAATAGACACAAAGAAGATGTACGAATAGAATATTGATGAGATAAAATTAAAGATATAATGGATCAGCAGTATCCTTGATAAACGAGCGAGCGTAATTAACAGATTTTAAAGACTCAATTACATTATGTAGGGTATGCATTGACGTTGTAAACGTGCAAGTTAACAACCACGAAATCTAAAAGTAGTAAGTAATCAACATACGGACACATTAGCTTACACAAATACTTTCAGCACGTCGTTAGTGGCCCTTTATGAATCGCATTGGATAGATAGTAACGCTCCAATTTATTGTACTCTAAAATGAATTCGTTTATTGTTGCTATGATCGGCCGTATTGGACATGCATAATTGTGATATTACTTGATGTATGTACTGCTGATGAGGAAATATTCTACTTAATCGTAATATCTTATAATCAAAATTATCTTAGAATTTAATATACAGTAGAGCAGATCTCAAATCAAGTACCATGTTGAGTACAATGATTGTCTGATACTAATACCTCAGCTACTAGATTCAAGGACTTAAATAGTAGTTGGCCGCATATAAAACAAGCCTATTCCAATTTTTCTTAGATGTCAGCCGTGATGGACCTGATGGAAATACAAATAATGACGATGGTGATGATGATGATGATGATGAAGAAGCGGAAGATATGGAAGCTTTCGAAGAGAGCGGATTGTTAGATGATGATAATGCTACTTTGGTCACTAAAGATTCTACAGAGTTAAACGCTAGCGCCATTGATGGTGCTGCAGCGGATGGAGGTATTTTACAAACGCGAACTTACGATTTGCATATAACCTACGATAAATATTATCAGACACCACGTTTGTGGTTGTTTGGTTACGATGAGCATCGTCAACCATTGAAGGTAGAAGAAATGTATGAAGATTTTAGTCAAGATCACGCCAAAAAAACCATTACCATGGAAAGTCATCCTCATCTACTGAATTCTACAATGGCATCTGTACACCCTTGTCGTCATGCTGAGGTTATGAAAAAAATTATACAAACAGTGCAAGATGGTGGCCATGAACTCGGTGTTCATGTGTATCTAGTTATATTTTTGAAATTTGTTCAAGCTGTTATTCCTACCATCGAATATGATTATACTCGGCAATTTACTATGTAGATGGTCAGGATGTTTGATAGCACCCCGATAATTTTCTTAAAATAGGACTGGCAGACCAAGATACAATTGCAACTGCTTGCTGCTTGCTACGTCATTTGATGCTTCGTGATTATTCAGAAATACGTGCATGATTTTTACAGTAGTATTAATAAACAATTTCAAGTATCAATAAGATAAACAATAGTACGGAATGATGTGTAGTAGCGATAGTACGTCATTGTGTGAGTATTATGGATCCAGTATTGATATTATATATATATTATATACATTATAGAGAATATATTTAAAAGTTGATGGCTTAACTGATATTAATGATATGACTCGGAGAATTGAAGTATTGCATAACTGCTCACTATCTTACAAATTGGTAAAATTATGGCAATCTTTAACCCCTTACTATTGACCTCAGAAGTTGAATCAGCTCACAATGTAATATGTAGGACTTCTCTATGTTTTGCTTTTAGACAGCTTATAATGATAACCGAAAACAATGATCTAGTATGCATATCTGTTGTCGTTTGTACCATTCTTTTATTGTGCGCAGCGGATTTGGTGTTAAATTCTCGTTTCTTGAGATAGCATTTTGTCCTTGTGCATAATGATCACCTGTACATATAAATATTAATGCTATACAGTCAATAAATCCTAGTAAGAGACTTGCGTTATTTTACCCGCATTTCTTTACTATTCTAAACTACCGTTTACTTTCACGAATGATTCATCGTGCGACCGGTTTGTTAATCTTTAAATCAGCTAAAGATTTGTAGTGATATTGTACCGTTACCCGGTGGTATACAGTAATACCTATTTTTCAACCTTTAGCCATATCAGTAAATTAGAAAGTATAATAAGATATATAGATTTTATGAAAAATTTCTGATGTGCAAGTGTATTGGATATATACTGTAAGGTATGAAGAAAATATTACTTCATATAGACTGATATCACGTTATTCACATCTTTAATTTGAGGATATGTAATAGATACATTATTCAGAAATGGATAGTATCATCAATATAACTCTAAACTAGCTAGCAAGTGATTGTTCCTGTAAAAATTTATATATAGTTCTTTATAGTCTGTAATTCGTTCGACAACATTTCTTACTTTACTTTTTGCGGATACTACCGTAAATTAATAGTCACTGTAGTCAATTACTACACTCATATTACTGAATATGCCTTTGGAAAATAATTTCTTGCAGCCTGTACAATGTTATTTACAGCTGTATCTAATAAATTCATTAATAAACAATCTTATTATTGATCCACATTGCATGAGCTCTACGGACTACCGCCACTTAACGTTTAGTAATTCCTGGACAGATAGATATTTATTACAGTGTAGCATAGGTAGTGGTTAATTTTATTAATATTCTGTGCAACTATTTTATATGCTACGATTATTCTTATGAATTAGTGCATTAACCACAAATAATAACCTCCTCAGTTTACAGCTCACGAAAATCTTCCACAAAAAAGTATCAGCTATGATAATGCTATCAAAAATAGTAATTAACTCGCCACGTACGTCCTATTTATGCGGTAGGAATCAACGCTACGTGCATGGTACTGTATAATATCTTAAAACATTTTTTCAGCAGTATTGCCTCCTACATGTATGTTGGTAGTGTATTATAGGAGTCTAGCTATGAAATACGACAATTATTCATCATATTATGCAAAATAAATATAAATGACCCATTCCGCAGTAGCACTACACATAGTGTTCTTCAATAAAATGAAGGTGTGCTCTTTTAATACGAATGATAATCGTAATCGCAACGCATGGAATAACCGTATGTATCGACGATATTGCAAAAATTGCAGTCAGCCTAATGGTAACCTATCTGCACTTATATAACATGATCCAATTAGCAATGAAAGAGCTATAAGCTGGACCGTAGCAATTTCTATCTCACAATCATAAAACTATTCCTTTATTTACAGACCTATACAAGTACACTACGATACAATAATATATGAAATCCCATCTCGAACTAATACTTGTACTTGTATTTGCGAGACATAAAATATAGATGCAAATATTGCCAACATCGGAAATATGAAATTAAAATTATGACTAAATTAGTAGCTATCAACATTGATGTCGCAATGATCAAATTAGGCAATGATGGAAGGATAGTGTGATTATTTCGTAACGTAAATCTGCGGGTAGATATAACTGGGTAATATATAAACGCAATCAGTTGAAAGCTGATAACTTTTATAGTTGTAGCCGACACAACATGATACTCTCGATGAAAGCAGTCACTGCATTTTATAGATGAAGTAATATTACAAAATTCTCATAAAGATTATTGAAACTCTACCTGAATTTCCTTACTGTTGAAGTGACCATCATTACAGGCAATAACTTACAAAAGTGTTTTCGGTGGCAAATAGCACAAAGTAAATAAGAGGCAATCTCTGATGATTCCCTAATTGCTTATTGATGCTAAACGCAGTAAAGTAAATGTTTATAGACTGATCATTATGGCAATAAAGTTATGTAATTATAGATCGAAATCAGTTTTATACATCCATCTTTTATATATCCGTTGCCAATCACTTCCGGTTTACAGTTAGAAATACAACGTGTGAAAATCACATTCCATACACTATTGCAGTGATCTACAACGACGATGGTAGCGAGCAACATTATCCATTGCCGAATAGTCAAATTTTGCAATAGCATATACCTGGCAAGCTATGCCTGGCGGATTAATTAGTCATCGCAGCATGCACTTTAAAGCGTTGCACCCTCTACATTATATGACTTAACATCGCAATTAGTAACAAAAGACAATTAAGTCAAAGAAATCAACGGACTGAATAAATAAATAATAGAGTAACTTTGCCATCAAATACAGTTCCATTTACTCCTCGCTGCACAGTAATAAGCCAAAAACAAACTATCAGAAGGTAGTTTTAGTCTATAGGGTCGTGATGACCTTTCCCATAACAGTATACTTTACGCTCGATTAAGTAGCGGATTGAAAAGTGATGGATCTGATTTAAGGGAGTATGGCTAAACTCTATTTGACTACGGAAGGGAAAATACTATGCTAAAGGAGGATAAAACAATGCGCAAGCATTTTAATGTAAATCTTTTCTGGCAATAATCCTTCAGTTATAGTAGGGCATCATGTTATTATTATAAAGACAATAAATAATCAATATCATTGTTTGCACATATTGTCAATAATAGAAAAAAAATGGGAAAAGGTGAAGAAAAGTGCTATACTTAATAGTATTTGAGTTTGTAATAATATCATAGATTCCATCGTAATTAGACTTAATCGGCCCACTAACTGATCATTGTCAAATCATTTCAGAAGCGACATTTCTCCTTGAATGTAATTTTCAAATTTTACTCTAAAATCTCATTGGTAAAGCTCATTTTTTTCTTTACATATTTTAATTAATTCGATGTAGAGACATAAGTAACGTCCAATTGTTTGCTAGCATTGTTTATTCTCCAGGATTCTCTTATTCATTTTTCTTTTGCCTCGATAATCTTTAAGTTAGCGTGTATAAATGAGCGTACATTAAGACAATCGCAAAGGCACTTGATATTTTGGGATTGGATGTAAAGAATTCCATGACTGCATGTCTGAAATTGCTAAGGTAAAAACTACCTGTTGAACATTAGGATTAAGAAAATGTTATAGCTTTGTCGTCGTAATTTACTTCTATTAAGATCACAGACCGTTCATATCATAACATTTAATGGAAGAGCTAGAATATTTTGTCATAAATTACGTGGATTACAATCATTAAAATGACGCAACGATTATCGTATCATGCTAATGTGAATAATATCATCCAGTGTAGATATTAAGATGGCGAAATGAAGATAAAACTAATTGTCTTTGCTCACCAAGCACTTGGTTTTTGAATTTAAAGCTCAAGCTTAGCGAGAATAATTTAATTCTTTTCTTCCTACAGAAATTAAACGCGAAAAAATTCTGATGGACGGTCAAATGACGACGATTTCATTACCCGGAAAAGGGAAAGATGAAATAATTGAAGCAACCAAGGGTATCAGTAGTAAGGTACGGATAGCTTAGGAAGCTTAATATGAGCTATAAGGGTAAAAGAAATTAACTAAAACTAATGACTAGAACGAGAATACTCTTTTTTGCCTGCAGAATGAATCATAGTAGTCCTTTAATAATCCTACCGTTGAATTGCCTTCTGGCAAATTCTATAGAATTATTTAAACATAGCTAAGGCTGAATTGTAATGTAGGATAAGGTTTTCATTTTTTCCTCCAATATATTATGACAATTTCTATTAATAAATCCCTCAGGAATGAATTACTTTCAAAACCACTACGGACTATTTAAGAATTCTACTTCACGTTCATTTCGATAGTACTACCAAGAAATATGTGATAGCCCTTTTAAAAGGACATATATTAGGGTAGCCATAGATCAGAAATATATGGTATCTAGAAATTAAAATTAGATCAATACGCGTATGATAATTTCTATTAATAAATCCCATTGGAAAAAATTATCTTCAAAACGATGATAGAGTATTAAGCCCAAATAGAAAATTATCTACCGCTATTTTGCTTTACCGAATTGTAAATATAGTTAGTAAAGAATATTGAGTTTACTTCATTCTAGAATTCCCAATAAATACAACAAATTGCATGTACAATTCAAAACCAGTGATTTATTGTCTCAATTAACGAATTATTTTTGCTCATAAAATATCTTTAAAACTTTTGTAATCATTAAACAGCGCTAAGCCGTACTTATATCAACGAAGTTATTTCACAGTGTTGCCGAGCTACGGTAAAACTTAATAAAATTTCTGTAAGGAAGTGATAGGCATATCCGTTCTCCCACCATACACGTGATTTAACGCATTAGTAGGTAATTAAGGATGTGCCGTATTGTCCAATAATTTTCTTTCCAGAAGATTCTCATCAAACTTTACGATTACTGAACAAAGTTATGTTCTGGTAATGCCCTTCTAGTTGCTTTATTTAAACCCTACGCAATTTACTGTGAGTAAATTTGTTTAGTAGACAACTTGCTTCCAAAAGTGCCTTTTCGAAAACTTATCGACTATCGTACCTCACAAGGCTTGAATTTCACAAATCAGCAAGAATGAGATAAATTTGGATGAAAATATATTGTCATCTACGGAATCTGTTCAAATTGAAGCATAGCAAAACTCTAACCTATGGGCTATTTCCTGTTTGGTCAAAATATAACGTTACAATATGATATTATGCATTTGATTATCATTTTCATATGAAATAGGATTAAAAAAAATTTTTGAATTTCTTCCCCAGAACAGTAAACACGATTCGATATTTCTATACGTTATTATGAAATAATGATAACTACGTGCATTAACCGAATCGTTTCTTCGTCTCTTATAGTTATGTCGGAATGAAAACAGTTCAGCTAATTATCCTTTTGTGGTAGTACTATTATAGCTACTTTTTAACGTAGTTTTTTTATCATCTCAATATACAAAGTTACCGTAGTCATGATAATATTTCAATGATAATATAATCATACATTAGGTCGATGGATCAACGAGATCCTGAAAAGAATTACCGAATTACATATATCATCATAAACCGTGTAATACATAATTGTTACTTAGCTTTCTCTGATATGGAGATTACAATATTTTAGCGACAAGCTGAACTATGTTCCAAATATTGTGAGATGAAGCCAATATCCTCAGACCATTTCGCATTCGTTCACAATGGATGTATCCTTTCACCTGATGATCAATTAGCGACGGGGAAAGTAGCTTATCGTGCGGAATTTTTCTCATTCGATTTTGATGGACTACTCCGATTTGATCAACAAGCCTTTAACTATGTTTATCAACAAGTAAGTGATATATTTTAACGTATCGAATAACCGTTACTTGGAATATTATGAATCATAAAGCAATGGGTATCTAATCTGTATTTATTTTAAGGCTATTCACTTGCTATAACGTTTGGCTATTATAGTAATTTATTCATTCATTTCTTCATGATTGATATCTTAGTGTTTACAAGATATTGAAGATAAAAATATCAAATTGCAGTGTAATCAAGCCGCTACTTTGTCTGTCTTAACTTGGTTATTAAAAAATTTAGAGAAAGGCCTTGTACTAAACGAAATTAAGGATTTCGATATCAGGTGCGACCACAAATCACAACTACATCGTCTATATTTAAGAATTTTCACCTATAGGTTATAATGTGAATATCTAGTGCAGCGCCAAAATAGGTCATTTTTTTAGGTTAAATTGGAAGATTGTACAGTACTATATTGTATAATCGTCATTCTAGAGACAGGTGCATATAGTGGTTGGCAGGTAAACTTATTCATGTAGTATTAATGCAGCTAACAAGAAATTATAATCCTCATCATAAACTTAAGACATTTCATCACAAAATGCCTGCCGCCTTTACGGAAAGTAAAAAGAAGTACTCTAGACCTTTAACTATTCTTTTTCCATGTGCTAATCTCACTGAATAGTTAACATCATCTAGAGGGTATTCATAGTAGTTATTTTAAATCTTAATAATATATGACTTATTTTATCATTAATACTATAAGCACCGTCTAAAATATACTTATTAATTGTATATTTACGTTGTTTCATCGCAATAATCATACATAATCTCTTAACCTGTAATTAAAAATTAGAAATAATTAATAGATAAAATCGATTGACTATGCGGCTAAATTCCCTTACCTTTTCGATCCCAGATGGAACGATCTAAAACTATTTCGCTGTTGCAAGACTTGCTTATTCCGTCGAATACTTGCAGGACGAAAGAAATCACGTTGTCCAGTTCTAGGACAACTTGTAAAAGAAGGCATTGCAAAGATTGATCATGAAATTATCAATTATTATAACAGAAAAAAAAATCTCTATGCTAGTATGGATAAACAAGAAAAATCAATTAAATCTTCTTTAGTCTCTCCTGAAGAAATTATCTGCCAAGGAGATAATATATCAATACAGACTAGTGAAGATGTATCGACATCTAATTTATCCGTTACTCAAATAGTGCAACATAACATATTAGAATTTCTATTCACACTTAAAGAATTTCAATATAAAGTGTTTTCGGCATTCGAGGTAAGATATTTCTTTCACCTCCATAATACCCAAGATGTAGTATAAGTATTATGCAATCTACAGCATAAAAAGCAGTCAGAGATTAGCTCTGGGTATCGGTCTGCCTTTCTTCTAAATGTTTAAAATATCATCTCAAATAGAAAATGGTATGAAAGCTTTATCAATTATTCTTAATTAAATTGCAGTTAAATTCGCCTTAATTATACAGTTAACCTCATCAGTAATTGATTAGCTAAGAGGTTAATGTCTTCAGTAAATTTTAGCTACAAAATTACATTAGACCCGTTTAAAAATTGAAAATCCTTTGTACTAGTAGCTGCTGATATATATGTTATTAAGTTGATGGTTTAAAATTGACAGTTTCGAATTGTAGATAATTATTTTAAATAACAATTCGTTAACATCCACGATATCAGATCAAATTATAATCATAGACTAGAGAATTATACTAAGCCTTTATAATATATATAAATTCTCACTAGGAGGGAAAGAAAGTGTACGAGATTGCAGTTTCATGTCAAGGCCTCGTAAGTGAACTTATTATTACTATGAACACAGCCACTGTATAAGTAGCAGTAAGCACCCTAGCTATGCCAGTAGAAAGGATACAGAAATTACTACGATTTTCTCTAAATGGCTTTTAACTCTAAATAAAGTCAGGTTTTCGATTTTATTAATTCGGCGCAATAAGAAGTTCCTTCATAACATTGCAATTTAACTATCAGCCTTCATGTCCTTAGTATCATTTTTACGTGTACTGTACGATCAGAATTATCCGAAGGATACTAACAGCATTGTCAGATAAAATAAACTTACCAAATTTTAAAATCTTAAATCTCCGAGTAATATCCTTAGCTAACGAAATTTATACCTTTTTCCATGATTTTTGCGTGAATGATAACGTACCGCACTTGTGAATAATTTGAATCTATAAATAATGTCATCAGACAAACTGAACTTACCTATTTAATATTTCAATAGCGGAATTCTGTGCCAATTTGATAAGTTTCATGACTTGTTTATCATTTTTATTCGTGTAATATTATCCGGATAGTTTGATGGATATTTGTGGTATTTTTAGATAAATCGAATCGATAAAATTTAATACCTTAGCAGCGGCTTCTATAGCTGCGGTGTAAATATTATAATTAACTACTTTATTCAGAAGAGCTATTTATTTGAATTCTTATGCTTCCACAACCATTTTTCTACAGGTATTTAAAATGTCTACCAGCAATAATGAGGAAGAAAAATTATTTTCTATTGAAGATATAATTTCAATCCAAGTCCAGAATCATGTTATTCAAGTTGAAGTCAATCAAATAGATAATTGCAACATTACCAGTTCAATGGACAAATATCTCGAGAAAGAGCTCGGTTATACTGCTTCATATACCTATAAATGGGTAAGTCAATCGTAATTGTAGTAACGTATTCCATTTAATTATTTTACAGAGAATAATTTTCCCAAATAAAACCAACCTACAATAGTTTGCACTTTCCAAAATATCAAGACGCTATCTTTTAGTAGATTCATTACATTGCAATTTCTATATTAGATATTACGCAACAATAGCATGATAATTAATCACATCGTTAACGGCAGTAAAATAATCGCTCTGGATATTACCTCATCCTGTAGCGCTCTACTCTGAATCAGCTTGTATCTACGCAACTTAACTTTCGCTACCTTAAAATTATTTATGGATCTATGATATTTTTAAGGCCTTTCAATTATGTACGTTAGATTGCTGTTATGTAGCATCAATAATGTGCCTTATATACACTTTAAAGTATATTTATATCAATTCATAAATAAAGCAGTATCTTGTTAGTTAGATTTTTAAGGGTATCCGGGAGTGAATCAGATTGTTTCTTAACAATTTCTCGTGGAAAAACAAACTACAGTACATGTTGTGGCATGTTATTTTATGCTAAAATATGTACTAACGTAAGATTTTTCAGCGTTTAATAATATTTTGCTAATTCAATACTATTGTAATAAGTACGATTGCAAGTTTGATGCTTAGTGCTTTATAATAATCGAGATTATAATAGTAAAATCCTTAATACTATTTTTATTTAACAGGCATGTCAGAACGAAATGAAAGCTAAATCTTTCTCAAACGTTCTTAAAGGCTATTACAGATTGTTAGTAAATCGAAACACTAATTTATCAGGAGGTAAAGGGTTTAGAGACTGTAATCTGGAGTATTTTTTAATTATGCCAGATTCACGATAGAAATGTTTATTTTATTTAACAGATGTGAATTCTACATGTTCTGAATATAGATTTGTTGTAAACTATACCTGCTAGTTTATCAGTAATATATATACATCAGTAATAATGCCTGATGAGACCATTAATTTAGGAACATCTAAAATTACCGCCACAAAAGGCAGATTTTGATTAAATAACATTGTAAGCCAGATCATTATCTTTTGCAGGTAAACAAGAAATAGCAGTAGATTTAGAAAATGAGCTAAAAGGTGTTCTTCATGGGCCATTACGGTTAGTAGAGATTTAGATCGCAGTATATAAACAGATTTTAGCGTAGGCTATTTTTTTAGCTATATTCACTTTCAGACGAGCAGGGTAAAAGATAAGCAGCAAGCAGATATACTCATGTAAAGTTCCTTGAATAATATACAGACTTAATATGCTATAAAGTCAGAATATTTAGCTCTAAACTAATCATTAAGAGTCTCCCTCCATAATGTATATCAATCGAAAATATTCGTTTATAGGATTAATCTAGATGCTAAAATTCTACCATTTTGAATAGCTGTTCTAAGAAAGCATTATTAGACCGCGTTAATCAATATCACGCTATTTTTCTATCAATGATAGATGTTCCATTGCATTGGCCACTATTATGTCTGTTCTACCAAATCACGGGTATTATCTAATTCAAAAGGATACAGAATCTTTTGAATTTGTTAATATCATAAATTATCATCAAGAAAAAAACCAGTACCAGAGTTTTAGAATTATGTTAAAGAATATACGAGATGAGAACGACTCAAATTCAAACGAAATTTCACTTCAAGACATCAAAGACTACATAGAAGCAAAATTAAATAAGGTACGTAGCTAAAGGCGTAAATATTAGTTATGTAACTGTATAATAAGTAAACTATTGGCAGTTTGCTCAAATGGCCACCTAATTATAGCCTAATGTTGAATTCTATTGCAAATCTGCTATAATAAAAGACTTTATTCAGATCTTTCGTTCGCAAAATGTGAATTGTTAACCAATGCTTTACTATTTAGAGAGGCTACCTAGGATTTAAAAAGCCAATTGTGGTGAAATCTACAGGTAGATAAATTTCACAAATTCGTAGTTTTCTTTGATCTGATGGAATATATTTGAAATATGAACGTTATGACAAGGAGATATACGAGTTAGTCAGGTGCTGGTTAACGTATTTAAATAATGAATATTTGCAAATTTACCTTTATGATAACTATATGATTTGGATATTTTATAAATTAAGCGAGAACTTTTAGGCCTTAATCATTTAAGTTAGGTTTATCTATATGATGTACATACAGGTGCATGTTACAGGTACTTACAGGTGGATGTTAAGTGATGAAAATTAGATATAAATTTCCATCAGAAGTGATCTATAACAAGTTTTTTAAAGTAGCTCAGTGACTAATCCTGATATTCAAATTAAAGAATTAAGCTATGTAACTAATGATATGAAATTGAATCCTTTCCAAGCTGAGTGCAAGACTTGTATTTCCTATTAGTAACGAATTTTAGTAATGCATTAGTGAAAGAATTAGTATACGAAAAGATATAACTAAATATTAACTAAAAGGCGATATCAGATCAAAATCAGTACTGGCATAAATATATTCGATATAGCTGCTTCAAAACCTACTGTAGATCAATCTTAAGGAATGACAACTTATTACTTGAACATAATTTTGCTAAAATTTGCAAAGTTTCATTTCATATTAACATACCAGTTAATTTTATACATAGTTTAATGTTGTATGGACATAAATACTTTCAGGAAAATTACCTCGATTAGCCACTGTTCATTCGAGAGATGTTACCTTCAGTTATCCATGGACCATAAAAGGCCTATCCGCACACTATAAGCTCGTCAATCCAGTTCATAAGGATTCAAATACTGTAATAAAATATAATATTTATAATAATTACATTGAAACTTTATCCGATATTTAAAATTAATTAATATCATGATATGCTATGTATTCAATAATGTGTTAGTATTTGAGATCTTATATGAACAATTAATTATTTTAAAAGTCTATCGCTCATTCCTATTATGGTATGTGGACCTCATCTGGACTTTATCATATGGCTCCAAATACACCCATTTTAGTTAAAAAAATTAAACACTACCGTTGGCTCAATATCAAAGAGGTAGGATACACATAGTTGTACCTAAGTAATTCTTAATTTATTGACTTAAATATAAGGCTGTTTTAAGATCAGTTTTGAAATCTTTACAATCAATATAGACGTTATACGGGTTTAAGTAAATCTTGTGGCTAAGACAGTTTCAATATCTATAAGCAGAGGGAAAAATGGAATCAGTTAATTACTAAACACTACTATAATTCTTTTTCAGGGTGTATTCACATTAAGTCATCCAAATATACTTACAATGCTTGCACTTGGCGAAGTTTGTGATGATCAAATAACTCTAATATATGAACAACCTTCATTAGGATCACTGGCTGTCTTTCTAAAAGAACACACGTAAGAATTACGAATTAGTTGGCTAATATTAAGTTAACTCGTAGACGGGTTAATTCTAGTAGATTGCTATCGTATTTACATTGTAGAAATTATATTTCAAAATAGTGCCGGATTTTTAGTTCGCAGTCGTTAACTATCGCACAAATTTAAAATCTTTATCATGAAATAGAAATATCCATACAACACGACTCATTGACTATAGTTACCAGATCGCCCTAGCAATGGAATACATTGAATCTAAGGTTTATTACTTGCACCTCGCTATGAAATGTAGGCTACGAGTTTTTCAATTTTGGTAATTTATGATAATTTGGAATTGCTTTGAATATTCAACCAGGGATATGTCCACGGTTGCCTTTGTGCACATAATATTTATATGAAGACAGCTGATCATATTGTTTTAAGTGAAATTGGCCTCCAATATGCGACTCAGAAGGCCAATAAAAAGAGTTCAAACGAGTATATCAACTATATTGATCCCAGAACAGAATATCATTATGATTATCAATATAAAAGCGAATTGTAAGAGACTTTGCGTTATTAAAATGATAAGTTACGGAAGTCTTGTGTTATAAGATTTGCGACAGCCAAACTGATACTTTTTTGTACACGCATGCATGCTACGTCTTAGCAACACTCATTATATCGTGTCTTCCATATTATAATAAATAGTATAGATTGGTGGTCTCCAGAACTACTTACTAGTAGTGATGTGCTCTTTAATCATAAAACTGATGTTTGGAGTTTTGGTATTACAATTTGGCAAGTATTTAATAATGGAAATAGGCCATTCAACAATTTAAATCATGGCATGGTAAGTATGATATTACAAAATATTGCTAACTTGTTCCTATATTCTCATCATTACTTTTGTTTACCATTATTTCTATATTTAATGTTAGAAAATTTCTATGATCAAAGAAGGCATTTGGTTGGATAATACCAAGTATGTATAGACGAGTTATTATTACTACGTAGTAAAATTATTATTTATGCTATTATGGGAAAATTAAACGAAAATTGACGGAGTGAATATTAATAAACTTACACCTATAAAGCTTATCGCAATTTATACTGTAATATGGAACAATTCATTCTTTCACATATCTATGATATATAGATTTCCATCACTTGACATTACCTATTTAATGTTCAAGCAATGCTGCCATTATGATGCAAATGTAAGATGTACTTACACGCTTAGCATTGAATATCTATTAGAAATATTGTGACCATGTCAAAGGATATTATCTACGTTATTTTTATATCTTAACCATTGACTTTCCATAGAGACGACCGAAGTTCCGAAAAATCGTCGAAGAACTGAAACAGATAAAAAAAAATCAAGGCAAGGAGTTTAAACAAATAACAATAACAAGCTTTCCAAATAGTGAAGAAAGCATGGTCATCGATAGTAAAAGACTCGATGATATGTTTACTGAGACAAATTCTAATAAAAGTGATCAGGTAAATGGTAATTTGGTGCTAGAATTTAGAATTAAAAATTCGGTGCTGCCCTCTTTTTAAAGCTACTTCTTAAATTAGGGTAATTATGGCAGAGTTATGCCTTATGATCTCTCAGCAAGTAAACAAGTGGTAAATATTAATATATCATGTCTTCTCATCATCGTCTAATATTATATTTTAAGCCGTAAATCTCATTTATACCAACTGTATGTTTTCACTTTATCAACTCTAAATTGCCAACTATGTACTCTTAAAATCGATAGAACTAGCGACTCAGATCGAGACGTGATATCAGTGCTAACCTTGCATTGATGTACGATATTGTTTTTGAATTATATGCCGTACTTCATAGCAAACGCAAATACTGCACTAGCTGTTCATTAGAAGGATTACATAAAGAATGAGATATTATACTTTCCTTTTCCATTTCTTCATAACATAAAATTAAAATAACCAGCGAGTGCATTACACTAAATCCACGTATAAATGTTATCTAGTATCAATTCTAAAAGATTAGTAATGAGTATTACTTTCTCCTGTTCTAAATACATTTAAGCTTTAAGTACAGCGCTTTGAAACGTACCATAGTTAAATGTAAATTAATAAGTTCATATCTAGCTTTTCACAACGAAATGAAATTAGATCATAAATCCTTAAATTTTAACGGAATGAGTAGATTCTTCACGAATATTTGCACATAAAATACATATCAGAGTTCTAGTGAATTCCCTTGGCATCTGTACTTCTTTAATATACTGTAGATTGAATATTGCCCCTGATCAAATAATTAGTTATTTATAATCATGCTATGTAACATTAAGGTATTCATTTCATGTAACTATTAATTTACATTGCATGTTGTACTGTTGAAGTAAGCTATATTTCAATATTCTAAAATGTCATAGGCAATTAAATGCCATTTGAATAGAAGCGATAAAGGTGGCTTATGTTTATATTCGGAGTACCGTATACTGAAAGATTTAGACTGCCAATTTATTATAAAACCTCTTGGATATGGAGTATTAGGTCAGAGTAACAGATTTAGATCATTCTATATTTATGTACTCTTGAAATTAAAATGATGACTAATGTTGGCCAATGATTTCTAATCGATATAGGTAAACGAAGTTATATGGTCTTGCCCTATTACCCCGCAAAAGATTTGTTTAAGTATCTTCAGAATCGAAATGCCAAAGTTGGCGATTCTTCGTCGGTTAGTGCTTGTATTAGTGTTAATATCGAGTGTAAATATCATCGGACCACACATAGAGGAGCATGATAAATCAGTTTGCACTTGTTTAATATCATCATATTTATTTATTGGTATCTCATCATTAAAGTATATTTATTATTTTCCGATAAAAAGTGTAATGTAGGACAACTGTATAAGTTTGCGAAGCAGATTGCAGATGCCCTGGATTATTTGGTAAGTAGAAGAGCTAGACACTAAGTACTTTTATGTTAGAACTTGATACAATACAGTATGTGCCTAAATTAACTACTGTATTCGCTGCTTCTAAATCAATTGATATCCTGCTAATCAATTTATTACGAACAATTATAAGTTTGAATCTGATACAAATTAAAACATTCTCTAAGTAAGGACTATGTATTTAATCTTAAAATATAATAACTATGCATCTTTAAATCATTGAACAATTTCTTTATTTTTTTAGTTTAATTATAATGATATGTAAAAAATGACGCTTTACATTCACTCATGTAAAAATATTTTATCCTTAATGATGGTAATGACATTTTAATAGCATAATAAATGGATAGTCCATCGCGATATTAGAACTCCTAATATTTTAGTGGATGGTGCTGGGCATGGAGTTAAGTTAGCAGATTTTGGAATAGCTGAGTACGTTACTCCAATGCTCAATAATGGATGTCACCATAAATGTGTGAACCAATTGGCTGGTTTACAGTTGCCGAAATCCAGGTAATATAGAAGTTGAAGTAGTTTAAATATATCTATAAAATTGAATACTCATGTTTCCTGTAGACTGCTTAATAATGTAAGATAAATTAATATATATGACTTTTTGCTATGGCATATGGGTATTCTAGTACTTATCTTAATTAAAATTTTTAAGGTACTTAGATGATACTAATTAAAATTGATCAATTACTTATTTTGACCATTGTAAACGTCTTGTCTGAAATGTACGTGAGAAGTTACCCTCCTGAAGCCGTCACTAAGCGAAATAGGTAAAACAATTGTTGTTCTGGTTACTATAAGATTATAGCTTTCTAAATGCTAATGAATACCATCAAGTATACTTTGCAGTTAATTCTACACTTGATATTACATCAGTAAGAGTTAAAATTGCATATTTTAGTAGTATCTAACGCTTATTCATCTAAGAGTGTAATGCTAATCAACAAAACTAGCATATACGCTTATCTATTCTTAAGTCAAACATCTAATTCGCAGTCAAAATCACATTAATGGACTATTGAGTAACTCTATTAAATTAAATATACGCGTATTTCTGACTGCTTTAAGCGCTTTTTCCAATGGTAAATAATTTTATAATTCTAACTTCACAACAATTACTACTAACACTGCAGTATATAAAAATCATTCTATTCAGTGATGCAGTGCCAAGACATTTTTGGTATATTATACTATTGTAGTGCAGCCTCAAATATAGCTTAGATTACTATTATAAGACTGTACGAGAATAACTTAACTTGTAAGCTAGAGTGTAAGATTGTATAAGAGTCTATTTGTAGAAGATGTTTACAGTACGTATTGTAGCGAATCTATTAAGATGTTTATATAAAGATCTGAGATATACAGTAAATAGATTTGCGCTAAGTATGTTAGTACTGTAAGTATTGTATTGTAATGCTTTAAAATAGATGCGCGAATTATGAATAGATTGCGCGATAGTAAATTTAGATCTGATCTTGCGACTTAATGGGCAAGATAAGATTTGTTACAGTAAAAGCATTCTGTAACTAATCGTATATAAATCGTGAATTTTGCTGTAATAAGTAGATTGTCAGATAGTCAGATAGTCCTTGGTAGTTAGACGAACCTAACTTCTGCAATAAAGTGAAATTTGCAAGAAACTGTAATTCTTGATTTATTGTTTTGAAGATCACTTTATCACAACTATATACGTATATTTGCTTCTAGGCCTTATTAATCGATTCATGTTTAGAATATTAATTCAGTACTTATGTGAAATTGCAATTAATACTCGTAGCAGCTAAATTTTAGATAAATTGCAATGATATTGTGCCTTTTGGTATTCCACAACAAAGGCTTCTGCATCGTCGCTTTGAACTATGTATATCATCAAATGATTTAATTATGGTTCGATAATTTCAGATACGCAGAAACTTGGTATGGATTTCCAGCTGAAGTATGGAGTTTCGGGATCGTTATGTGGGAGATTTTTACGTATGCCGAAATAGCAGCCTCGCGGCTAGCGGTAGGTATTCCAATAAATTCATATATAAAATAGTCTACTTTATATATCTAATAATGAATCGATAAAAATAGTGTTCTATTCTATCCGTTGATTTTTTCTTATTTCAGAATAATGCATTTTTTAAAATGTCCGTTTCGTGTGAAATCTTCATAGTAACATTACTGTTATGCTATTGATCTTTTTGAACCCTTTTAGAATAAGGCTGAAGGAATTTCTGCCGACTTACTTTTAAGCAGAGGACCGAGTAATAATCCTGAGTTCCAGCTGGCTATCAATTTAATACGCGGTTGTTTAAAGGAAAATCCAGACACTCGAATTAATATCCGTCAAATACTATCAAAATTAGATCAGAGATGCAACACAATAATTTATTAGAATATACTTTTCATCATTTCACTACCATAGATGTAATGTACAGCAATTAGTTTCATACCAATGGGAATGTAGGATAGAAAATTTTTACGTTATGATTACAAATCGTCCACGAGTGCCGAAATTGTCAGCAATGCGGCACATAATTTTTCTTAATTACGATACTCACTTCAAAACTCCACTGGTCTTGTATCAAAACCGCTGTCTATTCTATAATATGCAATTTGAAAGAATCAGATTATGATTCTCTTAACATAGCATCTGCATTAAACTTTATTAAAACAGCATATCAGTATAGTTTAAAGCTCATTCTAGTTCTGTTTAAATTAAGATTATATAGTTCATTTTTCACCAATAATAACTATCTAATATCCACATTCTTCATTTTGATTGATTTTTCTTGTGGTTATCATCTATTATCAATTAATTGGCTGTTTGCTAAGTACGATGATGAATTGCAAAGTTCTAGATCGCTAGTATGTTGTGCGTTGGACATATTTTACGTTCGAGCAGGATATATGGCGTATTCTAGTGTCATGCCAAGACAATTTCACCATTTACTACACTATCTTCTAGTGTGTAATATTTGCTAAACATGGTGCCGTGCAAGGTGATCAGATTCTGAATATCCTAAATACCAGTAATGATTTCCACAAAGTCGTTTATGCCAATTCTAGTTTATACTGTACACTATGCGAATGCAGTATTATATTTTTCTTAAATGATATGAGCTCATCATTATAATTCTATACTGTAATAATTTTAAAGTGGCCTCTTGTAAAAATTAGTAGTATCGACAGTATGACTGATATTATACCAATTTGTTGTAGGTACTATGACACGATGGTTTGTTATTGAACCATTTTGTATACCGGTCGTAAATTATGATTGAAATTAAGTAGTGTAATGATTGTAGCTTCTATATACCACAATATTTAAATAGGATGAAAATATTGTTCATTAAAAGGTTAATATTTACGTACGCACGTTGACCTCTAAGTATACGAAGTTAAAACTCTTAGAAATAAAATGTATTAATGATTCATGAATTACCGTAGTTGGTATAATTTAATTTTTTTATTTATAATTTTTTTAATGGTGCTTATGCATATGCTTATTTTTGGAAAGCCTTTAAAATTTCACGAATGTTATCGAGTAACTGTTGTGTAGCTGTCGCAACATAGATTCCATAGAATGATTTATCAAGGAATGCATTTGCATACCGTCATCTATGACGCTTTATATATTTTTAATAGATAATTGCATAGTTTTACAATATTATCGATAAACTGATCATTAATATTTATATCGATTTACCCTAAATTGATTGACTTTTTCAATAAAGTTTAGATTCAGTTATGTCGAAGCGACTAGTGGTGTTCCTGTTTCTCTTGATGATGATAGGAGATCGTCAGTATATAGAGTTGTATTATAGATTAATGTCACGGAGGACAAGCTGACAGTAGACGGATAGTGTGTAGTTGCCTATAATAGTTTAACTTTTCCTCGTTACAAATTTCGTTTTTCAACGATGGGATCTAGTTTTATTCAATCTATCACTACCTGACAGTAGACAGATAGTGTGTAGTTGCTTATAATAGTTTAACTTTTCCTCGTTACAAATTTCGTCTGACATTAGACGGATAGTGTGTAGTTGCCCTATAATAGTTTAACTTTTCCTCGTTACAAATTTCGTTTTGTAATGATGGGATATAGTTTTGTTCAATCTATCACTACCTACAAAATCGTGCAAACTCTGCAGCATCTTCTTTCTGAATATTACCCATGTACTAAAGCAATTTAGGATGAGCATTAATTGTCTGTTACTGCAGGCCAGTTCAAACAATTTAGCACTCTAGAAGGTAATAACATACAAGAACTACTTCACAGCACAACGTTCCACGGTGTGACTTTGCAATTCTTCAATATTGCATTGCATTGCATTTCATTCCCTTTCTAGTGCTTATAGGGCATACGATAATTTACTCAATATTGACTGCACATTTTCCCTCCTTATTATGCATCATTATTTGCTGTTCTACCTTTCACCTTGGTGCTTTCCTTTAGCTACATCGTTGAGAAAGTAACGAGCAATTGTTGTTGTAGACCCATAGATATAAGAGTATTCCCACTTTATGAAGTACGAGTGGGATGAAGCCGTAGGTGATTACTTTGAAGGTTGTAACATTAAATGCGATGAATAAATATAGTATTTTCAAGATATTGAACCAGTCCTATTACTTTTTGAATGGGCCTCGTGTTGATCGCCTTATTTTGCAGTCACATAGTAGAATAAGAAGAAAGTTATAATAGCGATGTAAAGTTAAGCCGTGTGGAAGGAATGGTAGGTTTGAAATCAGTCATGTAAAATAGTTTGAGAAAATGCTGGGATAGACCGTTCGATCGGGAAATGCTAGCATAGCACAGTAAACTGACAGCAAGGCTAGCATCGGCCGTCGAGCCATATAAACCTAGCTTTGGCCAGTCAGTATATATGGCAATCCTAGGTTTGGCCTGTTATAGTCTTTTCCCATAACATCGATAATATCATCCAGCAACAGTAAATTATTCTGCTCACTGTTAACTATCGTTACAATATCGATACTTAGGAAGGATGGATGATTGCGCATAATACTTTCTTCATAGTATTGATGGCAAGAATTGTAACACGTTGATTAAGTTGCTGACTTAGGTTAACCTTGCAAATAATACTCGGTAAGTTTTGTTGTTCTATCGATATTATCATGATAATAAGATGACAAACGGCTTCATTAATGGAGAATGTTGACGGTAATTTAGTATTATTATTTATTCCAATATAATCGATACATTCAAGAAGATGTGCGGTTACTTTATAATATTATTTATATTATTTAAGGCAGTACCTTGAGTACTATTGGGGTCAATCGCTTAATGAGATGTAAATTAGTAATTCGATAGTATCACTGAAAATATCCTAACGCATTATTATTCTTATTATAACAGCATTGCATAATGCTGCAGCTTTGATACTGATCTTATAAGTAAAACTGAATTACGGCATGCCTGTGACTGATAGCAATAAAAAAGTTTCAATAGTTGTTCAAAGTGATCGAGATGGAATCGATCTGCCTTCTAGTCTTACTTCAGTGGCCTATAGACGAATGTAGCCTAGCCTAAAATTGGATGTCTTAAATGGCGATAAAAGTTTATATGTAAAAGTGTGATACAATGTTCAAACATGTCCGGTAGAATGAAATGTACATTCATTCATAAAATACAGTAGTTCAAGTTGATAATGCCACTTTCTGAGCATGAGGTAATATTTTCTTTGAAGATAGTCCAATAGGTTATCATATGCATCGAGCCTGTATACCGTATATTACCCCAAGAAACGATCACATTATTTCACGATCCTATGCTACAATATCTGTATTCATTTCTTTTCCGGATTATTTTGATGCATTTCTCAATCATATTTTGCAAAAATAAGTGCAAATCTATGTTCGAACACTACCTGTCCAATCCTTTTCCTTGATTGTGACTGTTCTATGCCTCTCATAATACCAGTTGAAACGAACATTACAACATGAAGATTAGTATGTCATTTTCGCATCTTAAACTAGAAGCCAATGTACATAAAGTCTATCCAACACAGACAAAAACAACGGTTCAATACTGTTTAATTAAAATAAGACAAAAAGGTAGGCGTCAGAGGTCAAATTGTACAATATTGGCGAAGGAGAAGGAGAAGAAAGATCCAATGTAGTATTTATATTTCCTAGTTGACACACAGCGAAATGGATCTTAGTACAGCGTCAGTTTCAAAGAGGTGTAAAAGGGATATAACGTTCCAAAGACGATGATGACTCTTTCAATCGTGTTCTTTGAACGCTATACTCTAGAATGGATTTGGCTCTCGCTTTTTTGATTGATTTTAGTTAGAACATACAGTTCATGATAGCGTGATCAATTCAATTTGGCATAGATGTAAGTAGAATTATCTTTATTGACTATGTTAATGATTCATTGATAACTAAGTCAATAAATAGATACTGTAAGTGAATTACCCGGTCAACATCATTCATGTAAAACAATGTATTGCATCAACTACATTCATTAATTGACGTTGTACAAATAAATGTTGACATCGTCTCTTAAATTGTATCCACGGAAAATAAACGCGGTGACATAATAAAAATAATCACATAATAACTTGGGCTGCTGTTAGCATGAAGGCGGTACCGATGGCATTGGAGATTTCTTGTTCGGCTTTTCTATGGTAAATATTTTGTACAAATATTCTCATCACGCCGGGTTGATATCATGCAATGGATTATTGATTTTTCCTGGTATAGAATGGAGTAGTTGCAATGCTTAAAAAGATTGATGACAGTTAGAATTGAATGTTTTATGTGGACTAGATTATCATTGAGAGTAAATTAAATTGATCCATCGCAGAGCTCCTTAGCGTGCTACAGATTGCATATGATTAGGGTGAGTATTTGGACTTTACATACAGTATTCTCGCTTACCACTCTATCTTTAAGGATAAACAGTAGAATAAAGATGTGAAAAGATTTTAAACAGCGAGACTATAATTTAATTAGTATAGTATAAAAGGGTGCATAGCTTATTGATGACTATGCGTATAAACTGACGACTTGTAAATCGTATACAGGGCAGAGCAATTGGTGTCCTTATTCCGCCATAATAAAAGGTGGCGGCGTACCGATCCTTCAAGCGATTCGTCACCAAAGACTATATACAGGAGGGAGGATTAAATCTATTTAACTGTCAGGAAATGATTGATAAGTATAAAATGATTTACTGTAGGGATATTCTTTGTCATCGGGTTTAAGCAGTAACTTGGTCATCGAATGGTGATGGGCATCCACAATGATCGATAATATTCATTTGAATTTTGGATTGCAAAGTGTAAAATTCCCCCTAACCGACATGGCTTCAATCTTGATAAGTTAAAACAAGGCATCAGTAAATTGTAAATATCGAGTTGTTGTTCTTGATGCTTTTTTAATGTTTTGAATAGCGAGCCAATCCATGATCAACGTAATACTAGCCTAATGACAAATTGGAGTGATTAATACATGCTACGTATTCAAGACTGTTGGATGAATTGGACAAATTGGATGATCAATCATTGTGCCGGTTTATCGAATTCTCCTGTAGTTTATTGATCAAGTAGAAAAAAAGATTGAAAGCCAGCTGCGTTGTGCCTTTGACCAGTGCTTCCTGGAGCGTAGCAAAATTGATATTGACCAATTTCATCGCCATTTTTTAGTCTCTCTCAGCTGTTTGGAAAAGTCAATGGAGAATCGTAAGAATGGAGGAGTGTAGTGTAACTTAGTATTGTGATTGTAGACTGTTAGCCATGTTTAGTATAATGTTGGGTAGATATTTATCCTAAGAGATATTTGGTAGCCATAACTATAGACTGTATTGCTATAGACTCTATGCTAGAGTACAGATGACTAAATACAGTAAGGCGTTGAGTTACTAATAAGGTTATCGGTAAACATAGAACTGTAAATCATATATTAGGATATGGTTAATGCATTGTACTGTACTTTGGCTGGTGTGAATAATGTCTACATAAATACTGTAGTCGTATCCATATCGGATTAATGATGGTCCGCAGTAGAATTGTGTTACTAAGAACAATTTACTATGTGTAAAATAAGGTAAAAGGTTGCCATGCGGATTGTAGCTGCGAATGCTACGAAAAGTATAAAAGCATGCAACTTTAGATTATTCTATTAGTTGGTTGTAGAAATCTTCAGTAGTAGTATTCGGCTAGAGTAGAGCTGTGTGTAGTTAATCTGAAGATTCAATAAAGCCCTTATTTTTCTAAAATTTGGAATTTGGTGATTGGTATCTATCACAAGGAGGCTACGAATGAAAAGTCCATCCTTTAACAAGTTAATTTTCCTAAATGGACTCGAAATATGCGTTAGCAAATTAAAGATAGCACTCTCTCTGCCTAATGTCATTGCAATTATAGCAGAATCACTATCAACCGTAGAATAAAAGTGCTAGTAATACTCCCTATCAATACTGTTTTGATATCCATTCTTGACAGTAAAAAATACCATTTGGAAGAGAAGGATTGAGTTATGTGCGCTGATCAAAGCAATTCTCGACCATTAGACAAGCAGGATAGCGTTATCTGGAAGGGCAAATGTAATTCTCGACCATTCGACAAGCAGGATTGAGTTATCTGCGCTGGCAAATGCAATTGCCAACGCATGGAACCAGAAGGTTAAAGTGATCCAACAGCAAGGGGGAAGGGTAAGCTGCATGCCACCATGTTGAATGGCCAGGCGTGTGTCCAGAATACTACAGTATGTAAACAAATGGTCAAGTGTAGAGCATAGCATACAGTCAAGTGAGCACTTGTAGCTGGACTAGAATGCTGACTTGAGTATGAATCAGCAGAGGGGCCATGGCCTAGGGCGATTGACACGCCTACCCCGGCTCGCCACTCTGACCCATGACATGGGCAAGCCATCCCCTGGTCGACCGTCTAAGTAGGGTGTCTGGTATGGGTGATAGTAATGTATAGCTTAGTAAGAGAAGATGGACAGTCGGTGGAATAGTATGACATTGGTCTTAACCTCTTCACCCATATATATAGTTTTCTCTTTCACCCCTGTCACTCGATCCGATGGTACCGTAGGGTAGAAGACGCAACACCCTTTGCCTCCATCTTGCAGTCCAATTGATTTTGGCCTTTCTAATTCTTAATTTGGCTTTTTCTCTTTCACGTTATTCACCTTGTATTCCCACTTGATCCAAGCCATTACACTGGATTTATCTTCAGTGCTATTACACCTTGGTTGATCGCATTGTTGGTCCTATTTATTGGTAAGTGATTGCTTGGATAGAATCGATGGACAACATTTCCCATGCAATGCTTTGCAAACTGTTAAAAAACGAGCTATGCCATTTTTCATTTTTTCCATTTCATCGACGATGACTATGCACAAATCGATGGAAAATTTACCTCCTTTCCCTTTTGTCTAATCAGTTCCAATCGATCAGAGTAACGTAGAGCATGCAGCGATGATGTTGAACAATCGATCAGTCTTGATTTGTTGTTTGTGATAAGGTAATTACGGCAATTAGCGTTCATGTCATGACAAGCACAATTTTTTTCATTTCTTCCATTTCTTGTCCATTCCTGCTGTTTGACTTTCAATTCATACAGTAGAAATCAATCGGATACCTACCGAGAAGGACTGATATGATAGGATATAGCCGATAGGATGGATCATGCGTTATCACATCCTAGACGATATTAGTTTTTCCACTAAATGTGTCGACACTCGCTGAATCGACGCTCACATCATCATTTTGATTTATTCACCGATTACGTTCACTTTCTTTCTCACTCTGTTTGCCTATCCATTCTAGCATTTGAATACACCTGCCAATGGATTGGTTAACTAGCGCTACACAAGATGACAGATACCAGTTGTAATGCTTAAATGCATCATTGCCATCAATGTTGTCTACAAGAAGGCAGAAAAAAACACCATTTGTTGATCAGGAGCGCATTTCATTTCATTCTATCTTAAAGTAATGCATGCATTAATCCCATCCACCATCATCATCACCGACTTTGCTATTTTAACTCTACTACTTCAATGCTGATGATGATTTACAGAGTATTGTGGTGATTACAGTTGAAAAGGCTTAGTTTACTGTAGGCTGTTGGAGTAGAATCCAAAATAAATTGTCCAGCATTGTATTGAGGAAGGATTGTTTAATCAATTGAAAGGACATCCAATTACCCTTTTGTACAAAACAAATCTTTTCCTTAACAAATCGGCATGGCGTAGCAAATAGATAGAAAGAATACAGTAAAACCAACATGAGATCAATCCAAGGGATTACTTGAACCAAGTGATTACTACCAGAAATGGACTATTGGAATGATGAACCGGAAGCGATTTTCAACACACAACCAGTCTGACCGGCACAAATGCTCAATCAGTCTACTTTTCTCTGTAGCCGCATTTATTGCCATGATAGACATGTTGATGACTATCGTCTGCAATTCTTGCCTGTCGACATCCAAAGGATAAATTATCATCGGTTATTTTTTCTCAATGTCTCCTTTTTTATCCACCGTGATGATTGCTGTTTCTATCTTATTGCACTTGATGTTGTCCTATCAGTCACCAGCTAGTTTGAACTGTGCTAAATGACATTAATTAAATTGTATTTTTTTTTTTCATGACCATTTTATTGATTTATTTCTTTCTTTCTTTCTTTCTAGAAAATCCAATATCGGTGTAGTGTCGATAGCAATCATGCCGCTAGCAACGCGTGGACTGATCGCTCCACAGAATATGTTTTTAGAAGATCTCATTGCTAGATCGAAAAATCTAGGTAAGCCTTCATCGGTAGACATGTTTTTCTTCAACATGGCAGACATCCATCACTATTTTCTGTTGACATAGTGGTCGAGAAGAAAGGAATACACAACTGCAGTACTTGCATTATTATGATGATGAGAACATCAACACTGCAGTACTTCCATTCATTATTATTCTCATCATCATGATGAGAACATCAATTTGATTGCTGTCCTTGATGGAGGCTTGCAGTGGATGAACAATTTCTATTTACAACATGCCTAAAAAAAAAAATGGGTTGTACTTGTAGCGTCTAGGACATTCACTACCTTGACTTTAGATTGAACATTAGTTTTGATCAAAATACAGCCATTGTCGTTTCTTCTTTGTTCAATCTTCCACTTGCAGATGGAATAAATGGATGAAGAAGAATGGCTGTTGAAATCAATCACAACAAGGAGAAGCTATTGCTTTCTTTTGCTTAGTCCCTACTTGATCTCGTCGCTTAATCCAATCCATCGCCGTATGGTAATATTGCAACCCAAGCTTTTGCAATCGATCCTATTGATAATAAGGATTCTACACAAGAGCTACTTTTAAAATGAAATAATCCAATCATCATCAACTTGATTCTGTTGTTGACGATAGCATTCTTTCAAATATCCCAAAGACATGATCATTTCTTTCACAATCAACTCTTAATTGTGGTTACCCACATTTTATGTTTCTTTCTGTATACCATGTTGATCGACAATCGATTGGACTTGCATTCTCAGCTGAATAGAGTACAATTCCCTGTCTATTCCATAGACCATCTTCTCCACCAACAACAAACTGATGGCAACAATTCTTCTTTCCCTTTATATCATTGCCAAGAGAAATTTTGCCCACTTTAGTCAGAATCTTGCCAAATCTTTCTAGCCGCTGACATCGACTCTACGAGTACTGCGGTCAACTTGTTCCTTCTTTCAAACACCAACATTGCTTACCGCCGCCATCACTGGATGGCGGCGGTAAGGTTACATGTTGGACTGAAAATTGGTATATGTAGGAAAGATGGACAATTTATCATTAGTAGGATAGGTTAATGGATTATTTAGGCAGAGGATTCCCATATTTTTGGTTTTTCCCCCTCTCCCCCGTTCAGTTTATTTAATTTTTTTTTTTAATTCATTTTCATGTAGACATCGTCTATCAACAATAGACAATCGTTGGAAATAATATTCTCTCTAGCTCGACTAAAAAAATAATGAATGCTATCCACCCTATGAGCCAATTCTAGCTTTTGAAATTTATTTACTCTTGTGATAGTACTGATGTATCCTTTCATGTTTACATATTTCCATTAACCAACTGTTCAATTACATTATCAACGCTTGTAGAAAGCAGCAGATTTGTATCATGACTGAGAAAGAAAAGACACTTTCTCCTTGAAACAACGCTAAATTGGATCTAAAAATACATTGATTCGACCGCAGTTCGGACAACAATTTATTCTTTCATCCCCCATCTTAATACGATTATCCATTCTATTTGCATACTTTTATTAACCTTAATAGCGCAATGAATAACATGATTAGCTATATTGAATTCAATCTTTTGTACTTTTTCTCTACCTTGCTACAGTATTTCATCATCTATCCATGGCGTCCTGTCCATTTTCAACAATAATGATGAATTGATCAGAGAGATTTTATACTACTTTACCCAATAGTAAAATGGTCAACAAAATGATCACACCAGTTCAACCATGCTATACTTTTCTCCCCTTTCTAGTTTGACATTAATCAGCCCTATCACACAATCTCATAGAATGGAAATAGCTAGTACTAATTGGAGAATTGGATAGACCCTAATTTCCTGCAAACGATAGGACTCTCTATTTTTTCCTTCTACTAACAAGAATACAATCAACATGAAATACTGTAATAGAAATTGAATTTAAAACTATCAACTAATTGATCCAATGTAATTAAGGCAGCTATGGCAATATGTTGTTTATATTGGTCATGCCTTTACAAAGATGATGGAGAATCATCAACCTGGTATGACGGAATACAGTCCAAGCTAATTCCTAATGAATAATTACAATGTGTTGGTTTAATTTAAAGCCGATATATTGTACTATCCAAGCCATTGATAAATAACAACATACGGTCCTCAAGCTGATTCCTTCGATCCTTCTTTCATTGGGCGTATGTTTCATTGTTAGCTTGGTCTTCCAAAAATTTCCCTTCCTTGTAATCCAAAATGCAGTACATTACTTGCATAGGTCAATAATAAACGGATTGGATCCTGCTTTAGCAGATATGATGACTTTAATCTACTGGAATAAATGCCATTTGCGTTCATGGCGACTTATTAAAAGTGTCTAATCTTGTCTAATTCGATCCATTGAACAATCCATTCTACAATTGATCAATAGTTTGCAGTGTATCAATTTATTTTAAAATCAACAATTACAATCCATGACTGAGTATAGTAAAATGGAGAAGAAAGCTGGAAAGTGGATCAATAAAATAAATCCTGTCTAGTCGACAAACATATACTCTACTAACAGTTTGTACATTGAATCTTGTAAAACCTACTGTACCCTGTCTAACCTGAAAAAGAGACTGTATAGGCTAGCTCAAAGTTTTCGTCCACATTTCCGTAATATCCCTAGAAAGGAATTTTCAAATACGATCATCTCGGCATGACAACAACTCCATCATGGCGGTGATAATTATTAATGATCGATGGTGGGACACAAGGGGAGACGTATGAAAAGTAAATCAGCCATGCACGCTAAACAATTTCTGTTCCGCCAGACCCAATACTGTCATAGAGAGTTTCTATTCCTTGTCATGGGTATTTTTACTAAAATCATAATCATATCAACAGCTATCCATACTACAAAATCATGAAAATCTCACGGTTATCAACAACAATTATTCCTCCATTGCCAATTGGTGATCGTAGTTGACGATTTCATTTATCGTCAACGCTTCCTTATATATATATATCAGTATTCTTGATTTCAATAATGGATGATCTAGAATGATAAAACGATCGCTACGGTGATGAGAATTTAAAAGTATACCAACAGTGCAACTTAATGTGCTGCCTTTTATACGGTATACTACAGTGGCAGACCATTGAATTGTTTACATTGACTTCTCTCATAAACGCCATGATACTTTAAGGATAAAATGATATGATAGTGTAGAAGTGGGAAAGACTTTGAATCTATTTACTACATCGATTAGAGAAATTGTTCTGTAGGTCGTGAGACTGGGTACAATTGAACCAATGTCTGATGCCAAATCCAATCTCCACAATAATGATAGAACGCAGTATAGAACTAGGAAAGACTTTGAATTTATTACTACATCGATTAGAGAAATTGTTCTGTAGGTCGTGAGACTGGGTACAATTAAACCAATGTCTGATGCCAAATCCAATCTTCAAAATAATGATAAAACGCTCTATAAAGCTGCAAAAGACTTTGAATCTATTTGCTAACATTCGACTAGAGAAATTGTTCTGTAGCTCGTGTGACCCAGCACAATTAAACCAATAAATAAAATTGAATTGGATAGATTTTCTTGTTGTCCATACCTTTTCCTATTCTACTAATTTACCTGTATATATATAATATGTAGAATACAGGTGCATTATTCATTGAACTCATTGCAATAAGAAAAAAAAATAGCGACAGGATACATTAGGGAAATACCTTGAAAGGATTATTGATATTATTGTACTATCCCTTCTGTATTTGTAGACAATTTTTACAATAGTTTAATAGCGCTTGTTTGTACCAATCATTTGGCAATATCCATGAATAAGGACAGTAGGACTATGTCGGACACATTGACAATTATATTCAACTGTTATATGGACGCATTTAACATATGCTTATACATGTATCTCCCCCGAAATGTATCTTGTCGCATATAGAAGCGTAGTGTGAGAGACTTGATGTTTATTCTGTGGCTTTTCTTCCATTACAGCTTTGAATAAGTTTGTTGGATAACGATGGGGTACAGTAGAATCATGAAAGATCTGAAATACTAATATTATGCATACAATAATCTATTTGTAAATAGAACATTATTGTGCCTTTTACTGAGATCCTAGCTTGACTCTTCAGGATACAGTACTTAGCTCAGAAAAACGGGCTATCCAAGTCGATATCAAATAGAGGCGAACAATTCTACAGTAATTGGAGTCAAGTTAGACGCATTGGATAAACTCGCCCTTAAATGCAGCTCTATTTTATGGGTTTCTGTAGACACAATCAATCTAGTTTATTCCATGTTAAAATGATGCAGATAAGATATCAGTTTAGATATGCAAGCTTTTCTCTGGAGTAAGCATTTCAAAATGGGAAAAGAAGTACCTATATAGTTACAGTCCATTTCTTCTATATAAATTGGGAATGAAATAAAATAACCATGTTGGTGTATCTTGATGATTAATTAATCAACTTGACATTATGATATTATGGATTAATTGTTAATCATAATATCTTATCGATCTTGTATTGACAGTTGATTTCTTCTACATAAATTAGGAATGAAATAAAATAAATAAACCATGTTGGTGTATCTTGATGATTAATTAATTAATCAACTTGACATTATGATATTATGGATTAATTATTAATCATAATATCTTATCGGTCTTGTATTGAAATAACTCAGAATATATCTGCTATTTAGAATTAATTCAATTGGAATGAAATGACTATTGAATTCGTCTTGAATTATCAATTACATTCTGTAGACTTTAAAATCCAATAACTTATAAATACTTTAACTTATGTATAAGTAAATCATTATTCATTAGTACCCTAACAGATTTTATTAGCTAGTCAACAAAGTTATTCCTTTATTAGCCAATCTCAATAATAAATTATTTCCTTTCGTTCTAAACATTGTACCTTACTTCTGCAGGCGATGGCCTATAATAAAAATATCTCCTGAGATACTAATAGCATCAATATCAGTTATACAAGCTATACTCGAACTCTTATTACAAGAAAATCTGATCAATATTTAATCACAGCATCTCCACCCTTTATTTCCAAATTATAGAGAATTGCTTCGTTTTGGCTAATGCTAAGCAAGAAGATAACCCTATTGTCTACTGTAGCGATGGCTATTGCTGTCTAACTGGCTATCAACGCCATGAAGTCTTACATAAGGCCGCCGACTACGAGCATTTGTATGGAGAAGAAACTGATCGTAAAAGTGTATCAAAATTGAAATCTGCTTTTGCATTAAAGCAAAAAATACAACATGAATTAACTCTTTATAAGAAAGATGGTTAGTTAGTTGTATTAAATGTTATTGCTATGCTGCATAATACAGCATTTGCTGTCAATATTCTTTATGATGTGAATTTTTACAAAGTTTTACAGCCATAAAACTGTTATAATACACAGTAGTGATTTTCTGTAGGTTATTACTGAAAATTTTCACCATTATCATAAGACATTAACCGCTTGTTAGCGTACTGTTACTAATTGCTATTGCTAATGAAGGCTAATTTTATTATAGGAACACCATTCATTGCCGCTATACAGATTGCACCTGTGAAGAATGAGGATCAAGAAGTGATTATGTTCCTAATCACTTTACGCGATATTAGTGCTTTAAGGGAAAATCAAAATAGAAAGTCAAGACGCTTTTCACTTCTATCCACAACTAATAACTATCACCATTCTCATAGTAGTAATAATATCAGTAATGGCATTGATCGCAACTCAGGTAGAACTTACCATAATGTTAAAACAATAACCAGTACATTAAACTAGATAATTTTTTGTTTTTAATCGATATAATATAATTTTACGTTTTTTTGATTAATATAAAGTGTGTGTGTGTGTGTCAATAGACATCCGTTCAGCATAGATTTTATTACAATGCGAAACGACAGTATCAAAATTTTTGATCATTTTGTAAAATTGATACTTTCCTTAATTGTCTCTGTACCAATTTTCAGATGCAGAAGCTGATGGAAATGCAATATTCTTTCGTCAACCCTTTTCAAGAAGAAGAAATTTTGAGTTAACGCCAACCAGCCATGCTATTCGAAGACACGAAATTGCTCATGTGAGTTCATTGTGATGAATAGAATTAAGGTTCTACCATCTTTTGTCATTAGCATGGTAGATTTTATCAAAAGCTTGCTTATACATAAACTGATGACTAAGGAAAATCACTAAAGAACTGTGGTGGTCTTTGCTAATTTAATTGGCTATGATGTAGGCTGAAGTGAAAAAAAACGATATTAAATAGTTCAAGTAATTGACTACTTTTGTAATACGCCTATGTCATTGTTTGCTTGACAACACCAGAGTATATACTACCTGAAACTAACCATGTTGCTGAATTTGATGTACATGTCTAGTAATTTAAAGCAATTGATACATTACAACACAGTTTGAAATGTTACATAGTTATAGCCCTATGTAAACGCTTTTGGTAACAACTATTTTAACTTGGTTCCATGTTAGTTGACAAATATGGATACCGAATTGCCGGATTATAAAGAAGAAACTCCTCGATCACCGACAGGAATTATTCTTCATTACAGCACCACCAAAGTTATATGGGATTGGGTTATACTATTTTTTACCTTCTATACGGCAATATTTGTACCCTTTGAATTGGCATTCAATCGTGACTACAGAAAAGAAATTGGATTCCTGATCATGGATTGTATCGTGGACGTTATCTTTCTGTCTGATGTTGTTATCAATTTTCGTACAACTTATGTTGACGGCACGGGTCATATTGTTTCTCATCCGCCTTTAATAGTGAGAAATTATATTACCGGCTGGTTTGTGATCGATTTATTAGCAGCTTTGCCATATGAAATATTTACACTTGGTGATGTAAGTACTTTAATTGGGTTTTATTCTTTTAAATGTAAGAAATAAATCTGTATTCGATTAATTAGCCCTGCTATTTTATGCGTGTACTGTAGCTAGGAGATTATAATGCGAGTAGTTACTTAGTGTGTGACAGCCCTATGTTGCCTTTTAATGATGATAATCTAATCTAAATATTGCCATATTATCTAGAGCGCATACCGAGTTGGTAATATCTTCAAGGTCTTGCGTTTACTTCGATTAAGTAGATTCATTAGGAAGTTCAATGAATATGTTGAATACGGAGCGACTATGATCGTTTTATTGATGTTTACCTATGTGCTTGTTGCACACTGGCTAGCATGCATATGGTATAGGATTGGTTTCGACGAATGTACTACCTTTGGCTGGTTACATTCATTAGCGGAGCAGAGTGGCATAACTGCCAAAGTAAATTACACCAGCTGTCAACAAATCAGCGTTGCATCAGCATATTCAACCTCGTTATATTTTACAATGAGCAGTTTAACTACGGTTGGATTTGGTAATGTTTCAGCAAATACTATTGGCGAAAAAATATTCTCTATTATTATTATGATTATAGGATGTAAGTCAATAGCTCCAAAAGTCTTACAATTATTTAACAATAAGTGTAAATTCACTTAGTACTTTGATATACCCATATAGTTACTGCTGTTTTACATAGGTAATTCTTGATATGAGATAAAACGGGCTTTTAACCATTGCAATAACTTGATCAGTAGTCCTCACTCGGATACATACAAGCATTATAATACTATCATTATTTATCGGCCTACTTTAGCTTAATAAAACTTTCTTACTTATTTTTAGCGCTCATGTCTGCATTCATATTTGGTAATGTTACTGCAATCCTGCAAGAACTTTATTCAAGCACTCAACGCTATCACGCTATCCTAAAGGATATGAAGCGATTTAATCAAGTATATAGTCTTCCTAAAGATTTAAGAAGGCGAGTTGAAGACTATTTTATCTCATCCTGGGCTGCTACAAAGGGTATTGATACGAAAGAGGTAAAACAAGTTTAAATAAAGATTTTTACTGCTATAGGGCTAAAGGAGCTTAATATGCTAAAATAGATTTTGATCATGATTGAAACGCTATAAAAGCTATTAAGAATCCCCAAAATCATGTTAAATGATAATTTTATTATAAAATGTTCTTTGTTAGATTCTTAAATATTGGCCGAAAGAAATTCAGGCGGAAATTAAAATGCACATGAACAGAAAAATCCTACGAGATGCTACATGTTTTTCCAATGCTAGTGAAGGGTGCCTAAGACAGATGGCTGAACGTTTCGAGATGCAGCATACCGGCCCTGGAGATATTTTGATTCATTCAGGTCAAAGTTTAAATCATCTTTATTTTATTGCCTGCGGCTCTTTCGAAGTTTACTCAGCAGATGTTGGAGTAACTTGCATATTAAGTAAGTAATAAGGCAAATAGATACATAGTGGCGTGTTTATTGTAAAATATTACAGTAGAAAGTAGTCGTATTGATATCTGTTAAGGAAGGTGCTTAGTATGTTACATTTATTGTTGGTCTATGTCATGATATATTTTAATTTGACATTCGTATCAATACTCAGCCAAGGGGGATGTCTTTGGAGATGACTTTATTAAGAATAAAGGGCTTGGAAGATCGCATTCCATGGTTCGCGCATTAACGTACTGTGATCTGCACACTATATCACGTATCCATTTACTAGAAGTTGCTGGCCTATATCCAGAATGGGCGCCTGTATTTTCAGAGAATCTTAACCTTACCTGCAGCCTAAGAGATTCAGGCGTAAGATAAACATTCGAAATTATTCAATGATTTTACACTTAAAACTTGTTATTCTTGTGTACCAAAGCTAATAAATTTTATTTTTTCGCCTACGTATGCAATGTATAGAGTTACGAAAATCCAGACATAAGACTGTCAATATCAAACGAAAATTTTCATCCTAATCAGATGGTTAACATTCAAGAATTGTATAGAAGAAACGATTTGGAAGTTAACCAAACATCTCAAAGCAGCCGTAGAGGGAGTGCTCTGCTTCATCCCTCATTTTCAACCTCAGAAGTATTTAATGGTAGGCACGCAGGATTGCTACAACGCCGTCGGAGTTCACAGCCTGTTTTAAGTACCTTCGATGAGACAAGTATTGGGTCTGGTAGACGAGTAATTGAAGATGATACTGAACGCCGGCGTACTTTAGGAAGTGACTCATGTGTCAACATTCCAACTCATTCTAACAATGTAGATAGTGATGACATTTTTAAGCAAGATTCAGGTGTTTTATCCGAGTCAGTAGGTCAATTGATGGAAATGTATAGTGATATGCAGCAAGATGTGTCAAAACTGTGTAGTAAAATGGCCAAGTTTGAGCATTCCTTGAAAGCTTTAAATCATGAAGTTAAAGGCCGTCCAAAGCTTTATAGGTCGAGGGTAGTAACAGAATCACGAAATCAAAATTCAATCCGAGAAAGCAATTTATCTTCCGAGACTAGTCTATAAGAGATATTAATGGATAAGCTATGTCCGAATTTTTAGAAGAGAAAATAAATTAAGCTGCTTGCATAAGTAGTCATTATTACATATTATTACTGTACAGACATTAGTTCAAATTCAAATTCTATGCCGAATTAGTTATGCTGTGTTTGGATACAGATTTTTAAATAATTTTATGAGTTGTCAATTTCTAAGTCGATATCCAAACTATTTCTACTATCGATTACAAACTGTACTATATTGTCATGCCATTTTTTCCACAGAGAAAGCACCTATTCCCGTATAAATGATACAATGACTGCATTCTCTAGCCTGCTTCATATAGTCATTATGACTTATTGAACTAGATGTATAAAAAATGAGATTGCTTGCTATGGATTGCTCTAAAATTTTCAACTAGTTATAATATTTTGTATTTCTAGCGTTTATTAGATTTGTTTTAATAGATTCATAAAGCGTCAATTTACTTATTGATACGAGATTAATTAGCTCCAGAATAAGTTACATACACGAATTGATTATGGCACACCTTATTGGTCGTATAGCGTTTTATTGGTTAGGTACACTATCGATATCGCTTTACCCACTACTTGGTAGATATGTGTGATGATGTATTTCTAAATAAGATAATCTCGGTACTGTACATGAGTCAATATTTGAGTTACTCCACTACCAAGAATAAGTGATTTAATTGTTCACATCTACTTATTTTGAATTAGCTTTTTATAACTTATTCAATATACTTGTAAATCTGTAATTTTGTAAATTTATTTCAATAAATATTTTATCCTGGAATATCGGTGATTGGCTATTATACGATGAATTGGATGGTATAATTACCGCATCGTTCATTGAAGAAAGAGGTTGATATTAAATATCATTTTTAGATCGATTCCTGCAGTCCTTTTTCACTTTTAGTTTTGCATTGTTGAATCGATATACGAGTATCCTATTGGCATAAGAGCATTGGACGTAAGTATTGACGTATAGCAATACCATGACCATGGAAAATAATTCCTTTCTAAATGAGTGAATTTGCAATGAAGTTGAAGTTAAAAAATTGAATGAAAGCCGTTATTAGACAGTCAATTCTTCAATTGCTTTTTTGCCCAACTTTGGCGTGTAAAATTTCTTCCTAGTGCATGCAGTCCAGTCCAATGGCTGATGCATTGATACGCATAGTTAGGGAGACCTTTCGCTTTCATTTGATAGCTGTGGACAATTGTAACGCCTAAACGTCAATATGCTAGTCCACTTAGGTCTAGCGCCGCCATATTACTTGTATCGATCGTCAGCAACGTTATAACAACTAGATGATATGGCCTATGGCGCGTTCTCCTTGCTACCTAGAGTGTAGGCTAGCTACAATAGTAAAGTCGACGTTCTAAGTTAGAACGTCGACTTTTACTATTGTACAGCTATTGAGTTATTGGATACAAGCTTACTTTCTAACTTATAACGTCGACTTTTACTGCTGTGTAGCTATTGAGTTGTTGAATACAAACTTACTTTCTAACTTATAACGTCGACTTTTACTGTTGTGCAGCTATTGAGTTGTTGAATACAAACTTACTTTCTAACTTATAACGTCGACCTTTACTGTTGTGCAGCTATTAAGTTGTTGGATACAAACTTACTTTCTAACTTATAACGTCGACTTTTACTGTTGTACAGCTACTGAGCTCTTGGATACTTATATTATTCTAACTTACGTTCTAACTTATAACGTCGACCTTTACTGTTGTGCAGCTATTAAGTTGTTGGATACAAACTTACTTTCTAACTTATAACGTCGACTTTTACTGTTGTACAGCTACTGAGTTCTTGGATACTCATATTATTCTAACTTACGTTCTAACTTATAACGTCGACCTTTACTGTTGTGCAGCTATTAAGTTGTTGGATACAAACTAACTTTCTAACTTATAACGTCGACTTTTACTGTTGTACAGCTATTAAGTTGTTGGATACAAACGCACTTTCTAACTTATAACGTCGACTTTTACTGTTGTACAGCTACTGAGTTGTTGGATACTCAATTACTCATATGTCATGAAGATTACCATTTAAACCCAATCATCATCATCAAGCGATGAGTTATTGACTGAGCTGAATAATTTGAATTTTCTTGGCGATCATCTCTACAGAACAGGTTGGTCAAGTGATTTACAACCCGTCGACGGCCATCGTATGGTATTGCCCGGTAGACCGATATGACGACGAGACTTGTAGAATGCTTGCAGCGACCTTACTGTGCAATTGTACATGTCACAGCGAGTGATAGTTTATATTGGAAAGTTGAAAGAAATCAAATAGTTCAATGCTGCAATAAAAAGTATAAAAAATATGCAAAGCCAATTGCTCAAGGTTGTGCTGATCTATCTCAATTGAAAGTCCATTTCTTCACAATTTAAAGACATCATTGACGATATAATCAGGCAAGACTAGAGGTAAACCTCTTTTCAGCCATTTTCCAACACTTGCCACGCCCCTGACCCCAATAGTGCTTACAGTATAGAGATCACTGGGGAGATGATGTCAATGCGATGGACGTCCAATACGGTTACGGTACAGCTGTACCGTATCGATGTCTTGCTACCGTACAGTACAGTACCGTACAGTACGTGCTACACCGATAAGTGCGGTACGTACTGTACAGTACTGACTTGTGGATTGACCCGAACATACGCACGTACTGCAGTGCCAACAATAAAGATGTCATTGTACAGTACTGTACGTCACGGTAGACTCAAGTCACCTGACGAGCTACACCGATAAGTGCGGTACGTATTGACTTGTGGATTGACTCCAACATACGCACGTACTGTACTGCAGTGCCAACAATAAAGATGTCATTGTACTGTACAGTACTGTACTGTACGTCACGGTAGACTCAGGTCACCTGACGAGCTACAGTACACCGATAAGTGCGGTACGTATTGACTTGTGGATTGGCTCCAACATACGCACGTACTGCAGTGCCAACAATAAAGATGTCATTGTACAGTATTGTACGTCACGGTAGACTCAAGTCACCTGACGAGCTGACGTCGACTTGCCTGGGTGACAACATCGTCTCCACTTCATCTTGCCCCCCAAATCTTCAATATCAGTCGAGCTTAGAAATCTGCAGGAAAAAGGGAAAAAGGAGAAGAAGTAAGTCGATATTAGCATTAAAAGTAATTCTTTCTATGTCTTGTTCAATCATGGTCATTGTGAATGGTATGCTGTGCAATTAGGATTGATTTGTAATGGATAGTACAAACTTTACGCTCCAATGAACAGAATCAACTTGGATCAAAGAGAGCATTTATTTCTCTGACAATGTTCCTTTCACAACGATTTCATACACGCATCAATGTATCCAATTTGGACACGCTGTCTACGCATTCATCCATAGTGGGTGATATAGGGTTACTTTACATGATAACCATGTTGGTATAAAAGTGGAAAATGGACAGCAATTGTACAGTAAAGAAATTAAAACTTTTTCAAATACATCCAAGAAGTCAAGTTGAGGCAACCACAAGCGCTATGTTGCGCGTGTAGACCAATAATTAAGCTACCATTCAATAGCGGTTCAACAAGAAGTATGAACCCGATATCATGGCGAAAGAGCTAGTATTTAGTATGGGGAGGGGGGGGGGGGGAGAGATAGACTATCCAGGAATGAAATACAACTAAATCAACTTGACAATAATGTGGATCATTTCATTGCCACTATACTTTGTAATACAACTTTACTGCATTTTCTGACGTACAGTATACGAATACTTGCAAGGGGTAGTCTGCTCTGATTCCAAAACAACTCAGGCAATAACAGGCTATGGACCATATATCGACATATGACATCGTTTGTAACTCGGGGACAGGCTATCCAGTAATGAAATACAACTAAATCAACTTGACAATAATATGGATCATTTCATCCCCCCACTATACTTTGTAATACAACTTTACTGTATTTTCTGACGTATACGAATACTTGCAAGTGGTAGTCTGTTGTGATTCAAAACAACCCAGGCAATAACAGTCAATGCACAAGTTTCCAAATTAGAAGAATCACGAGTATCACCATGGATTGATTTATCTATTTGTGCACTCAGTCACAAAACCCCAATTGCATAGGAATTATTAAGTGATGCTGTTGTGATAGAATTGATTTTTTTTTACAGATACAGATCCAAATCCAATTATTTTCATGCGAAAACAAGAGATATGGCTTCCCAGAAACAAGGTCATGCTTATGAATTCGGTGGGCCCGTCGGTGCCGCTTTCTTAGTAGTTATCTTACCATTAATAGTGTTAGGAATCACTTGGCTATCAATGACAACAGATTGGAAAATTACCTTACCTCAAGAGCCACTACCATCAATAAGTGATTTATGGGATTTAGACGCTCTAAAATTGGTGTGTGTCTGGAACCTGCTTCAGGCACTTTTCTACCTCTCTCCCTTGGGCAAGGTAAGAAATACTAATCATTTCACTTCAGGAATTTTCTAGACATATCATTGGAGAATGTGTTAATACGAGTATACGTGCATTACAGTTAGTGCTCAGGTAATAACCAATGGAATAGCTGCAGTAAGAAGTTACTTGATTGATCATAAAATATTCCACTATCGGACAAGAATGTAGCATCGACCAGTACACAACTTTGACAACTGTAGCAGAAATGATGTGTTAGCCAATATCATTATAATCGATTTCTAGAATACGCATCTTTACTATAAAGTAAGTTACCGTAGACAGTCGTCCATGTCCTACCGCACTACTAACCACTTCGATTAATCATGACTTTTATGGAATGGCCCAACACTTGTAGCGTCGAATCTATTACTTATTGTTAATAGCAGCTAACTGTATTATAAACGTTTATAGACTGCGTTGGGCTTTCCACTCAAGGATGGTAGCCGATTAGCTTACTATATGAACGGTAAATAAACACTGACGAAAGATACGTAATGTGATGCGTTGATCTAATACTACAGCAATACTATTTAGGTAAATGTAAATTAAATTGACACAGTAAAATAAATGTGTATCCTCGTTTTATGATACCTAGGATTGCCTGCCTTCCTATTAAGCTGTGTTGGGCTTGCTGTGTGTTATCATAAGAACCTGCTTCCTTTAACATTCGCCTATGATCGATTTATACAATTAGCTTTCGCATCGTGGTTCTTTTCCCTAGTGTTAAGCATATACCTATTCACTACAGCCATAGCGAAAGGTACAGGCTATTCTCAACCCGGAAATTCAGGTAATTATTAATCCAGTTAGCTGTATATCAACAGAGAAAGATCTCTATAAATGCAAAATACAGTAATACTACTACGTCAATGCAGACATCACAACAAAGTGGACAATATGTACTATTGATGAATTACAACTTGATTACTGTAGGCAATGTCATATATGACTTTTTTATGGGTCGTGAGTTAAACCCTCGCATTGGCAACCTTGATCTTAAAGTATTCTACGAAATGCGTCCAGGTTTAATCGGTTGGGTATGTATTACTAATACAGTATGTAGGGATTAATTATTATAATGCTATACCACTTGATTGTTAGGGATGCCATGAATATCAAGGTTAGAAGTATTAATGATCTTTTCCGCGATTATCATACAAATAGATCATGATTAATTTTTGCATGGCCGCAAAACAATACGAAAAGCATGGTAGTGTGACAACATCGATGCTCTTGGTTTGCTTCTTTGAATTTTGGTATATATTGGATGCCTTATGGTTTGAGGTACTAATCGCCAATTATGACGTTAATTTCTAGCGGTTACATGACCATTTACTTGGTAGAGAATATGAAAAATAATACATTTTAGTAACGAATTTCAATAACCTGCTTATTAGGAAGCTATACTGTCTATAATGGACATTACTCATGAAGGATTTGGCTTCATGTTGGCTTTTGGCGATATTGTGTGGGTTCCATTTTTATATTCTTTACAAGCAAGATATCTTGTCGATCATCCGGTCGATCTACCATTATGGGCTATCGCAGGAATTCTTATTTTACAAAGTACGTATATTATAATTTTCTAATACAGTAACGAGAATTGAAAGCATTTTGTTTGATAACACGATCACATGTATAAGCATTTGAATGAATATTTTTGAAAGGTTAGCAATATACATATATTTATAAAACTGATTTAGTATTCTGTTTTTCCATTGTAGCTGCTGGTTACATTATCTTTCGTAGATCTAACAGTACGAAGAATGAATTTAGACGCGATCCTAATAGCCCAGCATCGAAACGTAAGCATTGTACCCTAGTTGCTACCTATTACTTTGGAAAGCTTTCTATTAGTAATCGGTTACTTATGTCATTGCCTCGTATGCTTATCCCAAAATGGAGCTTTGGCAATTCACATTTGCTACTTACTTCGTATAATATGAACAAGCTTTTAATTGATTCTTTTACTATATCACAGGCCTTGAAACCTTGACTACCGATAATGGTAAGAAATTAATTATTTCTGGTTGGTGGGGAATGTGTCGTCATCCTAATTATCTTGGAGATCTAATGATGGCATTAGCATGGTGTCTTCCGTGCGGTAGGTCGACTACCATTCATTATTTTAGCTACAATTATGTCATGCCACAGTTATAAACCTAATGTAATCAAGGAATTTATGTAACAATCATTCTATTTGGATAGGTTTTGGTAGTATTCTACCCTATTATTATATTATCTATTTCACTATCCTTCTTATACATCGTGAAAGACGTGATTCTGAAAATTGCCAGCATAAGCATGGTAAAGGCTGGGATAAATACTGTAAAATAGTAAAATATCGCATCTTTCCAGGTATCTATTAACCTTACAGATAGTCAAAATCATAATATTTCTTACATGAAATACGACTCAAATAAAAAGATTGATGCATAATTTCTACTAAGTTGAAGTTAAATATAGCTATTTGTTTGCCTAAGCTTCTAAACAGCCCTTGGATGTGCACTTTTAAGGCGTATATAGCTAAGTATTAAATTCTTAGTATAATTCTTATTATCAATCGAATCTGCTCTACAATCTACAAAAGCATTTTTGTATTTGCACTGTTATAATAATAGTGTATTAGTCCTATATTTACATTTACAGTACAGCACAGTATACTTAACAGTACCATATGAAAATAATGGTCTAATTTAATGCATTACCGACACTATCAATTAATTAATTAAACCTGACACTACGCGTATTAGCACTAGCTTGTAGAAAGGCTTATTATTAGTATATAAACTTGTGCATTTGTGCACAGTATCACAGTGTCAATCTTCTTATATATTTTTTTCAAGTCGGTCTGTTTGTCTGCTATACTCACCCATTTCAACGTGTTAAGCATCAAGCTCCTGTGCTACGCTAGTCGCTACAATTAGGTTGTATTTGTACCAGTGCCTCACCTACTCATTGTTTAAGACATATTTTAAAACTATTGACGTGGTCAAATTTTATTAAAAATCTAAACTCGTTGACTTAAGACTGCCTGCTATATGATGGAAGAAGTTCAAATTGTACTTTTAAGCATGCAAATAATTTGATGGCATACTATAGTTTCTTCATCAATGAAACTGACTGTGTGTCTGACTTATAACTGATTTTCGAAAGCTACAGTGACATAATCCGTGTACTGTGTTTATATATAAACGTCTACTGTATTACTGTCACGATGCTGGTCAGACCTTCATAAAAGAGCTTATACTTTAAATCTGGTCACAGGCTACAGGATTATTTATTTTCTTCCAGGTCACAGCAACGATAATAGTGGACTGTACAGCATCGAAAAGGTTGAGCATATGTGTATAATATATATATATATTATCGCAATCTGTAGCATTGTGAGCTAATTCGATAATACTTTCACAAAATAATATAGTAGAATTTTAGTGAACAAAATACAGTACTACTGCCCAGAGACAGAGTTATACTGTAGGTACAGTTCTGTAAAGGTGAAATGTAAGTTAGGTGCATCAACTTAAGCTTTGAAGGAAAAATGTCTATTAGCTAGAAATTAGTGTAATATCATCGCAAAAAAGTTCAGAACATACGTAATATAATGTCCACCTGACCGACTACTACTAACGACGATGATGCGTAAATGTTATGACTTGATAATTTCTACTGTAACGGTACATGACATGAAGCGATTACGTAAAAATTTGATGGTATCATGAAAATAGCAGATAATCAGATGCCTAATGGCATCATTGACGACAACTATGGTTATCTTAAAATGTGTCTAATTTTAATATTACATGTCACGCATGTCCTTACGGTGATGACACCTGCATGAACAAGTGTACTGTACACTTTCTAAAAGTAAAAGCGTCAGTAAGATTAGTAGATGTGGTAATTAATTACAAAATACAACGTAGAATTATACGTTGTTGTATTCTCGTAACAAAGACTACTAATAAAATCCTGGAAGTATCCTCCATGGTACTATTTGACAGTAGTGCAACCAATCATCACCATACTTGCGATGACAATGTTTCCAATCCTCACGTTCTCGATCCAGCAAGAGAAGCAGCAATAAAATGAAATAGGAATAAGGGAGAATGTGATTGAAGCCTATGTTAAATACGCATCAGAATAAATTTAGTTCATTAGGATAATATTTAAGAAAATGTAGTTAGAAACTGAACTTAGTCAATGTACTAGCGCTTATAATATTATAAAACTGTTGGTATTTACCGCATAGAAGACACCATGATAAAGCCATGATCAAATCTCCGAGGTAGTTGGGATGATGACAAACACCCCATAACCCTGAGACGATGAGTTTCTTACCGGACGATGTCTCAATTGTTTCAAGATCTATATAAACGGTAGCAAAAATAAGGCTACTAATTAGGAGCATGAAGAACATTGTATTTTTATGTAAGAAATTTTAAGTACTTTTGCAACAGACTAGGGTAATTAGCAACATGTCTATATAAAATTAGTCAGATGTTAGTTCTATATGGATGGAATCATCACGTTGAAGCTTGATTAGATTCAATCATTAATTATACAATCTATCAAGTAAACTATTCAATCCTAAAATGAAAAAGATGAGGTTTGTGGGCATAGAGTAGTGCAATTGCGTTATTCTATTACCTTTTACTTCAACACAATTAGGATCCATTCGTAGCTGATGTTTAGTATTATTCGCAGATCGATAAATAACGTATCCAACCGCTACAATCATCAAGTTATTTCAAATAGCAATTATGGAAATCATGAGTTGTTTAGAACGATTTTTATGGAAATCAGTTTCAATTTCAAAAGTAATGGAGATATTTACCATTTAGAGCGACAATACCCCCATAGCAATACCATGACAAGTGCTTAGGACTATTTTTAATCAAATATTGGCTTTGTAGAGTGTACGAAAATGGAACCCAAACATTAAATGCGAAAATGATGATGTACCCAAATCCAACATTAGCTGTGTCCATTCCGGTTAAAAAGTTATCCTATAGAATTACATTAATTTCCTCACTATGTATGCATCCAATACGAGTAGAACTACAATTACGTTTGCCTATCAGTTTACGCTATATTGCTATAATTGCTATATTTCAGTACTATCAATTTACTATTGGACTTATTAGCTTATTGAAATAACATCATTATCCATTGTAATTTTGTTTATATGGCTAATCTAAACTAACAATCAACTGTGAGAGTAATCGGAAAATCTTACCTCCCACCATAAACCATCAGCAACGTAACAAAAGTGGAAAATACAGATTAATACCATGGGAGTGCTTAATGTCATATTATTCTCTTTCAGATGCACAGAAAGCAAACAAAAGTCTATGATAACCTAAATGGTACAGTATCGTGAGAAATACATGTAAGTTAACGTTGCCAACGCAAGATTATTGTCAATGAAGTTCTTTACCCATCCGATAAGGCCAGGGCGAGTCATGAAGAAAAACTTGAGATCAAGATCGCCAATACGTGGATTTAATTGGCCGCCCATAAAGAAATCATACAACCAGGAGCCTAAAGATGAATTTAATATATTACAATTTAATACAGTAAATAGCATCATTATGTAATTACAGAATCGGAGTTATTACCAGAAGGCGGATCAGTGCCTTCCACTCTGGCTTTAATAACGGCAAATATACAGAGTGCCAAGGAGAATGCTACAGATGCAGTTCCAAGTTGAAGAAGTTTCCCAGCTATTAATTCCACTGAAAATTTCTGATAGCAACACAAGTACATAAACCCGCAAATGCTAACGATAAAAGCAAAGAAACCTACAAAAAATAACGCACCAAATTATTATTAAAAATTAACGATTATCTTGGTAAAGGATTACTCGACTACTTGCTAGCAATACGACAATGGTATATTTGAATGAATAAAGTTACACTATCACACCTGCAAGACATGCAAAATACTTACCATTGGCGCGATATTTTAAGCGGGTACCATCACGTAAAGGCAAGCCTTCAACAACCTATATGCAAAAACACCATACAGAAGTATACATTTAAGTCATGATTATATTTGATGTTTATCAATATCCTATTCTTTGACTAGTTTAAATACTGTATAATTGTACATAAATTGCATTTACCCTGCCGATTGGTAGTAAAGCCAATCCTGCCTGGAAAGAAATCCATACTACAACCATGTAGAATGCTTGCCAATCCCATAATTGTTGACATGTAGGCCAACGCTTTGGCCATCTTAAAGCCCAATTAAAATTATCCCCATCACTGCGTGGTATCCAGTTGAGTAAAAATGGAACAACTTCCATGACGAAAAGTGCCATAAATAGGCCAACTATCTCTCCCCAGCCATGATAGGTGGAAGTCGGTGTTGGACTGGGTGCTGATATTGTAGTGGATGCAGGGGCCGGTTGAGAGCTTCTAGATGAACTTTCCTTTTTGGTCGCTGATTCAGAAACTTTAGTAGAAAGTGGAGTTTCTGCAACAACTGCTACTTCTAATTCTTTAGCAATGCTTTTCGACGCTTTACGATTCGTACTTCTTCTAACGTTTCCTCGTGCTGGTGAACGAGAACGTGAGCGTGAGCGAGAACGTGACGGTGATCGGCCAGCTTGTTTGCGTGGTGTTCGTGATCGACCTTGTGGGGTCTATTTTGGTTATTAACAAATGATATTAGTAACATCGCCTAAACTAGCCCTATCATCATCATGAATGAAAATTTTGCATATTTTCGGCACTAAGTTAACAATATTGCTATCATTACAATAAAATATTTCATCATGTACACTGTACTGTACAGTACTTTTATCTGCAAGAGATACGAGTAAATTACGGCATAATCAAAATTTGATTAGAGTGGGGAAGATCTCGAACAATGAAAGAAATTACCAACATTGAAAAAAAAAAGTTTCTATTAGATAGGCCCTATATTTGTATCTAGTATGTAGAGCTTAACTACGTCTACAGTCCGAATTGAAATATGTATAGTGGGGATTGGTAGTTTTTGTGCTATGGGTGTTTTAAATGATCTAGTGAACAATTTTACACATTCAAATTGTATACAGCATTGTACTGTATTGCATTAGAACTACTAATTTACAAGTAAACAACCGATGCCGATAACAGAACGTTTACATAATTCTTGTCTGACGTCAATAACGTTGACAGTGGAAATCCAACTGTCATTGTCATGAACATGATGATATCGACTATTTCTATCATAAAATAAAATAAACGTTCGTATCTTATGCTACTGTAGTATGAATGATTCAATAGTAGATGCATTCGTATTCAAGTTATTGTAATGAGAATTAAAGGCATTCTTTTAAAATGAGTACAAAAGTGATGATGATATTGCAATTGTTCATAGGTAGAAGCGATTTGGATCATCCAGTAGAACTTGGCGTCACGGATTAGCTAAGATTGCATAAAAATGGATAACTGTACAAGTCAGTGAAGGACTAATTGTGATCGCGAAGCTACAGTAGGATCCATTCAATTCGATGATGGCGAATGTTTACGCGATTGATCGATTCATCCTGACCTATCCTAGCGGATAGTAGGATTGATCGCTTAAGTAGACAATTCCATGCTGTTCATAAGTTCATCAAGGAATCAAAAAGTAATAGTAACATCAGGAATAACAAGATAATCGGTCATCAAACAATAACATTTAGATATGCACACACACACGCACCAAAAACTATTTTGCGGTACAGTAGAGCAAAGTCGATGCGTAATAATAATGAATTGATGATTAATCCGAGTGTTGTGTTCATTGCACTGGGATGAAGATGTTTCCCTAATTTTTCTTTACCTTGGATAAAATTACTTTACTTGCCAATAAACGTTGTATCGAATTACTACCATCAAATTTGACAGTATATCGTCCATGATTATCTGTAATGGTAGCAGGAAAATATTGATCACTTCCTTCCCATTCAGCTAAAACTTGTGTGCCAATATCGTAACGTAGGACCCTCCCGCGTGTTGCACTAGCAGCACCACTAGCCGTTGTCGTGGACGAATTGCCAGCTGTACCACTGCTTTGCCGACGTGATGGCGATCGGCCGGTTCGTGATGAACGTCTAACAGATGAAGACATGATGAATTTTTTTTCCAATGTCAAATGGGTTGCCAAAAAAATAAATCCCAATGATCTCTTCGGTTGCGATCAAGCTAACAGAGCGTAATAAAGTCGAATGGAGCTTTGCTGCACTGTATTAGACTGGAATATACTGCGTCGAGCTATAACCAATAACTACTGGCAAGCGCAACTTTCAAATCCAAATGTTGAATGATCTCGATGCAAACGTTGATCCGCTCGCTCTCCTTATACTAACTCCTGTTAAATGCTGATTGTTGATAGTCAATTGGTCGTTATTTCAACTGTTGACGTTCATCAGTACTAGACTGTATTGAACAAGGGAAGAGTTTGTTTTGAATAAGCGGGAAAAATCCTATTGGTCACTTGCTGGAATTTCATTCGTTAGTAACAGTCACGTGATAACATTCAAATTTTTCATTCCAACCACACACCCATCCGATGGGGTTTTCTACAGTCTTTTCACTGTAGACAACAAAGTAGGTATCCAGTAGTAGAAACGATTCTCAATCCTCTTACAATGCGTTAGTCGATGAGACCTGATAGAGGGAAGAAATAACTGCTAGAATCGCAGCTACAGTACCAAGTACAGTAGTAGTTTTACCGTGGGAGGGAAATAAAAGTCTTTCATCATAATACGGACAGGACAGTCATTGGACGCCACCTTCCTCAACGGTACTGTATACTCGGTGGTCATGCAATCAAATCTTGATGACCTCTTTCGTTGGTATCTTTTTGTCAATGAGGTGACAAGTCATTTTGCACACACTTTTCTCAATCACTGAAGCCGCATAGTCTGCTACAGCGCCAGTCAGTGTGGATTGTTGTGGCAACCATTATGGCAACAGTTTAGTGCTTGCGGCATTGGATATATTCATTGAATAGACGTTATTAACTATTCAAATTACCAATTTCTTTGTTGCCATAGTGGATCCTTCATATTTCTTGCTAATATTTTTTTACTCGTACGCCAGATATCTACTTACTATCTCTAGCAGTATCTGCTTAGTCTTGTACAATTTGTACTCACAGTACTGTACTCTGACAGTAACGATTGCATTATTATGCTTAATCCGCATAAACTATACGTATGGATTGCGATCAACACCAAATCGGAATTCCATCTGATAGCAAAGCAATTTCAGGTTCTATTTTTATCCGGGGGTTCTAATCTATTCATACTTCTACTGTACTGTACACTAAAAATATCAATTAAAAATACAACACATACTACAGTACAGTATGTCATCAACGTTGAGTTAAACGCCACAATAATGAAGATACAGTATCAGTTAAGATTAGGCGATGCCAAAAGAATCTCGGTGACCCTCTGTTTAAATTAATTAATTATAATCGGTATCGTTATCACACCGCTCTAACTTCATTCTTGATAGTAGCAGTAGATGGCTGACTGCATAGCAGCATGATAGCTGTTGCACTATAACCTTATATATACAGTACTCCTGCTATTTTATGCTTGACAATTTCTTCCACTTAATCTGAACTCAAAGTAAATAAGAAAAGATTTTAAAATTCATTTATATCAACAAATGAACTTTTTAAACAATGCTGATTTATCAATCTTTTATCAATCATATGATTTACTCTACAAAGAACAGTGCTACCAACTTAGTAGACTGCAACACTCAATACGAATTGTACAAGTAGGAAACACTACAATAACAAGAAACTTTTCTGTATCGCCGATGAAAGCTTAAAAATTAAAAATTACTCACACAGAATTATCTAAAGGTTGACGATTATTGCATATCGGAAAAATATACTACCTGGCAAGAAGGAGTAACAATCTAATCGTAAAATAAATTGGTCTTTCAATTCGTTATCAGGCTGAAAAGCTTTAATGTTCCTGAAGTACTGTATCTAGACCAATGACGCTATAGTCAGTATCCTATGATCTATTTACTACTCCATACAGTATACTAAATTCTCCACGGCACGCAAACAAACTCTATACAGTCATTATCTTGCCTCTCGTAAACTGCTGCAAGCACAAGTGCAATATTACTTGAAAAAGTAAAGCGTGAATAGTTGCGTCTAACTAGATTTTGGGCTCTAAAGCATATTTAAATATACGAACCAAGTGCCCACTAATTTATGCTAGACTGCATATTGATTGTTGTTTATTGTACAGAGAAAGTAAGTAAATATACAGTGACTGTGAAGTTTATTACTCGCTACGCATCCAGAGTTTTTTATGAATACTGGATGCCGGACTTTCTTTTCCTATCCTGTACTTTATGTAGGATTTATACTGTAAGCGTATAGTCATTTTCATGTAACACCCTGCCCATCAACTACGGAAATACAAGTGATGACAAGTCTTAGAAATTTAATAAAATGTTTCATCGATGAATAATAAAACAGTGAAGTGATGCCAAGTTCTTAGTTGCTACACACGTAAAGCAGACTAATGACATATGAAATAAACTGAACTTCATCTGACAATGCTATTGCTTTACAATAACAGATATTACTACCTTACAATTATTGACATAGAATAAATTTTGCACAAGCATAAAAACATCATGCAAATACAAGACGCATTTAATAATGAGTCGAATTATTATCATTTTCTAACAATTGAATAAATTGTCAAGCCTAGGATATAGAATATTAGACTGATGAAATGGTAATCCACTGGAGTACAACCCCCATTCATTAACCAATCCGCTGCTGACGCTACTAGATTATAAACATCGTAGGTACATAGAGAAAACGTTAATTTACAAGTAGAGTCCTTCTGGTGTTCCTTCCTTTTTGCGGTATAACACGTTATCCTTAGATTTTCGGAAATCTTCGCTAGTTACTTTCATTCGACGCTCTCGTAAGGCCAATAAACCAGCTTCAGTGCAAATAGCCTTAACGTAGTAGATACATAATTCCATTAGCTCATTATACTAACAGCTTAAGTACTAATAGTAACTACCAGTACATTATTTATCAACTACAACTTGACTACATTCGAAAAATTACAAAGTATAACGTATTCATGTAGTGCGTCAAGATATGATATCAACCTTAACATCAGCTCCCGATAGGTCATCCTTAGCCATAATATGTTCTTCCAAGTTGACATCTTCTGCTAAAGTCATTCGGGCTGTATGAATATTAAAAATTCTTCTTCTCGTCTTCTCATCCGGTAACGGAAATTCAATTTTTCGATCAATTCGCCCTAAGACATTGTCAATTTTTGATTTAGTGACGTTAAGGTATTCAACAATCTTGAGATCATATCTGCACAAAAACATAATTTTCTTATACCAGGCCTAATGAGAGCAGGATCTAAGCTTTCAATCCTATTTGTAGCCATAATCACCTTATAAACCAGATACAGACATTGTTTACGATCATGTTGATTGTAGCAAATTTGTAAGATATACAGTACTATTAAATCGATAAACTTACTTTAACATCGCCTATTGAGTCAAAACCATCTAACTGATTCAATAGTTCTAACATGGTCCTCTGAATCTCACGTTCGCCTCCGCTGTTTGAATCGTATCTACTCACCGAGACAAAATCAGTTAGAAATATTGTGTAAACTTGACAGACAGTAAGATATTTAAGTACCGTTTTGTGCCAATAGCGTCTATTTCATCAATAAAAATGATAGAAGGAGCATGTTCTTCGGCTACTCGAAACAATTCTCTAACAAGCTTTGGACCATCACCCTATTCGATTAATTGAAAATTAAGACATAAATACTCTATTTCAAGAGTGGCAGAGGTTATAACAATAATACCAATCTCAACGTACTAGATATTTTTGAATCAGTTCAGATCCTACCACACGTAAGAATGTAGCTGAGGTCTGATTAGCAACAGCTTTTGCCAGCAATGTTTTGCCTATAGTAGGTACAAGCAACACAAACGTCTTTAAACACTAAGTACACTACGACAACGATCAAGACAAACATCCAAAACCTGTGCCAGGCGCCCCGTATAATATAACCCCTTTAGGAGGTTTAATGCCCATCTCTTCATAATATTCTGGATGAGTCAAAGGCAGCTCAACCGATTCCTGTGCGAAATTGGCATGATGAATTTTAGATAATCAGAGTTGCACCCAAAATTTCTCAAATGTCGAATTCAACGTGATTAACGTAGTACAACTATAGCAAATACTACATGTCATGTTTTACCTTAATTTCCTGAATCTGGGATTCCAAACCTCCAATATCGGCATACGACTCTTGCGGAGCCTTCTCCAGCTTCATAACAGAAACCATTGGATCGGTATCGTCTTGCAGTACACCAATAACTGCATGAACCTACCATTGTGCACGTCATCAACATTTAGCGATTCAATAGAAAATGCGAAAGTTCACAAATCCAGTTCTAAATTGGATGTCAAGGACTGTCTATACGCTCAAAATAATGGCACAACTAGCCGTAATCTCTTTATACCTTATGATTGAGTAAAACAGAACAACCAGGTTCCAGTAAATCTCGGTCAACAAATGATAAAATGCTAACGTAATGCTCAGATCCAACAGATGTTGAAACTATAGCGTGATTGTCATCGATAATCTCTTCTAAGGTTCCGACTGCCATTGGCGTCCCTCTAATGTCATCCAATCTTGTTCTTTCCTCCTATAGACATAATAAAGGTTAGTCGATTATGATTATCATCGAAACAAAACAGCAGATTCAATTTCGTTGCTATAAATAATCGACACAATCTGAAATTGCATCACACGTATGACTCTCGCTGGTCAAATTATATGCCGTCAATGACATCAATTTAATTCATAATATCACAAAAGGTTACCAAAGTGATACAAATTCCAATCACGACCATATCACAAGCAATAAAATTGCTACAGAGAGTATGAATAAATAATTTACAATCCTATATCATTAGCTACCTCATTTTTTTCATCTTGCGGTCTAAGCTGCTCTTGATTCTCTATAAATTCACTTTCCATGATGAGATAGTCTCTAATGCGATTTAACTTTAACAATTTTAAGCGGCATTTTGTATGTGGAGTAACTAAAAAAGTATGATACGTATAATATACAGTAAGCGTTATCATCCTTTCCAATTGAAACCATGGTGCATAAGGACTAAAGTCATGATTGGCACGATTACCGTTTGACTAAGTTATTTTAATATTGATTACGCATAGGGAATACGATGATATCGTCATTAGTAAATTCTTAATTATTGATTTTACGTAATTATTTAAATTCTATGCGTAAATTCGAGTTTATAATATCTTTTGATTGATCAATGCTGTATTACTATTTAACATATCGATAGTTACAGTATCATTGAGCAACTCATCCGTTTCGATATATAACTGTGTAGCCCATGCGGATAGCTTTTTAATACTGTATCGACAAGTTCAAAGATTTTTCAGATTGATTGGAAAGTTATTTTAGATCTACCTAGAGGAACTTTAGTAGCAGCTTCAGGTCCTCGTGATTTTCTCTTCTTTTTACCAATTCTTGTGGGCATAGGTGGCTCATACTTTCGCTTCGCCTACAATGATTTGCATTCAAAGCAAGATTAAATATACAATGTGACTACCACTCTGACAGTAACATAATTTTAGTAGAATTGATGCTGTTCCATGATGATATTCAAAATGGGTGTAGAAAAGCAGGTAGTACAGCTTAAAACTAGTGCATTCACTGTTCACATTTCCTTCTATCATTGTAAAATCATCTCTGTACCATGACTACAACAATTATTTTGAAAACTGTTTCATAGTTGATTTATTATCTCAAAATGAGCGAATCCATAGCGTGTGGTCAATGCAAACTATCTGACTAACAATTCGCTTATGATTGTAAGCCGCTATATTATCCGTAACGTAGTATGTTGACTCAAGGTTATGACTCTATCTAGGAGAATCATTACGTATGAAAATATGACAGTATCCCAGGAAGCGTGGAAAATCAGGGATGCTTGAGGTTGTCGAAACTTCAGTGTTACTTTACATGGAGATAATTTGACCATCTACTACACCTATTCTGTCATGGATGCTATATTACCTTATCTTTATCACCACCAGAATCACCTCTGCCACCAGAACCGGATTGTCCTTGGCCCTATACGCGTACATAATTACAAATTGAATTATTCAGTAGATAATGATAGAAGATTTACCACGAAATGAGTTATCCATGACAAGATGAACAAGTTTTATTGTCATCCTGTTAGGAGATGACTACGTCAACGGCGTCTCAATCAATGCATGAAATTGATGTAATAGCTAACATGCAAGGAATTATACATTACTACGCTACTCATTCCTATTTCAATATAGGACTATTCAACAACATCAAAGCGAGCTCGATCTACAGCGTTGATGATTTGTTGCAACTATTTCATGATTTATTACTAAAATGAATCGATGCCATTAAGAAATGTGTCTACAGCGTAGAGTAAAGCAGCAGTCTACAAGATTGTCATCAACATCGTATGTCAATTGTAGAAAAATGAATCAAATCAACGCTTGCTTGTCTACATATCGTTCCTCTCCAATAGACAGAGAAAGTTCAAAGAGAAATGAACGGATAGAAAGAAGAAAAAGTTCCAACATACCATGTTGAATTTGCTTTCCAAATTTCTTGGCCTTGTTCACTCTGCCTTCTAGCAGGCACTAACAATGAAAATCAGCCGACGATGCCGACGGTATAGTACTGCATCAAACCATCCACCGATTCTATACTGTACCCTGTACGCTAGCGTGGTACACTTCAGGCGGTGACGTCACGCTACGTTGAGTGGCTGGAGCCGTGATACAATATCACGGTAGCGTTATGAGCAGCATGCTTTTACCCACATGCGCGCTGCTGTATGATACAGTCTACACCGTAGTCATGACTGACCCATTGGACAGTGTGACACTACGCGTCTGGTGTAGCAGAACATCGACTGCGCAGGTTGAATATCCAAACTACGTCAATCTTCTCCTTTCGTGACTATGACTGACCTACTGGACACTGACACTGCATGTAGAGTGTAGCAGAACCCTTCATCACTGCGCAAGTTGAATACCCAAACTAAGTCAATCTTCTCGTTGATAATGACTGACCCACTGGACGCTGACACTACGGGTATGGTGTAGCAGAACCCTTACAATGACTGAGCAGGTTGAACTACGTCAATCTTCTCATTGATAATGACTGACCCATTGGACACTGACACTACGGGTAGAGTGTAGCAGAACCCTTACAATGACTGAGCAGGTTGAATATCCAAAGTACGTCGTCAATCTTCTCATTGATAATGACTGACCCACTGGACACTGACACTACATGTACTGTATGGTGTAGCAGAACCCTGATCAATGATCACTAGAGTCAGTAGAGTGAGCAGGTTGAATATCCAAACTACGTCAATCTTCTCCTTAGTAATGACTGACCTTCTGGACACTGACACTACAAGAACCCTTACACTGTACAATGACTGCGCAGGTTGAATATCCAAACTACGTCAATCTTCTCCTTTCGTCATGACTGGACCTACTGGACACTGACACTACAGTACATGTAGAGTGTAGCAGAACCCTTCATCACTGCGCAGGTTGAATACCCAAACTACGTCAATCTTCTCGTTGATAATGACTGACCCACTGGACGCTGACACTACGGGTATGGTGTAGCAGAACCCTTACAATGACTGAGCAGGTTGAACTACGTCAATCTTCTCATTGATAATGACTGACCCATTGGACACTGACACTACGGGTAGAGTGTAGCAGAACCCTTACAATGACTGAGCAGGTTGAATATCCAAAGTACGTCGTCAATCTTCTCATTGATAATGACTGATCCACAGGACACTGACACTACATGTACTGTATGGTGTAGCAGAACCCTGATCAATGATCACTAGAGTCAGTAGAGTGAGCAGGTTGAATATCCAAACTACGTCAATCTTCTCCTTAGTAATGACTGACCTTCTGGACACTGACACTACATGTACGGTGTAGCAGAACCCTTACACTGTACAATGACTGAGCAGGTTGAATATCCAAACTACAGTACATCAATCTTCTCCTTTCGTCATGACTGGACCTACTGGACACTGACACTACATGTAGAGTGTAGCAGAACCCTTCATCACTGCGCAGGTTGAATACCCAAACTAACGTCAATCTTCTCGTTGATAATGACTGACCTACTAGACGCTGACACTACGGGTATGGTGAAGCAGAACCCTTACAATGACTGAGCAGGTTGAATATCCAAACTACGTCAATCTTCTCATTGATAATGAGTTTATGACTGACCCACTGGACACTGACACTACGCGTAAGCTTCACCCTAATCACTGATTCGGGTAAAGATCAAACTACCTCGATCTTCTCGTTGTAATCAACTATCTCGGAAATCAAATGGCAAGGGTTTTAATTTCTCCAATCACTTTAACCCTGTTGCAATTGCAAGCATCCTTTGCTTACAGTAAGTACAGTAAGTACAGACTGTCTTCTTCATTCATATCGTACGACTGTACCCGCCAGATACAGCACGCAGACCATGCTGGCAGAAACATCACTTCATATCCAACATGACGTTGCACTTTTTCAATCGTATCATCATTGGGTACTCTCTCTCATTCAAGGATCATGTATCGGACAGACGGATTCCTTTCTTACCCAATGTAGCCGTCAATGTCCCAAAATACTTACTGTGTGTATGTACTTGTAGTATGGATCTTGGGTGTCTGCTTTGGAAATCACTGCTACTCCTTTTTCTACAGTAGAACATGGACGATCTTATACAACTGGTTCCAAGTAGAACTTACGGATCTATTATTAATATCCGACTCCTACAATTTCGATAGACTTGAAGTCAAGATTGCAATAAAGCAGTAGGCAATGTGTCTTTAGAATCGAGCTCTTACTGCTACTGATGTCTGCTCTAGAACGACAGTAGGCAGAAAAATGACTACTCAATAAGCTTTGGACAACCCATTCTCATCGACTTTCCATGATGATTGAATGGCGACGGATGGATACTCTCATAGGTTCAACAGTGCGAAAATACTCTGAAAGTCTATCAAAATTGTAGGAGTCGACTGATGATCCGAATTTAGTGACGGATAACAACATTTTACGTAATATTACTTCATTTAGAAAAAAATCAGTCAATTTAAAATCGACCGTCTACATATTAAAGTACCATCGCAATGACAGCAATAGTTGGACGAAATGAGACCGAAAATGTCTGTTCGTCCAAGAGTGATCAGTCAGGGACAATTCAAGTAAAATATTACTATAAGCCCCTTTTTCCACCGTCTACTTTCTCGATCTCTTTTTACGATATAGTCATGGGGATTATAATAGTAAGAGAGACAGTAGATGGTGAGATGAGAGTTTGGTGGATAAAAGGGAACACATTTTTACTTAAGTAGCCCATGGAACTCAAGTAAAAATGGTTCCCCTATATTTTGTCCTTGAAGGAACAAATTCTCCCCTTGGCCTATCAATAGATTACTCCGGACAATCTTATGATCAGGACAAATAGTACTGTCCGTAGTAGTCGCTGCTGTCCATCGTGCTAGCGCACCTGCCAGTCGCCCTTTTCTCTCACCATCTCACTTTACAAAAATCCTCATTCTTACTTTAGAATCCCATAAAATGTTGTAAAAGAAGGTTGACAATTTCATAAAAAGACAGTAAGTGGTAACATTTTTACTTCATGGGATTATAAAGTAACAGTGAGGATTTTATAAAGTGGCAGCAAGGAGTAACAATCTTACTGGAGTAGTTGGCGATATCTGCATTATGCTGTTGACTATCAAGGTGACGCACTCTAGGCATTTTTCAAAAAATTCGATCCTTTAATACTGTACCGTATCGTCATCGTCAAAATTCTACCATTCCAATGCTTTGATCTACTCTATTATCGTTGCTCTTAATTTCAACTGATAATGAACGCATTTTAAAATTCACTTGTAATATCAGTCAATAATAGACGAGACGAATCTCAAACTGTTTCAACCGAACTTCATTTTAAGCTTTTAATGAACACATGCAGTTTTCCGTGATTGCATTACTTCATATTAATGCGATGATCTATGGAATTTACATACTGTAGCTTTCATTCGTGCATGAATCAATTATTTGAACATCCTGTTGTCCCATAGATCACTGGGTAATCACTTGAAGAGTCATGCTATGGCTAATTCAAACTAATATCTATGACCAGTAAATCCGGGATAGACGGCAAAATGAATGTACTGCTGACTAAAAGCATGCGACAGATCGACAGTAGTGTACGCTGTATCAAGATACACCACTGGCAATAGCCAAAAGTCCTATAGGAACTAATCTAGTTCTACGTCATCATCGCCAAAATTTTGCGATTCTTGCCTAGGATAACTTATTTTAATTGTTGCTGCTCATAATTTTAATTTTAACTGATATTGAATACATTTTAATATCAACTTGTGATTTCATTCAATAGTAGACGAAAGCCTTCTTAGATGATTCAACCGAACTCCATTTTAATACGGGTATATTCAGTTTTCCTTATTTAAATTATTATCATCACTACACGAGTATTCCGCTAACCTTAAACATCATTGATTCATCTTTCAAGCGTTATACTATCAGTTATGCTATAGTTAATTCTAACCGATACTCATAACAATTAGATCGGCCACGAAAGGCAAACTAGACTAACATAGTATTGATTTCGCCGACATTACCGAATTACAGTAATTATTATTAGCAAATATCATTCATCAAGAATGTCTTGACAAAATAACACCTATTTGAAATATGCGTAGAGTAGTATATTACTGACTCTAATCGCTTCCATTTGAAATAAATTTCTATCATACTCCTATTTGTATCGCCATTATTGATCCATATACTCAGATTTCCAACAACGTTATCCAATAACATTTCTGCTACATGTTGTATCATATACATGCTAGTTAAAATAGATAAACAATATCGTATCAAATAATGAATAAACTTTGCACTCGTATCAGTAACTCATCCATATTATAAATCAATAAAGTGAGTCTATATTGGTTAAGAATGAAAAGTTCTATCGCTATCATTAACTTAGCCTTCGCTAAATTTTATAATATGACTCACAGTCTAGATAATTACCTTCAATTTATATAAAGACGCGCTTGCATCACATTTTTATAGGTCCATTAATACTGTCAATATCACTATCGACATAGTGGGCATCTTCCTATAATAGTATAGACCGTTACATACTTAGCTGATTCGCTAATATAAACCCAATTCAGTATTACAATACTTAACACAGAAAGAACTAATTATAAAACTATCGTATCAAGCTAGAAATTAGAGATATAAATACGTATATATGCTTTACCAGTTCTGAAATATAGCTAGGCTTTTTCTTTGTTTGCTTACGTACAACCTATATAATTACGACATTATAAAATGAACCTTTTCCCGTAAAAGTGCTAAAGTTATGATTGGTTTTAGAATTGATTCATCTCATACTATTAGCTATCCTAATGACAGCTCAATATGTATCTTAATATGATAGACCATCATACGTATAAAATTATAAAATAATAAATGCCTACCTTGCAAATGACAAAGATGATGACTATCACTCCAACAGAACCTGTTACGGAAACTGCAACAATTGCACTAATGGATGCTCCAGGTAATCCATAGCCAGCCTCCCTTGCAAAATATCCTGTAGAAACGATGCTACGATCATCGAATTGAACGGTTAAATTTCCTGCCTATTAGGATAAATAGAAAAATTTTTAGTATACGTACCGAGGCTACTAGCTGGTGACTATAGTTAAGCAGCTATGATGAACACGGTGCTATCTTTTACAAAAATTATAAAAGCCAGAATTCAAATTATTGATAGTTTCCTTTTAAATTGACTATCTTCATTGTTAAAATATTAAAAGCCTTATATTTCAATCAATTGTATATACCTGTAATTCTATTGCACGCATAGTTTGGTAAGTAATGGGTGGTTTCGGCATGAGGTGAAAATGGATAGATATTCTGTTAATTCCTGTATTGGAATCCGGAAAAATCTATTGATAATAATTAATCAATAGTATTCAAGTAGAAAAGTAATCATGTAGAAAATGCCTCTTGACTGAGTTATTAACTTTAGTCTGTTCCTCACAGAATCATACTCTGAGAAATTAATGCTCAACTATGATGAGAGTAATTTTAGCAATTAGTCAGCTTAACAGTCAATTCAACAATATCGTATTGATGTAATCAGCTAAAGATTTACCTGTACATCTCGTAACGTAGTGTATGGCTCTATGCCAAACCTTGCACTCATTACTGACTCAAAGGCTCTAAAAAAAGGAATCAGATTGATCAGATTGATTATACATTATTTAAGTATTATATTCGAGTGCTTATAGAATTTATACAATTTGGTCATTTATACATGTTATGAACTCTTACTTCATCACTACGATAATTCATATATCACCTTTTGTCAATACTTACTCCACGAAATCATTAACGTTGGTTAAAGAATCGAACGGCGCATCAAATTCTAGTGTTGCACCATAATATCTGTTGAATATTAAAATCGCTTTAATGTCAATACTAGTCAATCATACATTTTTAAGATCATTCTACAATTTCATCATCAAGGTCATCATAAATGAATATAGGTAGGGTTAGGTAATTTGTCAATTGGATAATCTAATTTCCTGTATTTTGAACGCGGCAAAATCTTCTACAATCAATGATTGACAGAAAATCGACACACCGATACTTAAATATAAATTGCCAGTTAAAGAAATTAGCTGGCCTTATAAGACAATTTAATAACAAAATCAAACAACTGCCTCTAGTTTCAGCAAGTACTGTAAATACTAAAAATTTCATAAATAGAATACGGCCGAATAAATCAAATAATATCATGATATGAAATGATAATTTCACACGATTGCAATGATTTCCTGCTAATGCTCAAATAAATAAGCATTTTGTATATTAGATATGATTTTCCGATTTATAAACTTGAATCGTTTCTTACAGGTTACAATCAAAACTATTTAAAATAAGAGATTTATCTTAAAATTGAGTGGATTATGTAGTACTTATATAACAGTATCAACTACTTACACAAAATTATGAAGATAAGATAGGCCTCTTATGATAAAGAAAATCCATTATGAAATATAGGGTAAGAACATACCGCAATGTAGGACAAGTTGGCTTATTGATGGAGACTGTACCAGGCATAATTTCTCCAAATATATTAACACACCAGCAGTACTTGGTGCTTTCATCGCATTGTAATCCAGCAAAAGAGCCATCCGGATTACATTCCGGAATATAAACTCCAGTTCTTTGCAATGGTCTACCATTTGGCAAAGTAGTAGTATTTCTTCTAGCTATGAAGCATTCTGATAAAGCTTCTGTAATGGAAAAAATATAAATTCGTGTAAAAAAATTTCAATAATATTGGCAATTCTGATCAAAATCAACTATTCGAGTGTATTCCTTCTATTTAATTATTATAAAACCCAGTAATTTTGTAATTTAGTAATACGCTGTCCAATGCAAAATGGCGCTAAAATTTCGGTTTGCTGTGCTTAAAATTAAAATTATTATATATGCATGATTTTATCAAAGTATTAGTGAAAATGACCAAGTGCTAATTAAACATAGCGCCAAAAATATGTATCGTAATATTTATGTTTATTCAATCAATTACTTCAAGAATAAGCTATAGAGCAAATGATATATGACAGGAGGATTAGCTTACCTGCTTTCAAATGAGAAGTTATTACATCTTATCTGAAATACGGTACCTTTTGGAATTGGTTTTTTACATTTTGTAGCAATGCCACAGCCTTCGGTAGCGCAGCATTTATAATCACTTCCACAGTCTCCATCAGAACTACATTCTCCAGTACATTGGTATTCATTTTCTATTTTATTGACTTCAGGACAATACCCAGATTTACCTATGATCAGAAGCCGATTCTATATCACTACTAATAATTTTGCGATTGTTCTTATAATAATTTGCTAGGTATTAAATATTTAAGGTAGTAAATATTGAAAGCAATTACACGCTTTTATATACTGTACATAAACTGTATCTTGACATTATAAAATTGGTGAGAAAGAAATAATATGTTTCGCTCAGTAACAATTACTTATATTGCATTGCGCAGTTGACGGTGATCTTGTACCAATAACTTCAACTCCATTACGATCAACGCACCTTTAAATAGCAGAAAGTTCAACAAGTGTTTCTGTTAATATAGCCTTATAACTAAAACCATAAAATTTTTAATGGCAATTGTAAGAAAATCTTTATGTCGATAATATTATTTCTGGATACTTACCAGCAGCATTACATTATCAGAAATCAACGTTACTTAATATCATTATTAGTAGCAGTTATAAATTTTAAAATAATAATTCTCTTACCAACATTCTTTAGGTATAGTCCGGCACTGTATTTTTAAGTATTCTCCATTTTTATCGCATTCTGGTAGAAATACTGCCGTTGTGTTCACAATTCCATATGATGGAGTAGTACTTGTGGTGTTAGAGATGAGACCAACCGCTTTCATTTTAGCATTATATCGAGCCAGCTGGCATTTTTTTAACCCTGTAATAATTATAGTAATTGCGTAACGATTATTTATTAAAGTAATTTATGTATAAACAATACTAATCAACTCGTTTAATTTATCTAAGGTTGTAAAGCCTAGCAGCATTTTCAGTTTAAGCTCAACAATTATATTCCGTAAAAATATTTTTATGCCATAAACGAGTACTAAACTATCGATACTAATTCCGCTAAATTGGAATATTTGTAGTAATCAATAAAATTATCAATCAAATATTAGATTACGTCTTTCAATATGTATGTGACTTTCGACTTAACATAATACCATTAATGCAGGTGCTAGCTTCTACATCTAATTTACCCTCAGTGCAATTAACGCTACGACGATTGCCATCATGAAATCGTATTGCGCAATTTGAGCAGATATCTTGAATACATATAGCATTCGGATGGGCTGGGCATTCTGCCAAAGCACAACGTGGCGCCTCACACAGGATAGCCAAATGATTGGCTTGACAAGCTAGATTTACCAACACAATACGGATTAACGATAGAAGCTTACAGTATTAAAATGATAAATAGTAACATTTTATTCTAATCAAAACTGAATATCGAAAGAAAACTACTAGATACTACGCATATTTTAAACTAATTGTATTTTGTAACTAGAATTGTCCAATTCGACTTTTAATATTGAATGGTCAAGTATGCTTAAGGTAAGGGTGATTTGATTGAATAGTAATGAATATTTGTTCACATTTTGCAATTCCTAATATCTCAAGCTAATGGCTGTCCAAAATAGTTAAGAAAATGTACTGTATATAACAACCGTATTCTAATCGTAATCGCTATCATTTTTAAAGAGGATAAAGCAAGGTAAGCAATTATTACAATACAGGTATGACATCAGAATGATAGGTATGTTTAATTCTATTCAAATTCATGGCATACTAATTATATTATATTTAACCTGGATAAACTGCTTTAAGGCAAAGTGTACCACCACATCCATTTAGACAACACTTATAGCCTGCATCGCATTGTGTATCGTTTTCACATGAGTTTCTGATAGTGCAATTACTTGCAGCCATTTCAAGGTTAGAAATAACAGGACATAGCCCGGGCCGAACTAGATTGATCAATTTTATTAATGATACAGCAGATTACTGTTATAACCATTAAAAAGAAATTAGCCGTTTAAAGATAGATGAATAATATAGAAACTGATTGATCCTATACTTACTTGATCTAGTTGCACCAGCACAGTTTCTGTACCCAGTAGTGATAGTGTCTTGCTCGATACGGCCGCGACGACTTGAACACCAGCAAATTCCTTGCCAACATTGCAAAGGATAATATTCTTCCGTGTAACGATTATTTATTTTCGTACACCTTGGTATAAATCGACGATATAATGTGCTAATAGGAACTTTAACACGATCAGAACCCTGATTGAGTACAACTCCGGTGATATCATACACCATTTTCATGCAGTAATTCAAACCTAAGAGTGGGATAATTTAATAGTTAGAGGTTTGCCCGCGTTCAACTTTTTATTAGACTATTAGCTTAGGCTTAAAATCAAATTTAATTATAGTAGGTATAACATGGTATAATAACATTGCATTTAATACAATAATAATCTTATTAACATCACTTCACGCCAACTTTCCAATTAAGTTCCAGTAAAATTATCGGTCAAATGAAAACACCAAGATTCAAGGCTACATTTGTACTATTCAGTGATTTAGAATACTAGCAACAGGTTCTTGTTGTTGCTTTACGAATTAATTATGACTGTTACGACAAGAGTCCATGAATGTTGACTTAGAAAGTACCGTACTATAAATCTGTGTAATCCGATCTCAACAATTTATCATTGGAAACAAATTGCTAAATCTAACCACTTTGTGCAGGTATGGAAGGTCCTAAAAGTTGATAAAAAGTTAAAAGATGGAAACATCTATTCAAAATGACATTGGATAAAGTATTATTTCTATTGTATATGATATTTAAACACCCATTGCTAAAGTAACAGTATTAAGGAATAGACGTGTAATAGTATGATATACAGGGCAACTCTATTGCACTTTTTATTTTATTTTATTGTCATTTTAAGTTAAATCCTTGGATTTAAGAAAAGCTCTTACGTGGGCATCTGTCATTTGGCAATATACGACCATTGGTATCACTACACCTGCGATAAAATATTGCATTAATAATAAAATAGAAACAGAATCTTATTACTAATTAATGCGATTAGTTTATAACAGTATTTTATATTTACTTTATGTAGGTCTTCTTTTTATCTAGTTTACCTTATTCTTGTACACAAACATACTCAATTTAATCAATAATTAACTAAATGATATGGTATAGCTATAGTAAATAATAAAGACTATCATATTTAAAGATACTGTTTAAAATGTCGTATAGGAATACTTAACGATCTTAAGAGTGCAGAAGAATTCAAAAGTGGTAATAATACCGTTATTGAAATTAAATTCTTGGTAGGCAATTATTTTACTCCAAAATGAAAGAATTAATTTTATACTACGCGTTAAATATGTACACTTCGCTTCAATATATATTTCTTAAAGGTCAAAATATTTAATAAAGCAGTGCTAGATATTCATTTACTATAGTTTAAAACATTATGCTTAAGAAACGGCTTCCGAAATAATTTTTTCCAGAAATATATTTCGCAACTTACCAGCAATTTCTATCAGTCTTTAAACATTGGGTATATTTAAAATTATTCTGATCGCATTGTGGAATATAGTGAGATAAAGTAAATGAATCTGGATTTCCTGTTTTGGTCGATGATAACACGTAGGCAACATTATTGACTTCAATAATGCTTTTATTGTAAGTAGTAAAATGAGTATCTTGATAAGTTAACGATGAATGGCGTAAGGTTAAGCAGCCAGGAACTAGATTTGAGATGATGTAATGGTCGAAAGGAAATAGTTATTTTTAATATCATATTGACCAATATTAAAATTTATAAGTCTTATTTATTTGATTAAATTTGCAAAGCTTTACTTCGTGTATAACATTGGACATTGTTTCCAAAGTTATCAAAAAATCCTACTGTGCAACTGCCGCAAGGGATAATCCTACACGACAGATCTCTGCAAGTTACATCGCCGCTGCATTCGGAAATGTTACATTTAACTAGAGGTTTCTCAGGTGGGCAAACTATATAGATGGGTATATGGGTGTTGCATGTTAATAATGTGAAATATAAATGGAATTCACTTCAAGACAATTTTTAACGGTAAATATATTGTCGTATTCAGTAACACTTACCTAGATTTTGAGTTTTCTTGACAAAGTTTACATATTCCTTACTTTCTATAGGTACACCAATTATTAGTCAGTATAATTTTAACTATGGCCATTAATTAAATACCATTTTTTATCAAATATGATCATTTGTTATACTAGTACAATCTACTGATACGTATATAACTGATTAATATCCTTATAAAATTCGTATAGGAACATACGTATAGTTATCGCTTTTATGTGAGCCTTATCATGACTCAAAGCATCAATTTTTAACACTCGGTTAACAATACTGATTGCCAATATCATATTTCGAGTAAGGTAGGGTAAATAACTAACTCATTCCCGCAAACAATGTAATTTCAACCACGTAATAATAGTATTCATATTTTGGCTAATAAAATCATTCATATATAAACGAGGAGGATATCGTAGGAGTATCTGTAAAGCGCAATCTTTCATACGTACAAAATTCGTTCTATATATGAAATAATATTTTTACCAGCTGTATTCGGGAATGTACATTTCCGACCGCAGTCTGTGAAGCAACATTTCTTGTCACCTACACAATCTGTGTCGGTTAAACAGTTATTGGAACAGGGATCATTATTGCCTGTCGTCCATGGAGCAGGACAAAATCCAGATTTTTGAGAATTGGCTATAAGTAATGAAAAATTGCAAGCTATCTTTGATTGATAGACTCGAGCTAGCATTTCAGAGCATGATATAGCACTCTACTTAATTACAAAATTTGTTAATTGCTAAATAAATAATCAAATCTGTATATACTATTAGAATATCACGTTACTTCTAACCTTTAACATTAGCACAAAGCGGTACGCCACGTATTCTAGTGCCAGAGATTTCATTGCCATAATTATCAACGCACCAGCATAGACCAAGTGTGTCCATACATTGAACTTTATCGTATGAACCATCTCGCTGACATTTAGGCACAAAGACGCCAACAGTTAGGTTTTGATGGCTTTCTACGCTAGCTGCTTTATATGCGGCAAGTTGATGGCGTCTACATAATGTATTACCTACATGAAATAGAATAAGATTAGAAGGAGAAGTGCTAAGTCGATATTTTCGTTACAACGGTTAGCATTTCACCTATAAGGCAAGTGCAAGTATAACATCCATTATCATCTTTTGTGTATCCATTTGGGCACGGTTTAGGACAGTCAAACTTAATACACCCTGCAAAAATTGCACTGATGAAGTAATTCGTGCTCATAGCATTTCTTAATGATAAATATTAGCAATCTCAATTCTACGGATTGAATTAATTACTTGGAGAACAGTCACAAGTTCGGCAACCATTAGGATCTTTAACAACAGACGAACAACCAACTACAGTACACCGTAGGCGCGGACAGGTAGGAACTAAAGAAGAATTAGCAAGAAATGAAATAGAAATTTATAACATGTTATAACATACCAGGATTACTGACAAGATTGTAAGGAAATGATAGTAGCCTACAACTCAGCTAAATTTTATGAGTAAAGCTGATTTTATGGCATCAATCATCATAAAATCATTACCGTTAATACATCTCGGAACTAACGGGCAAGGTTCGCTTGTGCATGTTTGATTAGCAAGACGGCATTCTAGATTACATGGCTATAACAAGAGAAGTATTCTATAACTGCAATCTCACGTAATAAATTTGCAAAAGGAAACTGCCCTGTAGAATCATGTTTTAATAGTAGTTAAGGTGTTACTCAATATTGCATTACTTCGCCAAAACATTGAGATGTTCTATTTTCATATTCTTTGCGAAAGGTCCGATCTAGGTATAATTAAAAAAGATGTTACTATACTATATAGATAATTCATGGTTAAAGTTAAAGAATAAGGGATGATTTATTTACTGCTATTACTACATCGCTTACAGTCGTCTGTAATTGGTTCCGTACATTCCGTACCACATCCATTAGTGCAGCATTTTTTACTACCTGAACAATCACTATCGTTACCACATAATGCTACACACGACCCAGCGTTTTCGAATGTTCTTCCAGGGCACATTCCTACTTCTAAACGTTTAAAGATTAGAAAGATAAATTTAATTATTAGCAAGCGATATGTTGAATTTTGATACTGTAATTGATACAACTTACTGGCATCGGCGCACAGCAATACTTGCGTCTAGTTCGTTATGGGGGAAGAAAGGATATAAAATAGGGCATGTTAATGATGTAGCATAAAGACTGTAATAGCTATCGTACAGTTACAATGTGTATCATACAGCTTCAAAAATGGATATCATATCGTCTATTCCATAGTATGGTGAGAATAATCAAGGAATGATTAAGGTAATTATTAATCTGCGAACTACAAGTATAAGAATTTTAACAGTTCGATATCGACCGACTTTATCAAAGACTTACGCCGTAAAGTAGAAAAACGAATAGCAACCGATGTCGATATCTCGTGGCCATATCTATCACGATTTCTTCGATGTTCCTAAAACCCTAAATTCTAAGAAATAGTCGTTAGCTGTAAATTATACGTAAAGGTACATTTTGCTACCTATCTACGGAACAAATATTAGCTTTATCTAATACCAATACTGGAACTACAGAAGAATGCAGTGTGTAATGAAGACGAAAGAGCATGCTTTACGTTTGTTACTAACATCAATTAATTTTTATATTATATCGCTGCCAATTTAAAATGTACGTGAATAAGATTTTTTTCTTTACAAGGAAATGTAATAATGAAAAATGCAGATAGCTTTACCTCTTTTGTTAGGATTTAACAGATGATATTTTTTTACCCAATTTTAGCTGGACTATGCACTCTTGTATTTGTTATAGATCTTCTGGTTACGACTTGCTAATATGCCATGCATAACAGTTTCGATTAAAAATAATTTGAGGAGTCAGAAATTACCAGATCTCATCTTCAAACGGTATTTCATAATTAAATTACTAGTGAACATATGATTTACTGCAATTAGCTGCCATAGGCCTGTCACGAGCCGGCAATGATTAATTTAATTTCTTTTATTTCCCTGTTTATATTCTGATAGATTAAAGCTGCAAGTTATTGATTGCATCCATCAATTCGATAGCAGATAGCTAGTGTACATTTTTACAAATTATGCGCGCATCGAATGCAGCCTCTTGTAGATCTTATAATGAAATATGACAGTCTTCAATATAAATGTCGTGATGGTGCGAATAAATCAAATAATATGGATGGTATTGCATCCACCTCTGTGTGTAATTGCGGCGATCTACGCACAAATGTGCAAATTAATACTTATTGTCTATGTTGAATATTTCGTTGATTATCTACAACCTTAAATTACATTCTTATAGCTAGCTAATACCTTTACTACTTGAAAAGGTATAATTGACGCAAGATATTATACATAACACGCGGTTACAATTAATTATCAGCGTAAATATAAATTAGTGATTCTTCTACTATGGTTTTAATGATTTTAATTTTGCGACAGTCCGTAGTTCCCTTTGATTACGAATTTATTCCAAATTTTAAATTTTAATCAGAATAGAAATTAACAACTAAATTATAGTTTATATGGATATCATGATTGGATTTAACGATTAATAAGGTGAATTTATAATTGAAAATATAGTTTGGTTAACTTCACAAGTAAGGAGTATATTAGCTACTGGTTCTTAAGCAGCTATTTTATTTATACAAACTACAACAATATGCTAAGAAAGTTCAAATTTGCAAATCAGCGATTTGCTGTACACTGTACACAGTTGATGGTGCCTATTTAGGATGATTATGATGAAAAGTCCAGTCAGAATACTAGTTTGAACGTGCATAGTGGAGTGAAATGCAGATCATAGCCACGGAAAAATACCATACTATAATTAATTCTTCCCTGCATGACAGTAATCTCGGAAAGAAGTAGCATCCACCATACTGTAGGAATTATCACGAAGAACCCCTTAACTCAAGTTTCATAACGAGTGTCCTCAACTCCTCATACCCATCATTACTGTATTTTGGATACCGTACTCAATCACTTCACTATACAGTACCGTCCATTTTTCATATTCTTGGTCAGCGACGTGTAGAAGAATTTCCTCTTACAAGTCCCTGACTTAGCTGCAACTGAAATATAGGCTCATGGAAGCATGGAGACACTAAAATACTCGTAGGTCGAGTTTTAGGAGTCCATGATGAAAGATGAAAGTGATGACGAACTCGTTCATGGCAAGAGAGGGACAGGAAATGGCGCTAGGTGTGGTAAAAAATAGGCAGACAATTATTTTGCTGGTCATTTGAACTGAACCGTACGTCTGTAATGGGACGCTGTACTATTCCGTAATACAGTATGAGCTGGTCAACCAAAATGACATGACGTGCCCGGTGGTTCCGTTTCAGTTCGTTTGACCCATTTGGAAGAGGATGAGGACAGACGGACTAGCAGCAGCCGCAGTCGTGGAGTACCCAATAATGCGAGAGCTGATCATTTTTCTGGTCATTCTATAGTACAGTAGGCTACCCCAGAAACTCTATACAGTACTGTATTACAATGATATCCATGGACAGGGTAGTGTATCGTTTCAGACATACGCTTCAATTGGAATGACTAGCAAAAACTAGTCTGGCCGCATTTTGACTCCAGTTGCACGTCCGTCCGTAGTACTGGTACCGTACTTGTACTCCAGTCGTATCACGTGTTCACCGTGGCCAGTAGAGTGACTTGACAAGGTAGTACCGTACCGTACCGTACTGGTCTTCCTTGTCTCTTGATACGATGGAGGCTATGAAGGGATTTTGCTATAGTGGCTTCTGAGGAAATGAGTAGGGCATGGAACAGCATACTGCCCTCTTCAAATGGCAAACTGGTTCCCATCGGGTCCAGATCGGATCGTTTCCAATGGTAGAAGAGATCGAATGAACTTGGTTGCTTAGCTGTTAGGCCTAGACTTCGGCAAAATTAAGTATTTTGCTGAAATAAAATTGACTCTTAGGTTTTACTTGAGTATTAATAGTAGATAGTATTAGAGTGGTAGAAATTGAATATGACTTACCTAGATACATGGGAAGAATTTGCTGCTGCATCTGAAAGCTTGTATCAATCCGATGCGGTCAATGTGAGTATGGAGACTAACGATCCAGCAGGAGGATGAGCTCCTGTCAGTAGAGCTAAATGGCTTCTACTCTGTTTTACATAATGACTTTGCCTCTTATTTTCAGTGTAGAATACAATATCTTAACAGTAATAATGAGAATGTTATGATACGATGAATTACAATATTGCTGTGGAACAATATTCCGTGAGGAATACTCTACTTAGGAGTAGTGTAATATCATGAGAAAGGAAAGTAAACTACGTAACTACAGCGTTATTTAGATTGAACGCCCAATGCTTGCCTCGTTGACGAGCATCCTGTAGTGAGTAGAGAAGTGACAATTTTATGGTAAAACATAGGATAGAGAAAATGCATGGAGATAATAGTATTATACTTACTGGAATGGTCAGTTGATAGTAACACTACTGCCTATAGTAGCGCTAAGAATGCATCGTCTTTCCATTTCCGTAATAGCAGCCAAAACTGTCACTAAAGTCTTTAGGATTACTCCCAATCATGATCATTACTCAATCAATTTGAACTGTTACGGAATAAAAAATGTTCACAGGATCCATCGTTAGACTTTATATTACTGATATACGCAAAGTATTTCAAGAGTGAGATATGAAATTCCAATTGCGATATAAAGAATCTTACTTTTGGACTTTTGTCTGTCTGCACTGCAATAGCTACACCCTTTGAATTATGGTGATGCTAAGATTTGGGTTGAATTTAATTCAAGGATCGATATGCTCTCAATCATATTTACTTAGCTTCTTTTACTGTATCCTGCTGCTTAATTATAGCAGATTAATCTAGTCTCAAAGTAGCTACCTAAATTAATAATGTTCAAGTATTGTTTGTCGCGATTATAAATTCTTTCAATCTTGACCGATTAGACTAACAGATCGATACTTGATTAATGTTGCTTTTAGTTTCGCTTTGTCTGGAAGTATCGTCACAGCGATGGCAAACTTATAGCCAAGGCCACCAATAACAAAGTGGTAAGTGAATATATTATCACGCTTTTGGCGTTTACATTGGCTAAAGAAATCCAAACTACTCTACAATATATAGCTTAATGCTAAATGTAAACTGACTCTCAGTATGGCCAAAATGGCGTCATTCTACTTCTGTACTGTTTGCACTACATTTTCAAATGAGGCAGTTCAATCTAGATAATTTATTGGCATTTGCAAACATTATATTTTATCAATAATTCATTAAGATACGAAATCGATAGTGATAATTATACCTGTTGTGAATGGCATCAAACATGCTGCTCTAGATGATCATATTGTTACAGTCAAAGCGGATTTGTGAAGTAAATTTTCTAATTTTGTCTTGTAATTTTTTAGGATATCAATAGCATACTTCTGTACTAATATATCGCTCTCATGTTCAATCTAGTGCTTAAAATATCGAACCGATCAGATCCAGGATGTGAAAAAATTGGAAAAATTAAGCAGTACTCTAATGAGACTAATGGTTTCAAAGTAATTGGAAAGAGTTTAACTGTGCTGTTTCTATAAAATATACTTTTAATCAATACCGATTACGTCCAACTGCTAAGGAGATATCGATGCCAAAGTAATATTGGTTGATACTGAAATCAGCAAACAAATGTACAAATTGCCAATAGGTGATTTCATTTTTACCTTTTACGGTGTATAATATTGCCGTAATTGGGTTATCTACCAACTTGGTCTAACTCAATTCTTACTCGATGTGGATATCACAAACTGATCATGAACATTGTCATTTTTGGTGTCATGCTACTGACTTATGTATTATTGTGAATTATGTTGCGGTACCAACTTGTTAAGCAAAGTTTGAACATCTGTAGCATTGGCTGTACCTATGCAAATATTTTAATTTGCTTATTCTGTGCTAAAGATGTTTTAGATTTAGACTCATTAATAAAATTGCGTTAACACTCTTCATAAGCGAAGCTTTTAATTCGCCGTCAATGTCACGTAAATGTCTTATATTCTTTGATAAAAGTTATCTATGCTAGATTACATAATTCTGACACAAATTAATCTAACAGTAATTGACTTTATTTACTGTATGAACTTATTATTCCAGCACGTAATTGTACAAAAACGTCCTATAAAGGTGCGAGTATCGCTCTATAGTCGACTCTTTTCTTAGTTGAATATTTACATTATTTAAATAGCCTGAGTCGCAGTAAAGAAGACAGCGTATAAATTTTTAGAAAATGCCCAAGCTTTACAATGCATAGAAAAGTATATTCATAAAGCTGCATCGTGTACATATTTTACTCTTTACGGCAGTGGCGAGTGACAAAGACATTAAATTTGTAGGACTATTAACTAAACACAAAATTTATCAATATTGTGAATAAAATTATTTACAATCATGAAATTTAGTATCTATATTTAAACAGTTGAAAAACTTTTACTATGCAATCAAATTGCAGCAAATATTCAGTATTTACAAATACATGTCGTACATTAAGTAATACGTCGTAAAAGATGTGTTTTTATCAATTGGGTCAATAATTACAATATTATTTTCATCAAGTTACTAATAATTAATCCGCATTTACTATAGCTGCATTCATATACTATAAAATTGATAATTTTAACTATCAATAGCTAAAGCAGCAAGCAGTATATCATTCATTCAATAGCAGCCTAGACCATCCAGTTGTATCTTCTTTTAATTGTTATTTTTTTCAGTACTACCACGCTCATCCAGTAGTAGGTAGTGACGGGAAAGCGATAGTTTTACTTAGCATAAAAGATAAATCAGGTAGTTTTGCAAGTATAGATTTTGCCTCATCACTTAAATTCTCATTACTCTCCGTACTACTATTGCGAACAAATGCGATAAAATGCGCAGCATTGCTTTGCTCTTTCTTTTCTTTGACCGGAGTTTGAAGAGGAGAAATACCTAAATTTAATAGATCTTTTTCGTAAAGACCTGAAGAATAAATAATAAAATAGTTAATGATACACGAGTATAGCACCAGGTAATTTTAATTAAAACGAATAATGCAACTTTACCTTTATCACCTACGGAGTCTTCCATTGTCAGTGAAAATATATCCATATATTTATTTTCTTTAGACTCTTCTGGAAAATTTCAATTCAGTCTGGAATTAGTACAACTTGGAGAATGCTCTTAATAATGCTATAAACATGCAGTACTGTCTAAAAAAGCAAGCATTATATCGTGATAGAACTGATATATTATATACCGCGTTTGGTATTAACACTCTCTGAGGAGCTTTCAGTGATATTAAGGAAGTCAAAAACTGTAGTCGACGGATCTACAAATCAGTAAGAAGAGCGATAATTACAAAAAGTAATTTATACAATATAATAATCCATATTCGGTATTACTAATACTGTAGTATTGACTCAATAATACGAGAATGCAGCTTCAGTTATACTGCATAAATAGCACATTAATATACATTATATGCTCATTTTTTTGTATGTGTACTTACTAGACTTGATCATAGTGCTGGACGGCGTGGGTTTTCCAATCCCAGGCGACGACATTGCTCCTCCCTTACATTTTATAAATTATAATAAGATCTTCAATCACGTACATTGTATCAAAAATAATGGCTTCTATTTCGTGAGCAAAAATATACGCTTTGAAGTGCAGTGATATCGTTTGCACAGATAGCGTACAATTATAACATCAAATAGCTACGAACCAGAAAGTCATCCAGCTCCCCAAAGGCATTACCAAAATTGTCTTGCATGCCAGCTTGTTTGTTTGGGTCCATCTTAATGGTCTATAGTGTTACATCAGATATAATACAAATTATTATTATATGCACACTTCTTGGAATAGATATTCTACAGGAGTATTATTGTGGGGCATTACAAATAATGTTTGGTTAGTCATAAGAGTCTGCATTAATAAAGTTATATTAACCTTGGAGGCATTTAAACTTGCCGCAGTCTTACCAAATTTTTCGAAAAAAACAAGTAAGTTTGTTACAAAAATAGAAAATAGGCAATATAAAGTGCAATATTAATAAGAATACCAAGGCTTTTAGATCGACTCCGACAGAATTCAAAAGACTCTTTTGATTGCAGGAATCCGTCCATACAAAAGTATAATCTTGCTCCGTTTCGATGATAGTTTTCCACATTTTGCTACGTTTAAACATTGTGTTTACATTGAGTTACCATTTAAAGACAATATGCCCCATTCATTATAACGGAACCGACACACATGATTCTACAGTATATCTCCTATTAGCATATTGCCATAGCTATAAAAATATATTAAATATACTCTTACTTGCAGCGATTGCGATTATACAACTCTTTTTCTAATAATTGAAAATTTGAACCATTTACAATTTTATTATTTTTTGTTTGGAACGTTTGATTAACAGTCTCTTGGATAAGTGTAGAAGTGATATATGCAGGAGCCTATAATTAAGTGGAATAATGTAATGGGGTCATTCTTAGTACATTCAAGCTTCTTAAGTATATATTTTCATAACTAAAGATTATAAGCCATAAATTTAGAACGACATAATAATTTTTTTACCTTCATCGATAAATTACTATTAGAATGTTGGGGTAATTTCGGTATACCAGGAGCTTTTGCTGTTGAGACATTGCTAAAGTTGCTTTTGTGCAAGCTTTTGTCTTGAATATTCTTAGTACTACCGGGCGATTTAAATTCTCCAAATTCGCCAAAGTCGTCATCGTTAGGGTTGACTTTTGGTTTTTCATCCAATGTGTAATTTTGTGGCGTTTCAAAGTCACCAAAGTCGTCATCTTTAGGCAAGACTTTTGGTTTTTCATCCAATGTGTAATTTTGTGGCGTTTCAAAGTCACCAAAGTCATCATCTGCAGATAAGGTGTTTGGCTTTTCATTAATAGTGTTGTTATTTTGTGGAGTTTCAAAATCACCAAAATCGTCATCGTCATTAGTATGTCCCGCTGATGAAGAATTATCTTCAACAGTGGTAGTCGAAGGGTGTAAAGATTTAAAGTCCCCAAAGCCGTCTTCGCCAAAATCATTTGTTGCTGGTATATTAGCACTTTTTGCTGATTCTAAGTTATCAACTTTATTGCTATTATTTTGTTGCACCGACTTGAAATTTCTAAAATTGGCATAATCATCGGCATTCTTTGATGTAGCTATTTCAGTAGTATTTTGTTCTGTCGAACTGAAACCTTCAAAGTTAGCAAAGTCATCAGTATTACTTGGCGTATCGGCTACAGCCGTATTTTGTTGCGTCAACTTGGAATCTCCAAAATTAGCAGAATCATCAGTATTACTTGATGTATCAACTGCAGTGGTATTTTGCTGCGGTGACTTGAAATCTCCAAAATTAGCAAAGTCATCGGTATTACTTGAGGTAGTAGTTACAGTAACGTTTTGTTCCATCGACTTGAAATCTCCAAAGTTAGCAAAGTCGTCAGTATTACTTGATACAGTAGTGTTTCGTTCCGTTGACTTCAAATTTCCAAAGCTAGCAAAGTCATCAGTATTATTTGATGTAGTAGTTACAGCAGTGTTTTGGTCTGTCGACTTTAAATCACCAAAATTAGCAAAGTCATCCGTATCATTTGATGTAGTAGTTAGAGGAGTGTTTTGGTCTGTCGACTTGAAATCTCCAAAGTTAGTAAAATCATCAGCATTACTTGACGCAGTAGTTACAGTCGTGTTTTGTTCCATCGATTTAAAATCTCCAAAATGACCAGAATTATCGTCAGTTTTATCTATCAAAGCTAATTCTGATTTTTTAGAAACAGTTGGTTGCTGTACTAAATTAAAGTCACCGAAGTGATCAACACTATCTTCAGCTTGTTTTTCAGTAGCATTTGATTCCTTGGACTCCAATGGAATTACACCAGCTTTCAATTTATTTGACTGATCTAGATTCTTGTTGGTATTTAGTTGATTGATAGAATTTTGTGAATCAAGTGTGGAATTATCCGGGATGCGATTTTCGGTAAGAGTGTTCTCGTTATCTTGCCTATCCAATCTAGGATGAAATAAATCATCTTCATCGCCGTGTCTTTCAGTGACTGCTTGCTGAGTAAAATTAGCTTGAAATCCACTGTTAGTCGAAGCAGTATCAGTAGCATTGACATTGATCTTCTTTGTCTTTTCTTCAACAGTCGCATTACTCTTCTGATCTGAGTCCAGGTTGACAGTCTTCAAGCTAGCACCATCATTAGTACCAGATTCAGAGCTTGCAAAAGGATAATTCAAGGTTTCAGTTGCAGCATTGGTATCGATGACGCTATCATTGATTTGGCCAATGGTGTCTGTATTTTCTTTGCTTTGTGTCATGATATCACTTTGCTCTTGCACCGATGGAAAAAGATTTGACGGCTTATAATTAGGAGATGCAAATGCTGTATCAGGATAATCACTTTCAAAATCAGTTAACGTAGTAGGCCCAATATCCAGTGAATCTTGCCTATCCGTCAAATCATCTAATGGCGGTGGTGTATGTATATATGGTGGGGAGTCACTTTTACTTTCTGCCACTTTAGTATCCTCTTTAGCCGTTGTTGGTGAAGACAGCATTGAAAACTGGTCAAAGTTACTATTGTTATCCTTTTGCGTTTCAGGTTTCGAGCTACTGGGAAAAGTAGCTCCCCACTGCAAATCTTCATCATCCTCCCTCTCATAATCATTTGCTTTGCTACTAGTGGAAGGATTGCTGAAATCAGCTGCGAACCAATTACTTTCGCTTTGGTTGGTGGTATCGTTGGAGAATGATGCGAAAGCAGTAAAACCATCGCCAGCAGTATTACTCTCTGTCGAGAATGGAGGAGCATTGATTTGCTGCTTACTATCATCGTTGGAGAACGATGGAAAAGCCACAAAATCATCGCCAGCAGTAGTATTACTGTCAGGCAAGGATGGAGGAAGATGTGTTTCACTCTTGACATCTTTGTTCTCCACATTGTGGGTATTGGATTTTGCTCCTTTCTCCGTTCGATTCTCTTGATCGGATCGCAACTCAGTTTGATCGGTATGGCTGTTGACATCTCTCTCACCTTGAGGCTTTTGAAAATCAAACTGGGCTCCACTTAATACACTAGGAAAGGCAAAATCATCCTCATCACCGTATTCATTAGTAGTCAGAGGTGGAGGGCCATCGAAATCAGGTGGTGATGATGACAGCATATCCATAGCTGGTGGTGGACACTGTGACGCCTGTTTGACACCGATTGGATTGGTGGTGGAACTCTTGGTCTCAGTATGGAAACCACTTTGAAAAGAATCAAATTCATCATCATTTTCGTCCATATTATCAATCATATCCATAAGAAATGGAAGAGCAAGTAATACAAATCAAGGATGATGTAGTATCCTTTAATCTACGATTCAACGGTTGATTGAATTACGTCAAATGGGGTAAATATCGACTGCTTTTCCACAACACCAATGCACTACTACATAAAATAGACAGTATAGAGGTCAAGCAATCACAGTAGTTACACCAACTTATGGCAGTCATTGGATGACAAATACAAGTACAAATATCAAATAAATAGTATCGATAGGAACAGCTAGTTATTGATGATGATTACAAAGTGATTCAATATTACCTTGTTTTAATATTCATACAGTAATAACGAAATGAATCTTCCTTAATCGCTTAGGCCTCCATAACTTCGTCAATCGACGAAGGTTGCGTCGCAGTCACAGTCTGGTGCCACTCCACCTGTACTGTCCACCTCATACTGTACGACTAGCATGTCTCGTGACCGCCAATTTTCTCTTACTTCTACACTATGCTGGGCAGTCGTAACTGGTCGCGGCTTCAAGCAGTCTCTAGGGTATTTGCGCATGGTAAACTGAGTGACTGTACTCTTTACTACTGCACCGTTGTACTCATGCGCAAGGAAACCAAGAAAGAAGTACAGTGTACAGTGTACAGTACAGTATACTGCACACTGTACTGTATCAATCATGAAAAAGATTTGGACAGTCTGGAACGGCTCGGTCCGGTCTGGTTCGGCTCGTTCGTGCTGAAACCGTACAGTACTGCTCACTGTACACTGTACACTGTACAGTACAATGTATAGTACAGTGTACAGTACAATACCACAGTCAGTCTGTCCTGTAATCCGTGAGTTATTTACCGTAGAATTAATGAATCAACAGTAGTAAATTTCCCCTTCAAGTCATTTGAAGTTGTATATATTGTACATAAAGCAATACATTATAAGAAAATGGACAGCTACATTATCTTACTATATATGCTTCCTCTCTGTTTATGGATTCACACTTATAACGCAATACAATTCGATTAATCAATATGAACGGGTACATATTGTACATAAGAAAATCGACAGCTACATTATCTTACTATATATGCTTCCTCTCTGTTTATGGATTCACACTTATAACGCAATACAATTCGATTAATCAATATGAACGGGTACATATTGTACATAAGAAAATCGACAGCTACATTATCTTACTATATATGCTTCCTCTCTGTTTATGAATTCACACTCATAACGCAATACAATTCGATTAATCAATATGAACGGGTACATATTGTACATAAGAAAATTGACAGCTACATTATCTTACTATATATGCTTCCTCTCTGTTTATGGATTCACACTTATAACGCAATACAATTCGATTAATCAATACTAGTGCAAACTCCCGTCGCTTTGCTGACGGTTTACGATAATGTGCTCATTTAACAGATAGTATTACCATTTGTCGTAGACCTGTCAGAGGTTCAGTAACTTTATACCGTGTACTTATAAGGCAATACAATTCGACTAATCAATAATCAACTACAGTTAATCCATGTTAACTGTGGATACGAGTTGCATGCGAATACATTGTATTAATGCAAGCCATAATCCAACAATTACAAAATATTGCGTAGTATTGCACTCGTAGAATAATAGAAGGATTACTCTACTGCTTTCCACTAAAATTTCCCTTACTACCCTCAACTGAATTTATCTTAAATACGCTTTTGCCTTGTTCTCTCTTATTATACGACCGAGTGAATCTTGTCAAAAATAGCATTAAGAAAAGTACTGAAATTGAACAATTTGATACATATTGGTTACGCATTTCTGTCTTTGCTCGACTCTATGAGTAACCATCAATTAATCAAGAACCACGCTGACGGACCTACAAATTTTCCAAAAGTAGTTCAAGATAACTGAAGCCTGATATAATTTCCATGAATTTTGCCCCAATGTTCACCCTATGGACTGCTAAAATGAACTCATTTCTAATATCTAGTACTGTCTGCAAACTCGCTCAAATTTGGAGATGAGATTGTGATTGGATTCGTGCTGAACGTACAGTATTAATTGCTATTGTACCAGTACAATAAATACAACACATCATCGATTTACTATAAGGAATAAGTGCATAGTCTGCTTGATACATCAGTAAACAAAAGTCGAGTAATACAGTATCAGTCACCTTGTAGGTGGTTTTGAAGTAATTACTCTGTTAAGCGAAAAAGAGTGCTAAGCTGAATCCGAGTAGAATAAATATTTATTTATTTCCGGTGTAAATCATCAATTGTAAGGAGATATTACTGTTAATAATTAGCAATGAATTGGATTGTCAGTTCAAACTGGAAAAATAAGCAATCAGTCATCTATCAGCACAAACATTTCATATACATTCTCATAATCCAGCTTCTGATCTGCATTCTATGTTTCTAATGTAAATCATAATATTTTATCTAAGCTGTTCTCAACCAACTGACTTAATAATAAAACTATGCTTATTATCACAGTATACGTTAGTTTACCTAGTCAATTCGAACCTTGATGGAATACGAAATACTGGAATAAAAAATCTAGCTATGGTTATTAGTAAACAGATAATTTACAGCTAATTTCATTAGAATTAGCGATTCGTCAAATTAGGAATTAAATCAATATTTTATTATCAAATTTTGAATAGATAAACTAATTTCCTGTTCTGAGTTCATCATTTTTCTTTGACGATGGCACAATGCATTACAGTACGATCCAAATTCTAAAATTTGTTTTAATAATAACTTTGTACGATATAAGTACAGTATAGTGTTTCCGATATTTCATATCGATCTCGTCAATCACAAATAAATACATATCATCTACTATCAACTGTAAAATGTATAAATCTTATAGTCTCTTATAGTCTTGGTGATGGATTGACACAGGTACAGTAGTAAACTGTGCTCATATATTTCGGGCTTGTTAGTCTTTAGTCATAATCTGAATTAAAACATCACCCCTACAATAAGTAGGTAATGGCTTCTATAACATTAGTTGCGGTAATAAAATCTTCGCTATCTTTCGATAATATCTTAGCGGCAAACTGTAAGATTGTTAAGGTGCTTCGAAGAGGCAGGTGACAAACTGCACAAGAATCAGATTCCTATAACAGAAGGACGCCTTTAGATCAATGTAATGCATTTACTAGTTTTATGATCTAATTTCAATTTCCTAGCTTAACCTGTGACTTTATCCAGTTGTATACATGAGGTGGTAAGTTTGACCAGCTAGCAACATTTTCCTTGACTTTATTGTCTGCAAAGAGGACTGCAGCAAGTCTCTGGCCAGCTACAGTTAGCAATTTTTGTCCAAGCACAGATTCATCTTCTACAGAGGATGCAGCCTACAGTATAGTGATGACGAAATATTTAATTTCATAACGTAACCTTACCAATGACGATCTAGTTAGTTATTTACCTTTGCAATTATCTTAGATAAAAGTAAAACTTACTTCTTGTGCCATGGCATCGTATCCACGTAAGAATAATTCGCAAACAATTTTTCTTTCTATATCATCCTTATCAATTCCATTAAAAGTACGACATAGAAACCGGAGCATTTCAAAGCGCTTAAATGCTACACCTGCAGCTGTTTCTTTGCAAGCCTCTGATACATTTTCTTCAGTTATTGACGGGAGACTATCTGTGATAGCACTTGCCACGGACAAGCCAAACTATTAATGTTAGACGATTAACAATCAGGGATACACTAATAACGACCAAATGGTAAAAATATCAGCCGACCTTAGTTCGAGCATTGATAAAGGATGCGTCATCTGTAACGTTGGGTATTTGCGTATTTTTGCTTAGTTCTTGAAAAAGGATTTCTTTACTCTGTATAAGCATACAACATATTGTTATAATAATACGTTATAGATCCATTCACAGAAAATAATCCGAGTCATGTGCATGCAAATAAACGCATACTATCGAGTACCTTGGTATCAAATAGAGTCGTCGGCTTTATTGACCTCATTCTTAAGGTCATAATCAGATATAAAACGGAACAAATTTGCCGATGCAACTGTATCATAAAATTGTTACCAGAGTTTTCCGCTAGGATGTCATCAATTAAAGTTTCTGGACCACTGTAACAGGAAATGTAAACGCTTATCTTTAACATCTTAAGAAATAGTACTTTGTGTGCGGTTTTATAGCTACGAATTCCTATACCTAATTTCATTCCACAGTTCGTCAACAGTGTTCGAAATAGGAATCATTTCTGCATCTGTGATCTACATTTGCAATAAAACAGAATACGATCCTTAAGTTCAGTCTATAGCTTTCGACAATGAACTTACTGTAATCTTAACATACCTTCGATATAGTAGCTAGTAACAGTGTAGATTGTAATAAAAACTCTTCGAGGGAGTTCTCGCTCATGCCTGAGATCTATATGTAATTCGAGTTATAGACAATTTAACGGAAATTACCATTATGCATCTTCCATAATGAAAGAACTTATTCTTAATATGCCATATCATCCTTACCTTGCGACATAGTCGATCTTTCGGAGCTTTGCCAACCTATATAAAGAATGAATCAGAAAACTGACAGTTACTAGATTGGTAAACTTTATTTTATATGGTGATACTGTTAATAACAAGGAGATTTTATTCGTTAGTTCACCTTATCCATAAGTCCCAAGATATCACGAATGCCTTTTTCGAAGTAGTCCCTCCATATTTTAATGCATAGTCCTATGATAAAGTCTAGTTAGCTATGTAATACCCGATGAACAATCAATTTACAATATCTAGTATACCAGTAACACAGCACTATTAAGTAATGATTTAACAATTTGCTACAGCTTTACCGCTTTTTAGAACAGTGTCGCTCATAACTGTTGCTATGTTAACAGCCGACTTTAAATTATTAATCTCCTAACAGGAATTGTTGAATAGAAAATAAATATTTTCAAAATTAGGTTTATTCACATAAGGCTAAGCTTATGAGTCTATATTTAATTCTCATAGCTCAATAAATATTCCATTACACAACACAATTGAGCTACCTCTTTATTTTCTTTCCATAATGTAGCACAACGTATAGAGCAATAAGACGATAACTTGCTAGTTTCAAGGAGCTCAGGAAGCATATTTTGTAGTCTCCTCACTTCTGTAAATATAATTATTAAGAGTTTATTAGATATCAACTATAAATAAATTTTACTTATAAATTATAATTATCAAAACAAATCTCCAGGCGTTAAATTATCAGGAAACCTTTCATCCAAGAATCATCACCATCATCAACGTCAATATCAATCCTTTCCTTTGAAATTAATGATAATAACTTGCATATATTCTGACAGTTGTCAACTAAGTATTCGGATATAAGTTTAGGGAAAAAAGCCTTTCCAGAGGATAACGCCATTTTTAAGCTAATATTTAGCAGCGCAGGGGGCATCTGCTCATCGGTCGTATTTTTCGCACCATCATTATGCTTCATAGAAAATGAAAAGCTTGCAAATTCAGAAATAGCTATTAAATCAAGTAATCGTTGATAGGATAATGTCCACTGGACTGTTTCTTTAGACAATTCTATCCATTCATTCGATTCTGGTTCCTCCTTGATAGACTCCATGACTTCGCCTTCGTGGGACTAATAAAAAAATACGACTTTTCAGAGCGCAAAGATTTTTCGTAATTTAACGTACATACTTGTTTACCTGTAAAACTTTTATAACTGCTTGCAGTATCAAAGACAGCACTGCAGCTTCACCGAGTGCGACAGAATTATAGATGATATTATGAAAATATTCCCACCATAATACTGAGAAATCAGCTATTGTACAATGCTGTGTAGTCAGACGTTTTAATCCTACGACAACAATCAACCAGTAGGATTGAGATTTAATACTATACTCGTACAGTTGATTTAGAAAAAAAATCAGAATACCTTCGCTAGAAATAATGCCTAAAGTTAACAAGTATAGTCTCCGAACGACAGGTTTTATATCATCGTACCGTTCCAAGTGGCCGATGTCTAACCAATATAAATACAAGACAGCCTATAAAAGAAATTATAGTCTTAAAAACAAACTCACTATGGTTATTTATAGGACCTTAATTAAGACCAATAAGACTAACCAAAAATTGTAAAAGGTTTGTGTCCAGCGACTTTAAAAGTATGATAATATCGGATACTGAGGTCATTCCCGATAGAACGTCCTTAATTAATAATACATAAAATGTTAATATTTATCGCCTAGTAAATCATATAGTTTTGATTATCTTCTACGAAAGAAGTTGTCATAGTAAAACTTACTGAAAACATGAAGCCTCCTATAAGCGAACAGTATTTAAAACAGTATCGTCAGTATTGTTAGACAAAAATATTGTCAAAAGAGTATATATTAATCTTACCTAATGCCAACTTTTCATCTTCACTTAAATTGCCAGATAACATGATACCATTAAATATCTGGTGCTTGGATGACTTCTGATCGACGTTAAGAAAATGTAGATCGAAGCTATTTAGCCACTGAATAGCAGAAAAATTTTGATTAAAACCCTTGGATTGTCCTAATATTCTCCTTGTGCATTCGTGGTATCGATTAAGTGATAGAAGCAACTTATCGAATTCTTCGGTATCTATGTCAATAGCTGATTCAATAGTATCCGCTGATGCTGTTTTATCTCCAGAATAGTCACATTTACTTTTAATAAGAGCATCATAGACATCTAATAGTTGCTGTTGTATGCAGCAAGTAAGGTGAATTAGGCTGGCTTCCTTGGTATCTTCTATGTAAAATGCATTAAGCATTATTATATAGATGAACAATATCAAGCGCGATCAAGATCACTAATTACTTACTACCAAAAGTTTTCAGTTTAAGTTCTTCCGTTATATACAATAAAGTATGCAGCTTTACTTTAGAGCAATTTAAAACCGAAGACATTGCCTGTGCAGTAGTAAAAAATATGCCAAAATTAATTTTAATTAAGATAGTTGTACAGGATGCGTAATATTGTATGTACTGTCTGAACACGTGATAAAGTATTTACCTGCTGGAAAGATGTAGGTAAAACGAAAGAATCGAAAATCTTGGTAAGTCTGCTTCTCAAATCAGGTTCAGCACTTTCATCATCTAAAAATATACATTGTCAATGAAAAATTGTCCCAAGAGAGCCAGATGATATTAACTTTCAGGTAATAACGTAATCTACTATATTTCTGCTAAATCATCTACTCAATGGGAATACAGACAATACCAAGAAAATCTATCTTTCTGGGTGATAGTGAAGAAAAATTGTATTTTACCTTCAGTTTCTATCAGATTATCTAGTAGGCAAGACAATTCATTCAGTGTGGTTTTATCTCGTAGTACGGCCCCTTCCTTTCCGCTAAAAGTAACTATACTTCAGTACTATATTTACAGAAAGATGCTATTCTATGGATATATTAATTTTTTTTTATGCAGACATTTGCTACCAAGACGCACATTTATACTATTACAGGAATAACCCATGGCAGATAAAGGTAGAAGATAATCAGATATGTACTAATTGATATTACATTTACCTTAAAGAGCAATAAAAAGGAATTGATATCGATTTTAATGTACCATCAGGCTGCAATATTAGACAGCAACATAAATTCCAACCTCTTGGATTCAATACATCACTTTGAACAGCGAATCGAACACCCAATGTATCATGTCCAGTATAAAGGAGCCTGAAGAAAAAGTAAGGAAGTGCTGGTATTAATAATATGGTACCTTGTCAGCGTAAAGTTCAAAATTTTTACAATCTTTCATACTACGAACCTGCAATTCTTCCCAATATTGAAGACAGCCACACGAGGTCCATTCTGCATTAGCCAAATCTATAATAGATTAATTTTCATTATCAGATCAATGTTAAACTACTTCAGAGAGAATTTAATTGTAGCTATTACCTCGAGAATACCTCTACGAGCTGCGTAGATGACGAGGAAAAGTCCTCTCCTGCTAGATTGATTTCCAGTGTGATTACTGTGTTGCTCAAAGACCTGAATCCACCCACACTGAGCATCGCGATAGCCTACAAATAAAGCAGATTGAACCGTAAATGATGCTGAATCAATCACAAAAGCGACTCCTAATAATACCTCTTTATTGGAGTTAATAAGTACTTTAGATATATTATTACAATACCAAATACCTTTCCACATACGAATTGCCATACCAGTTTCAGTATCAATAAGTAATACGCGTGCAAGATTATCAACCGTCACTGCTAATGCTGAATTTGGAGCTGGAATTATTTTATCAACTACGCGTTTATCATCTGGCAATCCATATCTGAAGAATAAAAATGAAGCAGTATTAGCAATGCAGTATGATTCTATCTTAAATCGGAAAAAAAATGTAACGAATCATAACTGGTAATTATTTCGTGATAGCTCATAGGGTTACTAGATATAGTATTAGTACAGTACTTTAGTTTTAGTAAAGGTCGTTGAATGCTAGTAACCAATAAATGATAACTTTCAGTAACCTTAGATCCAAAGGGCTACCACTTTCGATATTTGGCTTCTGAACTTTTGGCTGCGCATCCGCCGTACTTTGACCAAAACCTAGCCATCCGCTATATGAATGGATCATATTCACCAGTTAATCGAAATTATATAAATGAGTAAAGCTGTCAGTGTCAATTTCTTTTGAACTGCAGTACTGTTATTTACCTTGCAGCCGATAAAACGGCATCTTTAAGCTTCGTAGCAACTGCAGATACAACGACGGATGCGAAAGAAGGAATTTTATCCTAATTTGATAATTATTATAGTAATTTATAGCTAACAACAGAGTCATCCTAAACGAAGATATCAATATATAAATTCAACATACATCAGCTGCGTTATACAATCCCACAACAGGATCACCACCAGCAGATATATAACGCGCAACAGTGGCATCTCGAGGTACAATTGAAGCATTATTGGTCATAGTTATAGATTGAAAATAATGAAAATCGTTGATTCTCAGGGATCCTATGTAACGTGTAGAATAAGATTAATACATTTAAAACCGAAATGGTCTCACTAGCTTGAATGAAAAGATTGGAAGTCAATTATTTACCACAGCTGGCAATATCCCTAATTTCAGAATGATAGCGTAAATGTAATTTTCTATAAGCAAGACTAGCTTGATTGATAATATCAGACGCTGCTCCTTGAGCTGTCGCTATACAAGTAAATAGAAATAATGCCATAATATCATAAGCATCATATAAAAAATTCAACTCAATAAAGATACTATAAAACGTTATAAAGACCAAGTGAGGGCATTATCAAGAGTATACCTCGAGCTAACTGATTTCTACATGCCCTAAGGCATTGATATAAGCTAAAACCTTCAATGACTACCACTTGATTTGCATAAAGGACGATTAATTCTTCTAAACTCTATGTCATCCATATGAAAATTTATGAATGTTAATAAAGGAGATTCATGATTAATGGATGACAGAAAATTAAATATCAAAATGGTTTTGATAATTGCAAATAAAACATAAATACATTAACAAGTTATAACCGTATCGAAGGTGCAATGCTTGTGAATGTTTGGGCTGGTTCTGCATTTCAAATTGATTACAGGATCATCATGAAAAATTTGCGATAGAAGCAATCCACCACCCTAACCAGATGTATATGCATGTTATAGTTTGGTACATATCATTTAAAAAAAGTGGTAATATTAATTGGCTATTTATTTTGATGTCGTACTTGTTCATAAATTCTGATATAACCACTAGAAAAGCCAACCACAATGCATGTCCAGTCTGGACCGCCTTGTGAACTCCTATATTAAAAGATTTTTAAAGTTACTTAGTTTTATTGTTATCGCAATAAAAAGGCGAGCACAGTAGTAGAATAAAAAAATTTAGTCTATGTTCTTGGCAATGAAGAATATTTTTGATAATAACGATAAATTTATTCATTCACTTCTTCTGGTAAGATACCTTAGTTGTGATGCAATGGGTATAACAATAACCTGCGATATTTTTTCCCTATTACGAAATAAAATAGCATGTTTTAAATGTTAGAATGTTAACAGCATCTTTACTATTAGTGCAAGTACTTGAAAGTATAAATAGCTTAATTTTATTTAAGTTACATGTAAGTATTCAATTTGTAGAGTGCTATCTATGCGCATAATTTCTATATATAAAATATTAGCAACAGTCACAGGTAAGGTAGCAATCAAAATTAGATCAAATGGAAATTATTACTTGGGATCATCGGATAAATATTTACTCCGGTTACGACAGAAGCATGTAGTCTCTTCTTTCGAGTCGTCAGATTTCTGATAATTTCCTAAAGTAGTATAAAAATGATTTCCAAAGTACTTTTATTGTAATATATCATAGTCAGTTTCTACTCATATCAGCTACAATTCATCGAATTTTCGCCTTATATCAGGACAATATAGGTGATATAAATACGGATTATGTTGTCAATGAAGTATTTTAGATATTTCTAAGATAGCAACGAAAGTTGTATATTTATATGATACATACTAGTTAGTATGGCAATTCTATGATCGTCAGCCACAACCAATACATCGCCGGCAGGTGAAAAAGCCATATGACAACTATTTATCCATTTTTTAAATTCACTTTCAAATCTTTCCTTCTAGTTTACGATAAAATAAAAATTGAGTTTGATTTTCAAATCTCGACTTCTACAGTAGTGCACGTATGAAATAAAATTGAAATATTACGACGTTATCGATTCGATCAATAACTACTGCTACTCTACTTTGCATGGAAAAGATGATCGATTTAGAAATAGGTAAAGTGTGAAGAAGCAACTAGCAGGAAATAACAAATGATATTGATTTGAAGTTATACGAAAATAAAGCATTAACGAATGAGTGATGTATTATTCATCAAAGAGCCAGTAGGTAAAATTAGCATCACTATGATTGATTGATTATTCATTGAAAATGTTTGGATAATATTGACAATAAGAGATAAAGTGATTTGAAAAACGTCTAGGATGGCTATCCGCTGGAACTGCTTAACAGATCACTATTAGGAGAATTCTATTCTATGACGCAATTCGCTTCTAGTGGTAGTTGACAAGTTTATGATTGCATTTGTAGGCGATTCTACACGTTTATTCATTCGTTAACCTCATCATCTCCTTCTAGGACCCAGTCGGTATTCCAGTCATCGTCTAGATCATCTACAGATTAAAATAATAAACAAAGCAAGTTATAAATAGAGAATCTTAGAATGGTTAGTTGAAGGATGATTTAAGCTTTCTTGATTGTCTCTTGTTCTCAACAGCTTATGCATCGCTATATTACAGCATTCTAACAACATTACTTTTCCTTTCTGTTCTTTTAGTCAGTACAAAGGATTTAACTAATCAAACGTAAGCTTTATTTAATGCTACATGTTCTCAACAGCGAGTCTATGAAGAATCGATCTATTTTACAGCACTCTATCCATGTCACATTTTCTTTCTCTTCCTTTTTGAGCTTTTACAAAGGATTACGCGTAGACTGTCATTTTACAGCTTTATTCTACTTTTATAAAGTACGTATGTTGTCATTGTATGCATCAGCAATCTACATCGTTGAACTCTCTTTAACCTACTGATGTCCAATTTAGTTCTCTATTGCCTTGTCTATGTTTTTTTGCTGAAGTATCATTCTGATTGTATTGACGTCTCGACTGAATGAATATCGTGCAAAATAGAAGCCTGTTTATCCTGCAAATAGGATACACACTCAAGACGATTATTATTTTGATATGCAGTAGACAAGCAGAATTGATCGCCACTATCATCATCTATTCCATTACTGTAAGAAGTAAAGTAATCCACGTAGAAATGGCGAAAGATAGCAGAAAAAAATGAAAACGTAGCTGATCTCAAACAGGACAACATCATTGCCAAAAGCAAGCTAGCAATCCAACGCTGTCGTCCTTGTCTTCATGACCTACGACTATTCTTATGGCTACTGACATAGCAATACTGATTTACCTGGATGAATTTCTTCATCAAATGCTTGATTCACTGATGCCCAATCTTCATAAACTAAACGTAATTCTTCAGCCTTAGCAAAGAATTGTAATTTACACGCCATGTTGTTGATGTGGAATTTTCAATTTTCTCTCGCCATAGACTCCAGCTGATTTTCCTTCATACAAAATCTCTATCCAAGCTGGATAGCCTTTATATCCTAGCGACTATTGACTGGATTTTCCTGCTATAGTAGCTAAAGCATTGGTACTGAAACACAGCCAATGATGCTAGCTTATTTTTATTTGAACTAGAAATAGACTATTTTAACTGAAAAAAACTAACAGTTTAAGACAATACCTTGGGCCGATACAACGCTATATGCTACAGTACCAAGATACTGGATACTCACGGTACCTGCTACTGTATGCTACAGTACAATGTACTGTACACTGTACAGGAGCACAGCCGCGCGGTCACATGACTATGTGGTTTACTTGCTATATGGACGCCAATAAAGGTCCTCAAACATAAGCGATGATATCATACAGTAGCTTCTATGGACTTCTAATTGGTAAAAATAGCGCAATTTCTTGTTTTGGATTGCAAGCTAAATTGCTGTTTATTAGTTGAATTTTGTTGCTGCTAATTCTGCTAATTGGCAAGAAACAGCTCAGGATACCTTTGAAGTTGCAGAATTGCAAACCTGCCAGTAATCTAAAGCTGTAATAGAGCAATCAATTCATTTCCAATCACGGTAGAGGCATATGCTTTCGTGAGTACTGATTGCAAGCCTATCTTACGACACCTCGGCGTTGCAGAGCTAAAGACCTGCCAATAAATTCAATCTTCTATTCTCTATCGAGTTAAATCATTCATTTTAAACGACGGCATAACGAATTGATCAACTCATCGTTATTGGTATTGATTACAAGGATACCTCACAAGTCGGAATATCTCAGCGTTGTAGAGTGGTAAGAAACCGAAGGCGCAATAGAACAATCGACTCTATCGAATGAATGACCTTCTAATATTGAGTAATCAACTGTCCACATACAGTATTCAATTGGATCACGTAAGCTGCAAGGAGAGGATCTATATTGACATAGATTTTAGCTAAATTGAGTACTTCAGCGTTGCTAGCCATGGCATAACTATGTCATGAGCAAGTAATCAACTTAGAAAAAGGAGAAGAATAAATAATAATATTAGCAGTGAGTAGTTATAATTGCATTCGATTGATGAAACCATTCAATATCCGCTATCAAGGTAGATGGAAGACATTACACGTTGGGAATTACCTCCTAGGATTATAAGAGCTGCAACGGAAGGTTAGTGACGATATAATTATTGGCCAATATCATCAGAAAATGATTTAGCAACAGCTTTGCTCTAATCTATGCTGATACCTATGTCAACTTTCTAATTTTTTACACGAATACTTGCATTAAAAAATTAAGTTAAAACACTTATTGACTAAAATGGAGATAGGTAGACTAATTGATTACACTTTCTTATTCATCCATTAAGCCAACCTACGAAATTGCGACAAGATTTTAACCTTATCCGTTGGTGACATCCAACGTAAAACTAACCTTAGTCAATCTGATTCAAAATTACTGACAAAGACAGCCTCTAAAAAAGTTCTTGGTTCTGGTAAACAATATCATTCTGCTCTACAGCTACTGAGAAGGGAAAATTGCAGCCCAACTGCAATGACTAAGGTGACAAGTTGTGGATGTCCTACGCTAGACCGATTTTTACGCGGTGGTATCCTTATTCCTGGCTTAACAGAAATTGCGGGTGAAAGTGCCAGTGGTAAAACTCAATTTTGTTTACAGTTAAGCCTGGCAGTCCAATTGCCATACAAACTCGGAGGTTTACAGAGCGGTATGTTTTGACCATCCAAGTAATGATGATGATGATGTGATGATGTTATTACAATTTTACACTTTAATAAATAGACTATAATCCTCTTATAAGAATATGCTCTTCTACGAAATACCTATAGGCGCTGTTTATATCTGTACTGAAGGCTCATTTCCTGCTAGACGCTTGCATCAAATGATACCATTTTTCGAGAATCGCCTTAAGGAGCATCAGCTTGAATCTGTTAAATTCAGCGATAATGTTTATGTTGAACATGCTATGACAATCGTAAGGCTAGAATGCTATATGTGCGCTAATTACGTAGATTTTATATGACCCTTACCACTCATGAGTGAAATATTTATAAAAAATTATAGGAAGAGTTACAGGATATTATGGAAAATACACTGCCAAGGCTTCTCTCTCGTGGTGAGGTCAGATTAGTCATCATCGACTCAATTGCAGCGTTATTTCGATCGGAATTTGATATTAAAGAAGCAGCTCAGAGAGCAACACAATTACATAAATTTGGGCGACAATTGTTACGTTATGGTAGCATCTATGATACTGGCTTTATTTGTGTTAATCAAGTATCTGATACTATTGATCCGCGTACATTTGATGTACAGCAGGGTGAAAAGTAAGCATGTCATATTGCTATGGTAGAGTAAATTAATTGATTTTTAGCTTCAATTCTTTTCCATTCGCTATTTTAGTACTAATATTGATGTTCTTATAATATTGCCCTGCAAAGAAACATTGTTAGGTCGGTGATTCCGGCTCTAGGCTTAGCATGGTCCAATGTTGTAAATATTAGATTAATATTATCAAGATGTGAATATCTATATAATTCAATCATAAAAAATGACGACAGCGAATTTAGTGAACTCACTCCGGAATCTGTTAGATTCATTTCTCATGTAAGTAATTTATTAATACCTTAACCAAATAGAGTATGAATTTTATGTACAGTGTTTATACCATGTGCCTTTAATCTGCTAATTTCTTACTAATAATTGAAGTGTTTTCTTAACAATGTTGTAGTTTCCAGTCATCCGCAAAATGAAAGTACTTTTAGCACCTCATCTTCGAATGAGCGAAAGCTACTTTCTAGTTGATGGTTTAGGTATTAAAGGCATCGAAAACGTAACTACTTATATTGAATCACAGATGCGCAAGTTGAAACCAAGCAATGATGATATAAACCAAGGCGAGCAGATGCATCTTTAGGTTTTATTCCTTCAACATCTGAGACTAGTAATACTTTTAATCGCAATATTGGCATCATTTTAAAAAAATAGCACCAATTATTGCTATTGATCATGTACAGCACATTATTACAAGCCATTACTGAAATAAAATTATAAATTTTGAAAATGCCAGCAAAGCTAGAAAATGCGATAAAGTTTTAACTTTCTTATAGTATACTGCCATTTGCTTAGCATTTGCCCATAATAATTTTATCTACTAGTTTCTACGTGAGACATGTCGTACCATCAGGTAGACATAGTAGAATTTATAACATAGCGAAACATTTGTACAACATGTCTATATTCTACATGTATACTGACCACTTGGAGTCAAATGTTACAAAACGGATAAGAGAAGAATAAGAGAATATAAACGTATGCATCTAGCGATAGTGAGATACGTAATAGAATTTTGGATATCACATGTAATATACAATTGTAACAGTAAACTGGACAACATCAAGAATATGAGACGTTTAATAATCGGAGTACATATCTTCATCGGTAGAGAATTTACGTTTGCCTATGAAAACGAATAAAACAATACTTGTCAAATGATCTACTGTTTAACATTGCGTGCACGATTATATTCTTAATCTACAGGCAGATGTATGCGGTCTGAAACTCCTAAAGTTACCTTGAAACTGAAAGTTATTATTTGATAGACTGACTTCGTTGATTTCATTCTGGTGTAGGTCATTACTAGACATGCAGGATCGCGCTAGTATTATCGGTCGATATTCCTTTGAAAAATAATGTCGTTGTCTTCAGACTTTCAATTCTTAAGCAGTACTTAATAACGGCTATTAACGATAACTATTTTTTATTCTAATCTACTATAAACATTTTCTTGGCATCAAGTTAGTTGCTGGTACCTTTAGTTGACGGATAAAACCGTCATTAGGTCCAATACAAAATCTTCGCTTTTGAACCAATTTAAATGCATCACTGTCCGCGATAGAATATGAATTTAAGTTAGTATCGTTATTCACTACGAGTATGTCAGATACTTTTTATCTAACGAAACTTTTGCAGTTATGAAATTAAAATATAAGCTGATCTCTTACTTAAATTCCAGATTGTATCGCTCCATAACATAGGCTATCATAAATGCAGCACTGGTACAAGAAAGTAAAACAGTTGCATGTTTACATTGTTAGATAGAGTATTACATTGCAAATGTAATTATTCCATAAAACTGAATGCTTAAAAGAAAGAAGACCTTCTTGAAATTCCGGCGTTATCATGTATTAGGCATTTCCCTAAATGATTGTGATTTCAAAGTACACGTTAAACATTGTTTTACTCATTGTTCAGCCGATTAAGGCATTATCAAAGCTAAACTATAACAGGAAATTAAGTATTTTACATAAAAATTATCGAACCAAGATATTACCATTGTTTTGCAAGCAATCATCAATGAAGGCTTTAACCTAGGTTAATGACATGAATTTATTAATTAGCTGACATGCAGCGTTATTATCCTGTATCAAGTAGTCGCTAAAAGGAAGATACTTATAGTACACGTATCTTCCTTTTGTTCTCAATCCTCTAATTTTTGAACTATTTATGCTAGTTAGTCGATGACATCACTTTTATAAAACTACCTTTGGAAAATGCTGTATTATGTTTTCCTCAGCAGTATCAGCAACCTCTAAAATCAGATAGCTGTGAACCAACGAAAAAGATCAAGTGATTAAGGACTGATATTAAAAATTGAAATTTAGGTTACAACGTTGGCGGGTTAGTCGATTGAGAAATTAATAAGATATACAAAACAGTTTTACTTTATGCGTCTTAAAAACTTCAAAGTTGGCTCTAAATACAATATGTTTGTCGATTTTAAGATTGAGATGTAACATTCTCACCTAAATCTGTCAGGAAAGCATGGTCTGACAAATCTTGCTTCAAGGGATTGTCGAATGCATAAGATATGCGTTATACCATTTTGTAGCAATACCTCCAACTAGAAGACAGTTGATAAGATACAATATTTCTATGGTAAGACAGAATTCTTTATACAGTAAAAAGATATATCAGTTTAAACCTATCGCATGCTGTAATACATGTTGTCGAGTTTTAGTGAACAAACAGTAAGATAGAGATTAGAGCAAAAATAGAAAGGTCAGGTAATTTGGAAGTGTAAGAAACGTATTCACCTTGCTAGAAGCGGCTGCTGAATAAGGTCCTAAGTAAAGACCTGGCAGTATTTCCTATAAAAGCGTTTAATTCATCATTGTTAGCCACTTGATCAAGATCAAATACACAAAGTCACTTTATATTTGCAACCACTACGAGAGTTTAGAGTTATTTTAAGGTTTCGTGTTTCTCGTGTGGACTGCGTGTTTAAGGCAACTAAGTATTGAACTTTTCATGTATTGTATTCAAATCAATTTTAGCAAAATAGAAAATATATCAACATTTAATTAAATAATCAGCGTACGTTGGCAATAATATTATGATAGATTACAGCGACTAATAGTTGAGTAACTTTGCGTAGGATAGCTATCCAATTTTAAGGATTAGCAAAAGAGAGAGCAACTAGAACAATTCAATTCAAAATTATTGGCTTCATAGTTACTTGCAATATATTGATATATCTCATATTTACCTGCATCTCACGACGGTAGAGATATCGCCAAGTCTATAAACAGATAGAATGTTTCTAGGTGAGATATTAATCAATCATTCTATATTATCTATAATCAGTATTGTAACATTAATAGATGTAATTGACGTCTCCATCTATTTTAGAAAATATATTCAAATAGGATTGTATGGAGCACTGATGGAGAGTACTCCTATGCCATCCATTTTACATCTATTATTCTACAGGTAGATCATCATCACAGTCCAATGTACGTAAAACTGATTAGTAATCGGTATGATCTATCGATCTATTCGATGATATCAAATTATTTTACTTGGCTAGTTGGTAAGTAATGATGACAGTGAGTGATATCGAAATCATTGTACGTCTTCTGTTCAAGGGCCATATCATATTGTCGGCAATAACTGATCATACGAATAGTGCCGTAATGATAGCCTTGATTAATATCGAAAAGCAAGCTACAACTTGAAAAGGTGCCAACAAGGACGAGTACGTAAATGACGCCGACTATTAGGATGGCAATATTCAAAACTGATTGGATCTATTGAAACTAGTAAACAAACGATCTACCGGCCAAAGAAATGATTCAATATTAATAAGATTGAGTGATCCATAAGTTGAAAAAGAGTGTTTGTTATAACAGCTATTAACTGTTGCAATAGGGAGTATAGAATGATTTTCCTGTTGGTTGACATGGTGAAAATCGCAGTTATGGTATGTTCTCTCCTTATTGATACCTGATGATCGCCATTGTATCATTTTGTTACAGAAGGTAGAATACGTTTAATTACTGTATTAAAAGAGTGCAATGTATTTTAGACAAAAAAAAGCTAGGCAAATCACTGCGATCACGTTGCTATTGGAAGACTAGAAAGACGCTTGGAGAGTAAAATCTATATATATCATATACTGTAGTTCTCGATCGTTGGTCCTATTGAAATATTGATACTCGTATAGACGAGTCATTCCGTAATATCCTGTCGTTTCATTTCCTTTTCGATTCAAACATGACTATAATGTAGAAAATTGACTTTCATCCTAGTCCATTTTCAACCAGATACATTATATAAGATTGCGCTTGCATCAAAATTTTCTCTCTATTTGTTAGCGAGCCATTTATAGCCTATCGATAGCGTCGAACGTATCTACGCGTGATGGACTCGACGGCAGTCTACGCGTATCCAGAAAGTAACGAGGGCCAATTGAAGATTGCTAGTGTATCCATTCGTCTACTCTAACCAACGTCATGGATAATATTGGGCAAAAAAGTTAAAACTATTGGAAAATGGATCGTCTGATGGATCCCTTACTCCGATGATAGAATTGTTCATCTACTACTTACTCGTGAATTATCTTCGCCTGCGATGTACAACAAGTGACCATCAGTATCGATGTCCATCTTGAATGGCAAGTCGATCACCAAAACAACCTTCACAGAATACTATTCTCTTCCCAATGTCTTCAACAATGTACTATCAGCTCGATCAAGGTAGTTAGCCAACCAAGATGATGATGGAGTGTCTCATTTCAATCGATTTAACTGCAATAACAAGCTAAAATCATGCTTGGTCGTCCACTTGAGCCAATGGCGACCATCATCAACAAGACGATTATTATGAAGATTTCTACCGCTACCGCCACCGGCACCATGACTCGTCAACATGCCTCTACTTTCTAGTCTAAAGTACAGCGTGCGCAGTGTCGTCTCCTACACTATACAGCCATACAAGGTCCAGCCTTGTTGACGATGCTACTAATAAGGATTTTGCATTGGTATCACACTCTACTGTACAGTATACCACACTTGGTCACTTTTGCGACACAACACCCATCATCATGGACTACTTGAATCCAGCCCGACAGTACTGTATATATACTATGGCCACGACACACACATCCAACATAACACTACTGATTCTATGGCTGCAGCGGGCGATATCATGGAGGCGGATAGGATCAATGCTGAAAGCTGTGATGGAGAGATGCTAACATCAGAGATTTGTAAGAAGGAAAGTGCTAACATCTCCATATACCGGTATAACGAGTCCATTATTTGCATCAAACATGATATTCCTGATTCTATGGCTGCAGCTGGCGATATGGCAGTAGATGGAAGGCGGATAGGATCAATGCTGAAAGCTGTGATGGAGAGATGCTAACATCAAAGATTTGTGAGAGGGAAAGTGCTAACATCTCCAATCTCGATGGTATAACAAGTCCATTATTTGCATCAAACATGATATTCCTGATTCTATGGCTGCAGCTGGCGATATCATGGCAGTACATGGAAGGCGGATAGGATCAATGCTGAAAGCTGTGATGGAGAGATGCTAACATCAAAGATTTGTGAGAAGGAAAGTGCTAACATCTCCATATACCGGTATAACGAGTCCATTATTTGCATCAAACATGATATTCCTGATTCTATGGCTGCAGCTGGCGATATCATGGCAATACATGGAAGGCGGATAGCTATGATCAATGCTAAAAGCTGTGATGGAGAGATGCTAACATCAAAGATTTGTGAGAAGGAAAGTGCTAACATCTCCATATACCGGTATAACGAGTCCATTATTTGCATCAAACATGATATTCCTGATTCTGTGGCTGCAGCTGGCGATATCATAGCAGTGCATAGAAAGCGGATAGGAACAATGCTAAAAGCGATGATGGAGAGATGCTAACATCAGACATTTGTGAAAGGGAAAGTGCTAACATCTCCAATCTCGATGGTATAACGAGTCCATTATTTGCATCAAACATGATATTCCTGATTTCTATGACTGCTGTAGGTACAGACTATACTGGCGGTAGTATCTGCAGGAATTACAGTACATGGAAGGCGGATAGGATCAAAGCTAAATGCTATGATGGAGAGATACTAACATCAGGGACTTGTGAGAGGGAGAGAGAAAGTGCTAACATCTCCAATGTCGATGGTATATTGAGTTCCATCATTTGCATCGAATATGGCACTCCTGATTCTATGGTTGCAGCTGGTACAGTATAAATTATACTGACAGTAGTATTTGCAGGAGTTAAAGGACTGAAAAGGTGGATGGGATAAGTGCTATGATGGAGAGATGCTAACATCTCCAATCTCGATGGTAGAACGAGTCCATCATTTGCTCTAGTTGGTCCAATTATGCCTAATGCTTAATAACGCAGACTGCTACTGCAGTAGTTCTTGCATCGACTAGAGTATAAATGCTGTGAAGGAGAGATGCCAACATCTCCAATCTCAATTGTGCAACGAGCCCATCAATTGCTATCGTTGGTCCAACTAGATCACCTATGGCTTATTAAAATAACTGCACATACGACGGACTAATACAGGACTTGTAGTCGATTATACAGTACAAGGAGTTTTGCAAGGATCACGCGAAAGGCCTTTAAAAAGTACAAATGAAAGGTCTTTGAAGCACAGCAGAGATCCTAAAATGATTTTAGGGTTGGTCTAATCAAGCCCAACCATAATTAGTTCTGCTACGTACAGTAGTCCTTTGCTTGAGCTTTTCTCCTCTTTTTAGACTCTATAGTCGCTGCTTGAGTATGCTGCAAATCACGATAGGCGTTGTCGATTTACTACCATACGTTAATTAATCATGACGTTGCTCGGACAGCAAGCTATCTATAGATTATTATTGTAAGGCAAATATCCTTCAATTCGTATTCATTAAAATAAACAATACTCTACCTGATCATTGTCCATTGCAACCATTGTAATTACTGTAGTGTTGATCATTGACGTTGCAACGATGGCGAAGTGGATATCAATTTGCATCCAGTCGTCTCGCCATTTGAGACGAATCGGCTCGCCACTTGGTCAAGGAAGACCAAACATCCTCTTTCAAGGATATCGAAAACAATTCTTGGTAAATGTAGTATAAAATGGACTGATTTCAACCCTAATTGTACTACAGCAAACTCAATCAATCCAAACAGTATCGTAGAGAAGCGATTTGATTTCTATTAAAATTATTATTCTTTTTTTTCTCTCGCTCTTTGTCTCTCCTTCTTGCCGGCGTTCGATTTTTAATCGTATTAAGACAACCTATAGCTTTTGCTTCTTTGTAGAGTACGGTGAGACTGAGTCATTTTATATTGCGAATAATATGAAATGATCATTTATTCGAGGGCATCTTCATGCCCAATGTTTCAGCAACATGATTGGCAATATCATGTAATCTCTTCGATAACATAATCATATCTGTTTTACAATTACGATGCCAACATAAACGAATAACGAATACTACGAGAATGATCAACAATCAATGAATGTATCAATCGTCCCACTGATGAGCTAAGCACTAAAGTAATTAACAAAGTCTCTGAGCATTTACAAACCTCAGACAAAACTGGTAATTCTTATCTTACCCTCCCACCTAGAAGTTTAGTTCCGCTTTTACATCCACCTTATACTCGTATACTGTATGCAATGCACAGACATCTTCACGGTCAAAGCTTGACCGTGACAATGTCGTACTTTTACTTTTCAACTACTTTAAATTATTCTTGTCATATTGCCATTCCTTTACTCCTTCCATAGCTGCAGCCAAGTTGGCTAATAATAATTATAATTGTTGATTTGATATAACACGTTGATTGCCTATAAAAAAAGAGGAACGAAATGACCGATGGATTGGCAATGCTGTATAGCGATCTCATTATCTCCAAGATATCACTATCGTCTACTGTAGTTTTATCATTTCATACTCAAGCAAGTTCCATCTATTGCATCAACGCTGTAATGCCATCAACTTAAGCTCATGTTGCTATAGGTCCGAAGGCAATTTAACAGTAAGCGAATACTTACTGCTATCGTGAATCCCCATATTCGCGATACTCGACGTTTATTGTCGGTAAAACACAAAATAAATGGGTAAATCCCTGCGGTGGACTCAAATGGCGAAATTGCTAGCTGAACACGCAGTCTTATCGGCTATTACTACTTTCAATTCCATGCAGTATCTCATCGTATGCTCAGGCAGTACATAGGGGAAATACAGTGTACCTACCATATGCATCCAACGTTGAAAAATATATACCACACGGTAAAAATATTAAAATAGGACATGGCAAACCCGGCCAAAATGCCTAGCAGCAAATGACACAATGTTGTGCCTAAAGAGCTGTACAAGAACTGAACGATTTACTAGTATCAGTACAGCAGGAAGAACTTTTCTTTCTACCACTTTTAAATTTAGAATTGGAAAGATTTTTCTTGTATGCTAGTTAATTGATGGATGATCAAGCTTTACTAAGCTACTTGTAACGATGATTGTTGTAAAAACATGGAGTTGAATAATTTTTACGCTGCTGCCGAAATTTTTTCGCTTTCATCTTAAAATCAAAAAATTATCGTAAAGTTGCTTTCATTTCATCTGTAAGATCTCACGTCTACTCTATAAATGTCTTTAATGAAATAAATCTGCATAGCAATATTACACGAAACAGCCAATAACAACGCAAAGCACGTTAAAATTAGCCATGCAAAATCATGCATGGTACAAGTCATGACAGCCAACTTGTATAATCATCATCTAGGGTCTGCAACTATCTATGAAATCGACTTTAGCGTCAGCAAGTGAAAATTTAATCAATGAATCCCCCTTGAGCCGTATCATGAGAGATGGAAACGAATTGCAATTGGTCATGGATAATCAGCAATATAGGTCAGCGATAACCATCTAGACGAGAAGGTTTTCAAATTCTTATAGTATTGAAATGCTAATGCAAACTCAATAATAAAAAGTAGCGTTTGGCTCAGTGAAATCGACACTAGAAAATGATATTAAATTGCTTTAGGATACGGATGGAATAAAAATTTCAAGTGATTAGATATATAAATTTCTCGTTTATTCAACTATCTATTAGTGCATTAATTAAGTAGACCTAAAATCTTCTCGATCAGAGCAATAATAATGATGGTCTTCATACACTTGGCAGCTTTACCCTATGATTCGGTTTAAGGAATAAAAGTATAGAACTAATTGTATTTCCTTCTTAATTAATTCGATTTGGTTATCACTCGTAGTTTATGTTAACAGTCAAAATTAGAATGGATAAGATAATCGTTTAATTAAATCTACTTCATATGGCAATTGAAAGTATTTGAGACTAATTTTGGTCCTTAAAATTGGATTAGATTTCATGCAGCTTGGTTACGGTTTAGCTGTCAGTGTTCTTCCTGCAGGCAGCATGGCACTAATGCATGTCTCATTGAATCACATACATTGCCTCAAGAATGCAAGCTCGCTTCGGCTGATCTAGAAGGTATTACTATTCACCAACTTGATACTACATGATATTTAGTAAACATAATTTACTAGGATACATCAAGTTTGCCTTCCTTTTACTACTTAGAGGACGATGTTGTATTACGCTGGCAAGGCGAAGATGACCATGTAGGAAGAATATCGCGACAATTTCTACGCGATCACAGCTATTCTAAAGATGCACTCTCTAAAAGAAATGACCAAAGTAGTGTCAAGACATTTATGGTAATCCTATTTACACTTACACACCGATAGATAGATAGATGTTGCTTACTACTCATTTTATGTTGTAAATGAAGTGAGGTAATATGCTGTCTTAATTAGGCAGAGCTGCCTCGTATAAAATATGAAGAAATATACCGTAGTAAAGAGAGCCAACGCAAGTAAGTAGTTAACTGTCTAACGCTACAATGACATAACTAGCATACTAGGAAAAACCTTTCGAGGCAACCTCATTTACATTAGTTCCTATGGATATAGTAATTCTACAGCTTCTGTATGGAGTATTTCGCAAATATTCTAATAATGGAATAGAATGCAAAATAGGCAACCAATGAAAAATAAATTCAACACTTTGTATTAGATTTTTAATGAAATTGTTTGAGTACGGTTGCTGTCTTGTCCAAGATACACCTATTAAAGCTGGAGCTATTCAAGAGGTAAAAATTTCTTGTGTCTATCAGTTTATCCTACAGGAAGATTAATCTTGTTCAATTTTGAATCTGATTATGGGTTACAGATGTTAGAGCCAATAGCACCAGTGCAGCCGACCATCTATGGAAAGGTAATACTTTAGTGAAAATAATTTGTAGCAGATACTATTCCATAATGGATATCTAATTAAACTTTAACCCATTTACAAGCAACAGCAAAAATTTCGATACAATTAGCAACGGATGTAGTCATACGGTGATATACATATATGAAAGCAGACCTTATTAAATATCCAATTTAACGATACAGATATTTGATGTAATGGCAGTACCAAACCCTACTCATGTCGCATATTCAATGGCACCACTAATCTTTCATATGGACTTACTGTATTATGAATCTCCTCCAGGTATTCAGGCCTTACACTGCATCAGGTAATTAGGACAATGCTTAATTGCGGATGTTGTAACTGGGCTTGATTATGATAGCGATGCAATTGCGACCAAAACATTGCAAAAATAACAAGTATTACAATCGTTTAAATGCAGATTTGATGAATGTGTAACTGGTGGCGAATCTAGGATTCTAGACTCTTTCTTAATTGCTGAAGAGTTTCGAAGAGATTTTCCCGAAGATTTCGAGATTCTAACACGCATTCCTGTAGCATTTCAGAGAGTTCATCTTGAAAAGTATGCACAATTAATTCTTTAGTTCTATTTAGGCCGAGTATTCATATCAATTTCGTAACAAAGATGAATTGTCTTTTGCTTAGTGATAATCCAGTTGCTATGGTATATCGAAGACCACATATAGTTTTAAATCACAACCAAGAGGTATCGTTCTCTAGTGATTTATGTAGGTATTAAATCACTTTGCAATTCTACTTTAGAGAAGTCGATTTTTACGAATTTGTCATGATTTAATATTTTTAAGGCTATTAATACCACTTTATATCATTCTATCAAAAATAATACTTTTTTGAATTAAATAGATAATAGCAGTTAACTGGAGTCCAGGGTTTGAAGGCCCTCTCTCAATAGCTGAAGTAGGAAAATATCGCAAGAGAATTTGTCATGTTATAAATGTGGATGTGAGCGCAAACTGTAACCATATACAAGTATCCTAACTGATTGCTTTTATAAATTAGGAGTACGTTGAGCCGTATTACAGAGCTAGAAGAAAATTTGCTGACATTGTTGAGAATTCCCAATATGAGGTATTACCTATGATTATATTAAGGATGTAATCGTTAATTAAGTCTTAAAATTCTATACTTGCATGGTAAAAGCATACCAGTGGTATTAGTACTTCCTAATTTCGTGAAATACTTTCCTTAAGGCTATTGTGAGAGCGTTGGCCAAGGGTTAAATATCCATATATCTTGAGAATAAAAAATTACCATAGCTTCCTTCTTCATTAGCTATCGTGGGCTAGAAAAAAAGAATGTTATAATTATTATGACATACCGTAAATAGATAGTAACGTAGGTCCATTAATAAGCACTGCATACCAATTATATCGCTTACTGTACTAACCCGAATCCGGTCGGCCTAAAATTCATATTGTATAAGCCTTAGCACGAAGAATACGTACTATTAGAGTAAGACGGGAAATTGATTTGAATTTACTTACAAGACCTTACCATCTGAAAAAAACGAGTAATTATCTTTAAAATTAACGCTAGACTAATCCGGAATTCTATTTTATTTTAACTCATGTAGGTAGAACATCGATTACAACCTGGTGAAATGTTGATGTTTAACAATAGGCGGATGATGCATGCTCGTCACGAATTTACTTTAAATGGTGGAATAAGACATTTGCAAGTATGCCCTAGATTAATTATAAACGTTGTTATAGCTGCTACAAAATAGTATTTGGAATATAATGTACAGGTACTAAAATATTTAGCAAAATTATCTTAACTTTTGACAAATCTTCTAGGGCATATACTTAAATATGGATGTATTCAGAAGCCAAACTATTATTGCTAATTTATCAGCTGGGATTAACGATATTCTTCCAAGAATTGGAAATCAATGCTATTCTTAAGTTGAGATTGCATCTCCTTTGCTTTTGAAATCAGAGTAAAAAAGAAATAAAAATATTCTACTTCATATTTCATCATACCGTTGTGTCGTGATTGATTTCAGGTTGCAAGATCTAGGAATCATTCGTATACGTATATTATACGTTACATCAAAAGTATACAGTAAGATATAATCTACTATGCCATACTATTCAGTTAGATGAGCGGGATTGACCAGTCAAATATATATACAGTGGTTTACACGATGTGACTTTTGCTCACAAATGATTATCTTATTGACCATTAACCATAATTGATTAATTTTTTTAATAAAGATTTGGATTCATTTTTACCCAAGAGAGACTAGTAGAGTTACTATTCCTCCTGATGATAAGAGATCATTAGTGTTAGAGTTTTACTGTGGGCAGATAACGTTAGGCTTATAGCGATGTAGTTTTCCGTAATAATTTAATTATCTCGTTCTAAATTCCATTTGTAACAGTAGTATTACAATCAAATCAATCGAATATCTAGAGGTCATGAAACAGTTCATCGGATAAGCACATTACTTTAACTTTAACACTTACAAGATTAGATATCGTCTTATTTATGATCGGTGCGGATTAATTGACTAATGATTTATCGTATGTACTGCACTAGAAATTCTATTTTCAGGATCAGGTTATCAATAATTATTAAGGACCAGGTATACTCGTATTCTATTAGCTCTACTTATGGAGAGGTTGCAGCAGTGTATAAGTAATAAATAGCCAAAACTACTATAATTAATGGCACAAACTATGACTATATTTCTAGAGATAACCATCAAGTTTTATTGAAAAATACTCATTAACTATTCTTGCAAATTAAGGTGAACTGGCCTAATGCCCCGTGGCTTCACTGATTTTTTAATGTCATGATTTTACAGGCAATAACCATATCATAATTCTATGTATGGTCCTCCAAAATATCTCTAGAGTCCTATACTTTATTAATAACTAATTAATTAAAAGTCTCAGCTATCTATTGAATTGTAGTGAAGTATAATAAAGTATATATCTTATTTATTACTGATGCTATTCTATGCATACGATTAATGCTACCTGTTTACGATATTCCGTCACCTTATTTAGTGTCTTTTCCTCTGATCATGCTAGAAGTAGGCTACTTCATTCAAATTATTATAAGTCAGTTAAGTATATTAACCAATGTAAATAGATTAAAAACTTCTATGATAAGAAAAGTACTGGCACTGATTACGTTAATTATGACCAGATAAGAGAATAAATAAAATAATGGAAAAGATACGAAACAATTAGATAAGCTATTGAACCAGAGGAAGAAAATCAAGAAGCCGTGGTCATTACTAAATGAAGTTACGTGTCTATACTTAACGTTTTTAAATTGTGAGAAATAGTATAGAAATGAAGTACAAGGCGATAGCTCCGAGATATTGGCAAACAGATTATGAAAGTGAAATGGTAGCGAACAGATAGAAAGAACGGCAGGAGAAGATCGTCAAAGTCTGACAAGTGGAATGAGAAATAGTTATAACTAACGAGTATTTACCACTGTACGCAAGTGTAATCAAGCTCTTCAATTCATCACTACATTTGTTGGCCTGTCCCTTTCTCGTGTACACTTGAGAGAAAGAGATAGACGAGACCTTAATTATAACACACTTCATAGGAAATTGTATTTCACAATTATTTAGTCAATAATTGGTTAAGATAAGATGCGTTCCACTAGTTATACCTGTACAAAGAGATTATAACGTTGTTTAAAGAAATGAAATTGTGTATGCTGCCTCTGAAACTAGCAATCATAACAAGAACTAGTTTAATAACAGCTTGAATGGTCAGATGCCAAGTGTACGATAGCTGATAATGTATAATATGACTAATTCTATATAATTAAGATACTTTTAAAAAAAATTGGTATCCTACTCGTAGATAAGTTATTTCGCCATATTATCGTGGGGGTATTTGTTGTCTTATCAGTTTCAATAGGCATTATGGTCGAATAATATGTTACTTCATTTATTCAACTTTGTTGCTTCTCATTTCTATCTATTCCAAAATGCAATGATGAGCCACTCCAATAATGCAGTGAGCAGATCTACTGGACGTATAAGTACACATTAGAATGACTTCATTTTACTCTACTCGATTGCTTCTGTCTTTAGCCTAGTTCAAAAATGCAACAATGGATCACTGCCAAATAATAATGAGAATATCTACTGTATGTACATATATATTTCTCGTACGCAGCAGAATGACTTCATCTTACTCTACTCGATTGGATGTGTCTTTAATCTAGTCCAAAAAAGCAACGATGAATCACTGCCAAATAATAATGAGAATATCTACTGTATGTACATATATATTTCTCGTACGCAGCAGAATGACTTCATTTTACTCTACTCGATTGCTTCTGTCTTTAGCCTAGTTCAAAAATGCAACAATGGATCACTGCCAAATAATAATGAGAATATCTACTGTATGTACCTATATATTTCTCGTACGCAGCAGAATGGCTTCATCTTACTCTACTCGATTGGATGTGTCTTTAATCTAGTCCAAAAAAGCAACGATGAATCACTGCCAAATAATAATGAGAATATCTACTGTATGTACATATATATTTCTCATACGCAATAGAATGACTTCATCTTACTCTACTCGATTGCATGTGTCTTTAATCTAGTCCAAAAATGCAACGACGAATCACTGCCAAAGAATAATGAGAATATCTACTGTATGTACATATATATTTCTCGTACGTAACAGAATGACTTCATTTTACTGTACTTAGTTGTACTCTATTCAGTTTATTTTAAAATACAATAATAAATCACTGTAAAATGATTTCGAGAAGAATTACCTTACGTATGGATTGAGCCGGCTAGAGGAATAAAAGCTATTAATCTTTACTTAAAGCACTGTCGTAGCCGCCTAAAGCCCGAAATTCTCATATTTTTGCTGTTAATTCGGACTTTAGCCGGATCAGTAATTCAGTATTGTATCCGGTATTATGTTATGCAAAATAATGTTTGTCCATTCTACAACCACAACTTACACATCGGAATTATTTCATTTTACTGGGCGTATGAACATTGGAGAGAGACTCCTGGAAGAGAAACTGTATTCAATTAGGAGTCCCTAGTATGTACAAGTGCGCATCAGAATTACTCTTACTTCATTTGAGTTCACTCTGCTGTGTGTGGTTGCTTCTAGACTAAATCGATACCAAAATGCAATGATAAATCACTCCCAATACAGTGATGACTGATTATTCTATTCCATTCGTCTGTACAAGTAAGCATCAGCATAATCAATGATTTTATTTTACTCTACTTGGCTGCTTCTCACTTCAATTTATTGCAACATGCAGTGGCTCTAATATAGTCATAGGTCCAAGTAACTATGAGGAAAATAAATGACTTCATTTCATTCTACTGTAGTCACTCGGCTGTTTCTCACTTCAAACCAACGTGCAATCAATTGAAATCGAATGAATATCTGCAAAATCAGTATACAAGTGTGCATATTTTGTTTTCACAATCTTGTTCATAAATTAAATTGACTATATTCAGTCATAGTCATATTAAATATCATTATATGGACCCGTAGGCAATGCTTTTACACACTGATCTTGTCGTTATTTCAAGCGCTTGAAGAAGGATTTGGGCAAACAGAAAACGAAATCAACACACCTTACAGTGTACAGTACAGAGTGTACAGTACATTGCACAGTGTGCAGTATACTGTACACTGTGTGGAAGGCATATGGACTGCTAGTAAAATCCCCCAGGACCTGCAACTCTCTTCGGACAGACGGACTTTCCATACCCGAGAAGGCCAAAAAATGTGGAAAAATAGTAGTTACTCAGTATAGATCTTTCGGGTTTGTTTTCTAAATCACTCGTATTAATGTAACTTTGAATAGTATTCATGATCTAAATGGACTGCTTCTAAGCAGAGCTTAGTAGCAGGCAATGGAATACTGCATTACTTAATTTAGCAAAATCAGTTGACTGCCTGTCTATACTAATAAGGACTGTCTTCTTCTTGAAGTGTTTGACATACTGTACTACAGTATATGGCTCAAAGGAAGCCAAATGTCTGTCCGTCCAAAAGAGGTTCATGTCGATTTTTTCCAGGTTAAAGGCCTCAAATTCAATTCAAAATTTTCGGTCTCTTGAATCTTATAGTCGTTCATGTGGAGAAAGGTGTATTGACTGATATAGAAAGCAAAGGGTTAAAAGATAGCGTAGGCTTTGTGGTTTGTGTTCCTATGGGATCAATACTTTGGACATACAGTACTATAAACTACTAAAGTCATCCATGCTCAAGTAGTGCTTGCTTTAAAGTGTCAAGGATGCAAATCGACTTGAGTATACAGTACATCAAGTATGCCAAAATGTCCAGTCAAATGCTATTGTTTGTAGGGAATTATTTGTATTAAGGACAACGGATAGGATTGATGGAAGCACGGGGCTTTTGTGGCAAGGCTTGTTCAATTTATGTTCAGTGTTCACCTTTAACCCTTCTTCCTCCACCTACAGCATACTATTAGGTATGAGCTGGGCTAATCCTTGAGGATCATACCAGACCATACCTAGCATTGAAGGCTAGCGAGGGAAATACCCTTGGGACATTTGCCTGCAGCGATTGTGGGCAAAAAGTCGCATGACAAGCTTCGGCTGTTGCCGTGACCATCACTCTTCCAATCCGATCCAGGTCTTTCCATGTATTCTACCGCCATGATGAGACGGCTGTTAACTTGGCCCACTTTAAATCGTTGTTGTAGATTGATCACTTCTCTTCAGCAGAAAGGACACGCTAATCTCCTTCAAGGATATCCAAGGCGATTCTTGGTACGATATTTTGTATTTTGCTTCATTCATCTTGTATTGCTATCGTACGATACGATAACGGTGATCAACAGCTAGACAAGAGCATGCAATCACCATGGCATCAACTTAATATTGAGTTTACAAATGGCGATGATGATAATCGTATCAACGATTATTCATTACAGTTGATCAACGCCATAACATCCAATGGCTGTGATGCCCATCAGTAATCAGTTAGTAGTGATGAAGGATTGGAGTAGAACAAGAATATTTCAACCATAGTAGGCATGCGGTCTGCCTATCACGCCAATATGGCAGTCAATCACTAGGCGTATGAACACTTGCTAATCCACTGCGATTTTACGTTCTACTATTCGATCCTGTCTGAAATAAATGTTAACCATAATGCGATGATGAATTCAAGAATACTACAGTATAACATCAATACTTCAATGGACCGTTTAATTTGAGTATCGGGCTGATGTAGATTAATCGATTGAAAAATCTCCTTGTTATATCAACAGCTATACTGTAGTTAACCATAAATGTAATCAAGCCAAATGCAAATTTAGTCTCCATGATATATGTATATGTTATACTATAATTATGGATAGAAGGGATTCAAGACGTACACACACAAGAAATCGGCAATAGTCATGTTTAAAAATCATCTGTAAAAAAAAAACCAATGAGTTAGTTCTGTAATTCATGACTATTTATTTGCATATTATTTAGAGTCAACAAACGCCCATTAAAGCTGCTTTATCTGCATCGAGAGAAAGATCTATTGATGAAAATTCAACCAGTATTATCCAAGGCGATGGTAACGAACTATGCTTGGTCATAGAGAACTGTGAATATAGGTCTGCCAATCGAGTATTCAATTGCTCAAGCTTTACAATCATTTTCTATATTATAACTTGATGGCTTCTTGAGATATAATTTACGATAACGAGGAGAAAAAGACCATCATTCATGACAGTTGGACTACTGTATGCGTGATAGAAAGTGATTTTATGTGTACTTGATGACACTTAGACACACGAATACTTGAAAATAGTTCTACTATACGATGGCCTAGTGCATTGGTGAAGTAGCATAGGATGATTTGAACCGTATTGTGTAAGGATAGAATATGATTCTATACGGTAAATGGAAATGGAATTAGAAATTTAGTGGATGAACTGATGGCCTAACTCCATAGTCAATACAATGTATTCAATGTATTGTAGTGGTAGTTGATTTGAAAGTTTGAGTTTAATCTCATTAGTTATAGTATGATACTGATTTAAAATAATCAACTTGGATCAATTCCATCTAGTTGCTGAAAGGTAACAACATGAAAATTATAATTAGGTATTTTATCGCAAAAATGAAACAAACTAGTATGCATACAGTATTGTGAGCTAGTGACGTTAATAATAACGTTGTATGCGGTCTGCGAATTATAATTGTCGTTGTAAATATGGCTAATAGGTTTCACGCATCTTGGCTACGATTCTCTTGTCATTGCCCTATTTGCAGACAAGAACATAGTAATCAGCGTACTATCGAAACGCGTTCTTTACCTGAAGAATGCAAGCTAATAGCGTCTAAAATTGAAGGTACTAAGCAATCTTTCATCTATTGATATCGCTAAGAGATGGGATATGAAAAGGCCTGTATGGAAGGAAAACTTATTACATACGTGTATGTGTTACTAGGGCATGAAGTGATAATGCATTGGCAAGGCGAAGAGGAACATGTCGGAAGAATACCCCTCCAATTTTTACTTGAACACGATTATTCCAAGCAATCTATTTTAGAGAAAAAACAGCAAACCGCAGTCCCTACATATATGGTACAATTTATCATTAACTTCAATGGCAGATCTAAGTAGATTTTTGTATCGCGACATAGATCTATTGAATACTCATATAATCCTGTAGGTGCAAACATATACCATATTCTAATAATCGCTAATTCTAGAAATTCGAAATCAATTTACTATATAGACCAAACTATCCCATGTAAAGTATGAGGATATCCTTGGCAGCCACGAAAGTTATCGCCAGTAAGTAATACCTAGCTAATACAAAAGAGCTTGAGGATTTTCTCAGATTTGGTGTAAAACATACTGTATGTTCAACTTGAGCTATAAGTCTATGCTATTTAGTAATTAGCCCATAATTGACAAAATCTTATGCGTTAGATTTTTAATGAAAATCGCTGAAGAAGGTTGCTGTCTTGTCCAAGGCACACCAACTGATGTTGGAAGTGTTGAAAAGGTAATCTACCAAGCCTTGCGTGGAAAAGTAATCTATTTTCTGTTCCTTAAAATCAAATTCTGTTATAATACCTAGATTTGTGAACAAATCGCACCAATTCAGCGAACTATATATGGAACGGTAAATACTATAATAATAACGTAGACTACTAGAATTATTGTAGTCGGACAAGGTCGCAATATTGAAATAATATTGTTTTAATAGATACCATATAATTTACTAAATTTATGAAATGCTATTATAGGTTTTCGATGTTGTAGCAACACCTCAACCGATTAATATTGCTTATTCATCAGTGCCTCTTGGCTATCATATGGATTTAATGTATTATGAATCACCTCCGGGAATACAGGTCCTACATTGTGTCAGGTTATTAAAACGAATAATATACCCAAACTTTGTATCTTTTAACAATTACAGATATTTCACACAATTAGAGATTGTAGGCTTAAAAGGCAATCTGTTAATCTTAGGTTTGATGAGTGTGTGACTGGTGGTGAATCGCTGCTACTGGATTCTTTTTCAGTAGCTGAAGAATTAAGATTACAATCTCCGGAGGATTTTCGTATTCTATCGACTATCCCTGCTACATTTCAGAAAATTCACTTCGAAAGGTTTGTATCCTTTTGCTTGAATCGTTCTTTTGGCTAAGAATAAATGTTGCATATAGTAATTAAGTGAAATATTTTACATAGAGAATTTCCAGTATCTATGAGATACCAAAGACCACATATTGTCTTAAATCATGATCAGGAGGTATTTTAAAATTGATAACATTTTTCGAATTAGTCGAAAAATTATTTATAAATTTACACCTAGTTTGATTTATTGATATTAGATAGTTATGATATTTTGCTGCTTTAACCAAGACTGCGTAATCTACCAATAGGTGGTCGCGGTAAACTGGAGTCCATCATTTGAAGGTCCCCTTTGCGTAGATGAAGTTAGAGAATTTTATGCATTATGTCTTAATCATATGAGAGGAGACTGGTTGTACTGACCTTATAAACGGTCTGTTATATTTTCACAGAGTTATGTTGATTCGTATTATAAAGCTTATAGAAAATTTTCTAGCATCATCGATAAATCTAACCATGAGGTACGATCTAAACATTGCATTGGCTTGTATTTGCAGTATCGGTAATCATAAGATGTCCACAATTAGTATCACAATGAAATATGTACAATATAATGTTAATGTGAGTAGATATACGAGTATATCAATTAATTGATTGTCAGAAATTGACATACATGCACAAAATTTATACCAACATACAAGTTGCCGTATGATAATATGACAGAGAACTGATTTAAAAATATTGCAATGAACGCAATTTTTCTCGACTTATAAAGCATGGATATGAAAGAATTCGTGAAACTTTTACTTAATTTGAATAGCAGCGAGTGTAGATGGAAAATTAATTTGCAATAAGTATAAATTTCATTATTTATATAAACGAAATGAATTCACGTAGGTACAGTATCGATTACGACCTGGCGACATGTTAATATTTAACAACCGGAGAATACTACACGCTCGTAAAGGATTTGCCTTAAATGGTGGATCAAGACATTTACAAGTTTGTATAAAACTTAAGCTAAATAATACCTTCTGATATAATTATTTGTAGAGCGTAGAAGATTAACTTTCTTATTTTCACATTTCTTAACTTATGACTAGGGTTTATACTTGAATATTGACGAATTTAAAAGCCAGGTAGCAGTTGCCAATAAATTAGCCGGGATACATCGGTTACTCCCCAAAATTGGCAATCAATGCTTTTCTTAATCTGGAGCAATTAATAAATTCGCTTTTTTTAAGTTACGTGATATAAAGATTTCCATCTGAATTTTTATCGTTCGTATTGTAAACACATATATTCCGTTACAAAAAAGGGCGAATATTGATCGCCATGTTCTGATAGATCCTTACTTATTTTATGATAACTTGATGAAAATAATGTTTACTGAACGAGAACTATGACGAACATGGGTTCGGTATATCAATACGATATTTTTTTATGCTACGCTATGTCAGAGATATTAATCATCATTTGATTTTTAAATCCGATACTAATATATATACTATAATACCTTTGGTATTTGTTATATTGGGATAGTATTATTGGCCAATGAGGTCTATGACTATTTAATTTGTTATCATGCTGCAGATTTGGCTAAAACAGTTATATATAATAAGTCAATGTTTATAATCGTTATACTTAATTATTTGCGGTAATATTTAATAGAAAAATTTAAGTATGTGACCTGAGTGATAGCGTACTGTTAGTGAATGAATCGGGAATGAGTTGTAAAATCAGTTGCTTAATAATATGTTTTGGTGCGATCTCCATTCCATTCTAGGTTTTTACATAAACAATGCTCTCTCATCTAATATCCTTGGAAAATTTATACTGGCTTAAAATACACATATGGCTGTATAAATACTACATTAAATAAAACAACTTACTACAGTGATCGTTGTCAATTCTCATATTAATTGCAGTATTTAAAAATTCTTGAATGAATATATTTAAGACTGCTTATTTTTAACTAAATTCTAAGCAGGAGATGAGAGTACAAACGTGACAATAGGATTTGAAATTAGTGTTAATTTAGGTGCGAAGAAAGTTTTGAAAAATAATCGTAAATACTTCTATAGGGTAGCTTTAATATTTCACCATCTCAAACTGTCCATATGGGCAAAAGTTGTTACTTCCGGTAGTAACAGCTTAATTACGTATATAAGGAATACGAATACATTTTGACGTTAAATTGTGGCATAGATTCCGTGTACCTATATAAATAATCTAATGAATCACTAAATTGAAAAATTACTAGTGTTTAATTATATTTTTTTCCAATTTTCAACTACTGCAATTACATTAGGAAGACTAATAGGATATCAAATAGAAATCAGTTTGAAATATATGGTCGTATTGCTTAATTACATTAGATTAATTGTACTTAATAGGAATACAAAACAATACAGTGACATGAATACATTTATTTTTTTCAATATTAATGAAAAGTTTGCAGTAATAAAATTTAAACTAATTAAAATTTGAAAGAAAATTTCTTATAGAAGCAATACAGCTCGTGTAGAACAAATTTGATATTCTCATTTATTCACATTAAAGTTAATCATTGCTAGCTATATTTAAACGGATCTTTAGTGGTTTTCTGCTATTACAGTATATATTAGACTGATGAGAATACACGATAGAAAAGAAATAAAATTACTTAATCATATATCATACTAGTGAATGATTAATTAATAGGCTAAATTTTTTAACGTAATTAGTTCGGACGATATCATAAAATTAGCACACGACTGTTTCGTCGGTTTTAGCTATACTAGAAAATAATTGTAAAAGCTAATTGGAAAAAGCGTCAATTTCATAGGAGATTGATGATATAATTCTGTTTTATAAATATCACAATGACTCCAACATTTTCTTCAAGCACCGTAATTGATATTGCAAGCAATTCTGCCATTATGATAGCTAATCATTCTGATTTTAAATTCCCGCCCAAGTTATAGTGGATATAGTAACTTATACAATTTGTGGAAGAAGCAATTTACTAGTATGCCCCACAAATGAGTGGGGATGGTATAAAAGACCGAGCGAATTGCCATTCGCCTGCAGTAGTCGCTCCGGGCTAGGACGAACTAGTAGAGACTAGAAACCAAATGACTGGTGAATAAAAAGTGCTAGTGGTCTGAAAGAAACCTGAGTAGTTGTGTGACAGTGAGGAAAGAGTTAGTTTTCCCTTAGAAGAAGACTTCCAAGTTAGTGGAAGACATACACAATTACGATAGCACTTGGCCTAACCAAATCACAAGTGGGATTTGTAACATATCCTTAATTTTTTTCTCTCATAGTCTTTACAGTACTCGCTACAAATATCGAAAATGGATATTATCCTGGATCGATCATGTGCAAGGTAGTTTTATTCATTACTTACAGTTGTTTTGGAATGTCAATGACTTCACTAAGTATGATTAATATTGATTTACATCAACATTTACCATTAACATAACCTAACTATTTATTTATTTTCGATTTGATTATAGTATAAAATAGATACTGCTAGCTCGATCAATAAATTCCAAACATCGCCAATACCTTCAATCTTATTATCCTACTTCTAGGTGTAGGAATTATCGGATAGAACTCAGTTTTGGCTAAAAAAAAGTTAGAACTACACTGCTATGGGATCACTGCAAGCCAACGAATTGATAGACTACTTTATCTTATATTTAATGACAAGTTTCCACTGCAATTTTTAAATTGTTTGCCGTTTAATTAATATATGCATGCATCATTATACATGCATATCTTTTACTACTTATGCATAAGTCTTCTTCAATCGAAGAAATGGTTTATTTTGTAGTAATCACTTTACTATCTATAACGAATTCTTTTAAAGATCTATGTATACTTCATAGTATATATTCGTTAAATATTCGTACTCGATTAAATTGAACGGTCGAATATAATTAATATCAATAAAAAACAACTTCCCTCTTACAATCGCTTTGCAATATATTATTAGTAAAGGTAGATCTGATATATCTTTACTAGTTTATCTATTTCTATCAAAAATTCGTTTCATACAAACTATATAGATTTACTTAATACCTTTAAAGTACAGGATTACCGAAGTACGGAAATGATAACAATTTAAATCTGTCTTAAAACAAATGATACAGGTATACAAAGGATATATGCCGTCAATTCTATTTAATATTAAAGTATTAAGAAAGAAACATTTAATTAAATACTACTGGGTGCACTTAATTGATATTTTTAATGATACTTTTATGATATGAGTTTATCACTGTTAGCTAGTAACGTAAAACTAAATAAAAAAAATCGGAAAATAATCGGCGATAAACAAATAGTTATTTTCAATGTTTGGACATAGCTTCTTATTAGAGATTAGCACGTATCAAATCGTTAGTGCAAAAGAATAATAATATACGTCATCTGGTTGACGATTACCAATGGTATACTAAGCTGTTAATCCATCAGTTTCTAAGATAAATGTGGAATTCCTGTAGCAGCCTTGTTTTAAAAGTAGCAGGGATCTAACAAAATCTATCAAACACATAACTGCTGCACTCAAGTAAAATCTTCAGTAGTTTTTCTGCTTGTCTGCAGTGATTGATGATGTCAATGTTAAGATCAATCAACTTTGAACATCATTACAAAGCTACCATAAAACTTTATTTTTTTAACATGGCGTACCCATATTTATTTGGTTGGCGAAGAATTCCCCTCTTTTGTCCCGCTGTGATAATTTCTTAACTATATAGGTGATTACAAATACGGTATAATCTGCCGTTGAGAGTATAGAAGTCGTTAGTTTTTAAGGAAGGTAGGATTGAGATTGACCATAGCCATACGCAAGACTATTCTAAACTTCACCAATAGATAAAAACGGTAACGAAATAAGAATGATATAAACAAGTCGGAGTAAATATACCAGTGAATGACCGTCAACCTAAGAAATTTTCCCAAATTGCAAATCTAAGACGCAGACACTTCTAGAACGTTATGTAGTATGAATATTGACAATATTTACCCCTATAATTAGCATACGTCAATCAACTGTACCTATTAAGCAGGAATTGAAGGATGTCAATTGAAAGGTTAAATAAGCTACGGTATGAGCCACTAGAAGAAAACTTAATTTTCTTCTAGTGGCCCATGGCTCCGGTTATTGATTGAAATGTTAAATTGATATAGCGGAAATATCTATGTTTAAAAAGTCATCTTTCGATTTCATAATTTATTAAATATTTCGGTTAAAATCTGCACATAGGAGTGGGCTAACTTTCTATCCAGTTTCGTGATATTGCCTGCAAAACAGAAATCGAAATTAATCCTGCTTATTTGTCGATTTAATAACTAATGCAATATATATATATCGAATAAGGCGGAAGATGGCGATTACATTCGTTGCATTAACATTAGCTAGCAGAGTACGGTAGCCTTGAGAAGCAAGAGAGCAGCGTTAGAATCCTTTTATTCAAGTCAATAAATACACCGGCATTCCATATTAATAAAAAAATAGCTTGTAATATTGAATGATTTGGTTTAAAACTTTTGATTAAAGATGAGGCTTAATATTAAGATGATCTAATTGAATTTCTTTATCTAAATAAGATGAATGACCACATTATATTCTAATTAATGCCAAACAATGAGGAGCAATAGCAATGGTAAAACATTTATGGTGTCATTATGGAGCATTTTAGTATTTGATTTAGGCTTAGGAAGCAAGGAAGAATAATGTGAAGTATATTAAAGATTAGCTCATTTACGCACTAATTTTATCGCTAGTCAATCCAATATCTAATCTGGTAAAGAAATTGCTATTAATAGAATAATAAGGACTGAACAATTTTTGTTCATGGCACATTCTTGCATTTCCTTTGGAGTAATTGGTAATTAAAATCTACAAATTGCACTTGTTAAAGATACAAATCCTTTCTGTATGAATTAAAGCTAGATAAAATAAAGAGGACCAAGACTTATCAACGTTGATAACTAATAATTTATTATTCTGCATCTTGATGCATGATTATATAAAATAGTTAAAATGAATCTATATGGTCGTGAAAAAGCATTGCTTTGTTCTAAATTATCTTCATATCGACAAGTTCTACGAGGTGATTATATCACCTCAGATTTTATATTTAGTAATTTTAAGGATTTTATTTGATTCAATTTCTATAAGTCCTAATAATTCTACTACGTATATACTGCACTGGTAGTT